AGAGCACTGAAGGTGACCGTCGCTTCTTTGGCACTAGTGGTTTCGGGAGAATCCAGACTTCGGCAAAGCGAGTACACATGAATTGTCGGAACACAATCTTCTGTTGCTAAACTTTGCGTCAAAAGCTCAACAACTCCGGGTTTGTCGATTTCTGGCGGGAGGCGCCGAACGCGATATGTCAAGGCGTTCTGGTCTCTGGCCATCGTGGTTTTGTCATCGAATACTCGTCACGTACATCTAGAGGTGAGCAAATTTCCGAGGCTGTGAGACCGTGATCGGTTCTGGACAACGGTATGTGAGGGCCTGACGGGCCAGCTGGCTGGGAAGGTAAGGCTGGTAAAATAAATTCAAACTTCGACCCCGCATTTGTTTTGTCAAGCGACGCTTACAGGTGGCAATTACTGCAGGTGCAGGGCGACTCATTTGATTGGCGCCGGATATGCTTACTGCTTAGCTGTGGCTTGCTTATGATGCATTCAACCTTGGCGACTCGCGATTCGAGCCGCATCGGTAGAAGGCTGCATGAAAAAGCAGGACTAAGCCAGGAACCTCTTCGAAATATGAAATTGATTTCACCTAGAGCGAGTACCAGTGTAACTCTCTGTTCGTTTTCGTTTTGGTAGATAAGCATTCCCGCCTCATTATCGCATATACACCAGATTACGTGCCTTCTAGTGGGTCAGTTTCCCGCTGAGGTGGTTGCTACCGGCTCCTGCGCCTCCCTTCCCTGCTGGCTCTCAACTTTTTGCCTGTCTGTCAAGGCTGTGTCATAATAGCCGCTCTCTTAGCTATACGCGTCACAGTACGTCTCAGGGACCCCTCTCAACTTGAAAATCTCTAAATATACCTAATTTAGCGGAGCGCGAAGTAGAAACTATGTATTAATAATTGCAGGACATGAATCACGAGCTGAGAATCGAGTTCGAGCGCTAACGCTATCATGAATACATCTATACTAACCGCTCGCTTTTTCTTAAACCATTGATCACGATCATCACTAATTGATCATACATGTCTGGAATCCTATAAAACTCATTTTTCGATGAATCAGACAGTAAGCCCTGCATTCTCGTGTCCGATGGTGCTGATTTGTTTGGTGGTCGGGGTTTTGGCATTTTGTCGCGCACCAAATACTGGAAAGGGAATCGGGGCTGGGGCCACTCGTTGGCGGCTGGCTGAAAAGATGATAAGGTAAAAAAAAAAGCATTTGTATCGGCTAGAACTCCATCATCATCTCCTACCTGCAGATATGTAAGCTGACTGCAGCGACGTCTGCAGGATGACGTGTCAGCATCATCCGTGAGCTACAGCGATATATGTCTCGTCCGACGCTTCAGCCTCGCTTCTGTTCTCAGTTCACATCCAAAAATGCACACACCACTCGTTTGGGACTTTCCCATATGCAACAATATTGGAAAAGAGGCGATAAACTGAGCCAAACACGTCCCAAGGAAATCAGGTTCTATTCCACGGGTATTTCAAATACGCCGCTATGCCAGCACCCGGCCGTAAATGCCCATCGTGCAATTTCAAGGGAGAGACTGTTTGGGTAATCCCAGGTAAATGTTGCCCAGCATGTGGGACTCCAGTTGATGGCAACATGTCATCGATCGTGCAACAAGACCACCCGGCCAATGCGGTCCTGGAGAGCAAGTCTCTATTGGCGGCATCGGATCAACCTAAGGTTTTAGAAGAAGACTACGATAGCTCGGATGAATTTCCAGTGCCAATAGCTATTGATTATAATTCCTTCGAAGCGTCGAGAGAGGGCAAGGATGCTGGCGAATGGAATGTGGAGCGGTTTCGCATGGCCCGAAGCTGCACCAAGAAAGACGAAGACAAAGACGAAGACAAGGACAAAGACGCGGACTCCATTTTTTCCCAGAACTCTTTCGCCTCCTCATCAACAGAGTATTTTGAGGACATTACAGCCGCGGTAGACGAGTTCGCTTCCCTCCTATCACACGATCCGGTTCTTGAGCCTGTTTTCGCAAATGTCTTCCGTGGAGATTCGAGTAGCGCGGAGACATCGAAGCTATTCACAAGCAAGTTACACCTGCTTCTGCGAGAATATTCTAGGGTACTCAAATTTCAAGCAGTAGTGTTCCTGGAAAGAACGTCAGCTAAACTTGTTGGAATTCATTCGAGGCGCATAGCCAATTCAATCAGCCAAGAGTTCAAAGCGACGAGCACAGCCCAAGAATACGTCAGAGATGAATTGGCTCAGAACGATACTCAGTACATCAGGTCCGCCTTGTTTGGAAATTCGTCTGAATCCGAGGAGGACGAGGACGATTTTCAGCCACCCGAAGACGAACGCGAATCGAATCTTCAACCCTTCAGCTTAAGCCAGGTGAAGGATTTTTTAACGTCTGGTACTCACTATCAGACTCTCAGAGACGAGATCCAGAGGTTCGCTTCAGCAGCAACAGGTACACATGCCTGCGATGATATTACCGAGGAGCTTGAAAGATACCTTGATAATCAAACTTCTTACTTCATCGTGTTTGACACGTATTGGAATCTACCATTATTCAATAAAGAGGAGTTTGTAGAGGCACCGCAAGATCTTGGATCTGTCCTCACAGCAACAGCCATGGAAGACAACGCCTACGTGGCCACGTGCAGCCAGTATATCCAAAAAGTCTTTCCAACAGTTGGCTGTTTAATGTTGAATACAATAAACAGGGCGTTGGAAGTTGGATCGACAAGCCAAAGACTCTTCAGAACTCTCTCGCTCAACGGAGCAAATGAAGAAGAAGTAGAAGTTATCCTTCAGCTTGATTGCACTCTCGCAACTACCGGTGGAGGACTTGAAGAGTCACATCTCATGCAACTTTTGGCAAAGGGGGCAACGTCTGCCCTTTTACAAACAGCTTAAGCCCTCGCGTGGCTGGTTTCCGTTCTCCGAAAACCTCTCATCGGATCGATGGCCTACTCAAGACCTATGTACCGAATTCGTAAACTCTACTCCAACAAGATACACGTTGAGCTGGAGCCGTCAGAGCTCGTCCCGTTCAGGGAAAGCAACGAACGCTGCTGGCCTCCGTTACTTCGAAACAGCGTAGTGGGTCAAGGCTTTCCAGTACCATGTCGGGACCATGGCCGTGGTCTAGAGATCTCATTTGAAGTCATGATATTATTGGGACGAATTTGGTATCCCATGGAGTACCTGGACGGCATCGTACTAAAAGGACGAAGTACTTTGCTTGTGCCCATAAGCAAAGTAGGGAATGCCGTCCAATGGCATTTCATATTCTGTGAACGACGTATTGGCATGGAGGAGATATCGAAGCACTGCGACTCAATCCTAGAGAATGTCGATCTCGAGACTCTACGTACATGCAGAGCTTTTGTCGGATTCTGCGAGAACGCCTGTATACACGCTGGTACACATGGCTCAGGATACAGAGATATCGGACAATCTGACGCATCGTTGGAGCCAACCCGGAAGCTCCTTGCTCGAGAGTTGGTCCCGTCAGCAGGAACGTCTGGATGTGGATTCTTTGGCATCCAGGTTGGAGCCAAAGTCGCTTTCACCAAAGGACTGTATGGGACAATCATGGCAGAGCACACTTTCCTCGAAGATGCCATACTTGAAGCCAAGACTCACCCTTGCCTACTCTTTGACACTGCCACAAGACGAGGTTGGCTCCTTCCGGAACTGAACGTGATATTGATGATTGCCCATGTTTGGGCCACCAAGCAGTCTGATCAAGAGACTTTACTTGAAAAGTTGCCCTTTTCGGAACCAACCAAAGATTCGAATGATGCGATCTATAAATTTCTGGTTCAGACGCCCGATATAGAGCTGCGTAAAGCATCTTGCGCGGGTGACGGAGTGACCATGATGCAACGCCTCAAGACCATCATGGCAGCTTTGAGCAGCAGGAAAGAGAAGGTCATAGAGCGGATTGCATCGACCTCGAGTTTCCCAATGACTCAAAAGAATACGTTGATGGGATGGGAGCTCCTGGACATTGCTCGTTCTACATACCTGTTCCGTCGGAAGACTTGTGAAGTCAACAGGAGCACCAGTGGACTATGGACGTTTATGCTGGACGACAACCCTGACATCGCAGTACTTTTCTGTCACGGTGCGGGAGATCTGATACAACCATCCGCCGATAACATCATCTGCGAAACTTGGTCACCAGTACCTTCCAACAGAGATTTGTTGACCACAACCGGACAAATGATCCTTAGCATCTCGGAAGTGTTCGGAGGACCACGTCACGCGCCAACATTGGCACCGCAGCTGTATCTGAATAATCCTTACGGGAGGGATGTCTTCCAGCCCTGCCATTACCAGCGGAAGTCTGAATGTGACAGAGTGCTGGATTTGGTCGAGAAAACTCCAAAGTCTCAGACATTGCTACAAGAGACAGATGGGGTCATACTTGGAAGTTCGGAGAACAATGCAGACCTCAGACAGACTTGTCGAAAGACGCATTTCAAACGCCGGCACGATTCTGCCTCTCCGGAAAACGTAGGCACAGAGATCAGTACCACTGTGCGTTTTCAAGAATTGACGATCCAGCAAAATGAGCATATTTCAACGGAAGAGAAAGGAAAAAGATCTCGTTATGACCATGAGAAACGTGTAGAGTAGCGGTTATTCGGCAACATCACATACATGCAAAGGCTCTACGTAATTTTGCACGCGCGAAATCTATTTCTGTTTATCACCACTGCTGACTCCGTTTGTCTCATAGAGCTTCGCCATGAACTTAAATATAAATATAACTTCGGGGGCATATCCTCGCTGCCACATAACTTGTTTAAAGCACTTATGACTTCCAGTTGACAACAAACCGCCCGACTGTCCACTTACAAATCATGATGGAAGCGAACAGGAAGGCCCTGCAACTTTGAATCACTATATTCATTTGAAATTAATTACACACGCCGCTCCAATGTTCAAAAAGAGTCTCGAAACCAGATATCAGCTGAGTAGTTGTATGAATTTTCCTCTATCTAGGGTCGATCTCGTTAGAAGGTCACTCGCTCCGGTTAGGCGAGTTGTTTCTATCCTCTAACTGTCGGTTGAGGCGGGTTTGTCCAATCTACGAATGATTAGACATGAGTCCACGTCTTGGGGAATTTAGTATACGTACTTGGATGACGACCAGCCATATGCCAATGCCAGTCAACATTGCTGATTGCGGAAGACGAGATTAGCATGTCTTATAGCTCAAATGATTTTACACCCGGGCCAGTTGTAGGCTCCATAGTATGTCTTTAGTCCGCTCTCGAATGACCATAGCCGAGAGCTTCAGTCTAGATGGATACTTGAAGTCAGGAGCTTACCTGCAACCACGTCTCGATGTGAGCCGCCTAGGACTTTCACAACCCAGCTAAGCAGAGCGCTGGAGATCAACGACCAGAAGATGGCTATCCAGAAGAAGAATTGTTCGAAGGTTGGTGAGAACTGGCTGTTGGTCGCAATGATGCCCACCCCGTAGAAAAGAATAAGAGCGGCAACGGCAAGGTAGAGGACGATCTTCCAGGTACGGGCGATTCGGTAGTTGAGCTCCGTTTCTCCACTGACCTGGTACTTCAAGGACCCCCTCTGCCGCTCTTCAACAGTCTTTGTGCGCCGTGTCCACATATGGAGGCCTTCGAGGCCGACGCCCATGAAGTCCTTGTGTCATGGTCAGAATACAGAAGCGTCGGAGGTCAGCACTGAGGAAAATCTACCTTTATATGCTTTAAGTGGTACTTTGAGAGTTTCGTCCCATCGGGCTTGTTGATCGGGTCGACAATGTTGCTCGCGCTGTATCCCCATTTCTTGCTGAGCATTAACCAATTACCCTGATGGAACGTGTTGATGGGATCCTTGGATTCGAAGTGCACAATGCTCAGCCCGCGCGACGCGGCATACTCGGGGTCTTCCATACGAAGACGCTTTGCTTCGCTCTCCACCATGGCATCTGCCCAGAAGCAAGCCTGGTAAGCAAGCAAATCGCCGGATCCTGCGCGCCGGAGCGATGCTACCTACCCATATCCTTGAGGAGCTCGATCGCCTTGTTGATCTTCTCTTTGTTGTGTTCCATGCGTGGTATGTCTCTCTCCAACTCTAGCAGAGAAGAGCTGACGTGTTCGAAGCATCTCCGCCGAAGATTTACGAGGCTGGGGATGAAGATGGGCGCATTGGCGTTCTGATCAAGCTGGGAAATCTTGTTGAAGTCCTCTGCAGATTGGCGGGTGTAGCTAGCGAACAGCGGGGTACCGCTCAGTGGACCTCCATGCCCCTTGGCGACCTGGTGAGGCTCTATCCGAGTCAGCGGGAGCTCTGACAGCAGCGAGTATCCCAAAACATACCTCTGCCACTCTCAGCGGCATTGACGGGGGTAAGTGGGATCTGCTCGTCTGAGGGCAGTCTGCCTCGACGGAACAGGGTGTCCATCCCGAGGCAGAGAAACTGTAAAGGAAGAGCGTGCTTGGCAAGTGTGCTGTCAGATTGGAGCTTCACTTTGTACGAGAGTGTAATGCGCTGTCTAACTACGTGGATTTTCTCTCAAAGACCAGTCTTTTGACCCCATAAATGTTTCAGCCTCATCGGATAGAAAGGCATTTCCTGCTGTGCGGCGTAAGCAGCCACGAGATAACTGGTTTGACAGAATAGGAAGTTGGCCCGCTGACAAAGATTTGCAGGGTTCGTAGTCGCTCGGGTGATATGGGATGCAGGATGTGATTCGACCCTTTAAGTAGGCGCCAGCGCCCCCAACCTGCTGTGTAACCACAGACCTCTCAACGTCGCATAGAAAATCGAGGAAACACTCGAGGCTGCGTCTTTTTGCGCAGACACACACAGATCTTCGAAAGCTGACGCACAACAACTATCGGCCCCCCGCATCACATCCTGCATTTTCTTGTGATCACACTTGAGTAGCAGCAACATGTGGCTTCTCCATTACTCTTTTTTCTTAGCACTCGTTACCTGGCTGTGCGTCCGCCGTTGGCGCGCATCACGCGAAGAAGCTGTAGGGGACTTCACCTACCTTTCAGACCTCCCGAATCTAACCAATTGAACAGAAAGAAGTCGCGTTCGGTGCCAGCAAAGGCTGCGCCAGCCCCCGAACACTGCTCTCAGACTGGCCACTCGGCCTCGATCTAATCGTGAGCGCGTTCCAAGCCGCCAAACAGGGCCGCATACTGCAATACTTCGACGCGCTCGTCAGCCGTACCGGCCACACTTTCGAGCAGCGGCTCCTCGGCGTCTCAGGCATCGACACCATCGACCCCGCCAACATCGAAGCCGTCCTATCCACCCAATTCAAAGGTACCTGAATCCTCCTCCTCCTCCTCCTCCTGAAAATCCTACCCACTTCCGCCACAGCCGGTGCCGTGTGTGCCGAGCGCCAAGCAAGCACCCGCATCCAAATTGATCCAATACGCTCTATCTATTGCTGACTCCTCCCGCCCCAACTTTCGCTACCCTATAGAATTCAGCCTCGGCGTGCGGCGCGCCACCTTCTTCCCGCTGCTCGGCGACGGCATCTTCACGCAGGACGGCCGCGCGTGGAAGCACTCGCGCGAGCTGCTGCGTCCGCAGTTCACGGCCAACCGCGCCGAGAAATTCGCACAGATACAGAGCGCCGTCGAGGATCTGATTGCTCTGATCCCGGGCGACGGCAAGCAGCCCGTCGATCTGCAGCCGCTGTTCTTCCGCTTCACGCTCGACACGACGACGTTTTTGTTGTTTGGTGAGTCGATTGGGTCGCTGCGCGGGGGTGCTGAGGAGAGGGCGGCGAGTGAAGAGACGAGGTTTGCGGAGGCGTTTACGGTTGCGCAGGACTACTTGGCGCAGAGGGGGAGGCTGGGCGATGTGTATTGGTTGATTGGTGGCCCCAGGTTTTGGAATGCGTGTCGGACGGTGCATGCGTTTGTTGATTCGATGGTGAGGGATCGCTTGCGGGATGCCGAGGAGGAGAAAAAGGAAGGATCTGACTCTGCCGCGACGAAGTCGGACAAGAAGTATGTGTTCCTGGACGCACTTTTGGAGCAGACGCGCGATGTCTTTACGCTGAGGTCGCAGCTCTTAAATGTGCTGCTGGCGGGAAGGGACACGACTGCTTGTTGCCTGTCTTGGACTTTGTGAGTGGATGTCCTTGTTCAACTTTCGTGGCTTCAGTGAAAGATGCTGACGAGGGACCGCTTACACAGCCGTCTTTTGGCCCGTCATCCTGATGTCCTCGCCAAGCTACGCGCAGAGATCGAGCATGAGGTCGGCTCAGCTATACCACAGCAAAACGACATCAAGCGGATGACCTATCTCAGCTACGTGATCAAAGAAGGTAAGTGTTTGACATCCCATCCCGTCCAAATCCCTGGCAAACAAAGCTCATATCTTCCACAGTTCTCCGCTTATACCCTTCCGTGCCTGTGAATTCACGTACAGCGCTCTGCACGACGACCCTTCCCCGAGGCGGCGGCGAAGATGGTCTTTCACCCATCCTTATCCGGCGCGGCATGGCCGTGGGCTATTGTCCTTACTTGATGCACCGCCGCACAGACCTGTACGGTGAAGATGCTCATCTCTTTCGGCCGGAGCGCTGGGAAGATGGACTGGAGCGGAGGGTGGGATGGGGCTACGTGCCGTTCAACGGGGGGCCGAGGGTGTGTTTAGGTCGTGAGTAGCTCCTTGTTTCCTTGTTCACTTTATCGAGTTTTTTCTTCAGAAGGAGGAAAGCGCTAACATTTCTTGCTAGAGGATTTTGCGCTATTGGAAGCGTCATATGCTATCATACGGCTGCTTCAAGTCTTTCCGCATATTGCCCCTTGCGATGACGATGAGGCATTATGCGGACCGGGCAATACTGAGCAGCAGAAGGTTCCGGGGAGCGAGAGGCAGCTCCTCACGTTGGTGCTGTCTTGTGTGGATGGATGTTGGATAAAGGCATCCCGGGGAGCTGGCGAACAGAGCTGATTGAAGAAGCATCATGGCAACAAGCATTCTGTAATATATTAAAATGAGAGATAGGAGTATGAGCCAAGTTTATGAGATTGTGCTACCAGTCACTTATATCCAAAATTGATGAGTTCAACAACAAATAGTGGCTATGGCCGTGGTCTCGTGAAGCCTCCAAAAGGCTATCCTGTGGTTGGTGCTATCTTCAGGGGCTGAAAGGCAACAACAGAAAAGTAGTAACTGGCTAAATAATTGTCTGGATGTCTCGAATTACTTTGAGAATCCCATCAACGAACTCCAGCGCAACTTCCCGGTTATTCTTTTCCACCGTCACCTTGAAATCGTTCCTGTCCTCGTCATCCAGATGTGTCAACATCGATTTGATAAGCAGCGCCATCTTCATCCCTGACATTGCCGGTACGTATTCCTCGCTCATGCGTACCAAAGTCCTCTGGATATGCCCCGGTGATAGGGCTGCTTCGCTTCCGTCTTCCTCTCCGATACTTTGACTATCGTCGGAGATGTCCAGGCCATGAAAGGTCTCCCAAAACTGCTCGGATAGGCGTGAATGGCGTCCGGGAACAATAAGAGGCTTCCAAGTCAGGACTTCCAACATGCAAACACCCAAACTATAGATGTCGTCGGCCATTGTGTATGCTCTCTCGGCCAGTGGCGCTTGACGGGCTGAGTGCCGGTAGATCTTCTTCTCGATGGAGGTATCCCCGTGGAGGAAGGTCACTGGGTTCTCGGAGCGTCGTGCGTACTGCCATCCGATCAGGAAGAGTGTTGGATCCCCGCCATCGCCAGTATTTATCAGAATGATGTTGTCAGGTCGAATATTCTTGTGCACTAGTCCTAACGTGTGAGTTTGAAGGACAGCAGAAGCAAGCTGGTAGCATATGCCCATGCGGTAGTTCAGTGATGGTAAGCGGGGCTGTGTCCGATACGAGCTCGATAGGGTCGCCGGAAAGTCTCTGGTCAGATTTCCGTGGAAAATAAGCTCGAATGCCCCCTCTTGACCATTTTCATTTGGCCATCCGCGGAATCCCAGGAGAGGCAGGATTCCATTGCCGGGCTGAGCCTGGGACAGTTTCTGAGCAAGTTCTCGAACGTCCTGTTTGACAGCATCCTTGGTCGAAGGAGTGTATTCCTTTTGTTCATGTAGAAACCAAGAAACTTCCGTGCTGACCGTCTGTGTAGGGTGGGTAAGTCGGCCCTTGCACAGGAACACGTCGCGGTTCGGCCCGTATTGCCGATCTCGGGAATCGATCACCGTAAAATCTTGGTGTTGGAGAAAGTCCGGAGACTCGTCGGTCTCAATCATCCGGAGGCTTGTTACAACCGTGTGGAATTCCATGACAGCATTCGAAAGCTTGCCTGTGCTTCCTATATCCTTCAGATCATTCCTTGCAGCTTTGTTCTTCATCTTGGAGAAGATGGAAGTGTTCGTCCCCACTGCTTCGACGAGGTCATCCATGCGCTGGATAAGCTCTACGATCCGATTGAAATTACCGTTGAGCCGTGATTTGTGGTCCGGGGTGATGTTGGGGCTCTTGAGAACCTTTTGCGCCAGCTGAATATCGATCTCCAGCTGCATCCGTTTCTCGGGGATCTCGAACAGTCGTAATTGTTGGACGACATCTTCGAATCTTTTATGGTCCTGTATCTTCTGGTAAAGTTTCTGCCCATAATGACAAAGCAGAGAGATGACGCCAGGGACTGCAAGAACAAGACCTGCAGCCTCCGCCATCTCCGCTTAGAGCACTGACTTTGGGTTCGGAGTTCTTGGCCGTCTAAATCAGGCTGAATCAGTGACGGTTCTGAGCTGGTAATTCTGCGTGCATTGCGAAGATATAGATAAAAACTCACATTCATCGGCAGACAACAGCGTTTATGCGACTCATTTTTTCAGCATCGCCCCCAAAAAGTGGTGGGCTTGTGCCCACCGCATCATCGGGAACTCCCGCCTGCTCCACCTTCGTGAGCTGCGCGAATTTTGTGATTCGTCGGATGATCTGCGTATATGCGGCTGAAGCGAGCGAAGCTGCATGCCAATGCAGTCCAGATTGCTTAGCTGGCATGAAATGCGGAAGACGTATTACTGGACAAATGTGATAAACTCCTTTCGTTCTCATGTTTGACACAAATTCGCATGTCGGCCCTCATCACGTTCGTGCCATGCCCGAACTTCGAAACTCGTTTGCTGGTTAGATCTCCTTGATGCACCTCCTCCACAATGGACCGAACAGATTTGTCTGATCTGGTTACTTCCGTCACGCGCTTCCTCGACCTCAGCCTTATTGCAGTAAAAGTCTTGAAGGACAATCAAGGTTTCAACAACCCATCCATTGAAGATACCCTCACGGATATCAACGCTTCTTTACTATTCACTCGTGATATCCTCGAGCGAGAGGATGACGCAGCAGAGACGTCCACATTTGAAGAACCACTTATTCACTCGCTGGAGCAGTCTTTGGTCCATCTCCAGTCAGATCTGAAGAAGTTCTCCGCAAGCATCCTGGAAAGCAACTCAAGACGGCAACGTTGGCGTGCTGTGTTTCGATTGCCTACTGGTCAGCCAAAGCAGAACCACGAGCGCATACAGCAATCTAGCGAGAAGCTAAGGGCACTCCTTAAAAGACTCGATTCCCTAAATCGCTCAACCATAAAGGACATCGATGTCGAGGCCCCGGTCAAAAAGGAAGCAAAAGGACATGACATCCTTTTTCGCAAACGTCCAGCTCGAGTCACATTTGATTTTGTTGAACAACAGAATCAATATCAATTCCATCATCTCCAAGCCCGAGAAGGGTCAAAAGCTTGGCTTCTCCAGCACCAAGCCTTCGAAGATTGGCTCAAGGAGCCAGGAATGGTACTTTGGCTGGATGGTCCTGGTAATTGTTCCTCTTAAGAGATTATAGCCAATAACCGATGCTAATAACCACACCGTGCAGCTGGGTCAGGGAAATCCGTCCTCAGGTATGCTTGCTTCTTATCACTAGATTTTATGGTCTGACATCCCATGAGTTCAATTGTCATAGAACGTCTGAAGGAACGGGAGAAAGAGCCTGGTTCCAGCATCGGCATTGCTTTCCTTTTTCTCGGCACACCCCTAGGCTCGGGGCAGCGATATCCCTATCTTATATGGTCCATCATCCAACAACTGAGGGATGCCATGTCCCATACCAGAATTGGAAACAACAGGCCAAAGATCACCCGCAAAGGATCCTCCGACATGCATGAGCTTTCCGGACTTTTACAAGAGTCTATCAATCAGTATTCGCACACGTATATCATCATTGATGCACTGGATGAATGCTCCAATGAAGGAAACACGAGGACATTGCTTATTGAAGCACTTCGCGAAATTTCGCCACGAACACATCTTCTTGTGACGTCGCGACCGACAATTCAGTCCGCGCGTACATTTCCCAATGCACCCCAGTTGGTCCAGCTGGAAGTACGTCCGGAAGATGAGCCATTGACGCTGAAGGAGTTTGTCGAACCTCAAATGAGAACCCTAAAGCTGGCCCCCGACGATAAGAAAAAACTTATTGACAAAGTATTGGAGAGGTCAAAGGGAGAGTAAGTTGCAACCTGAATCTTGAAGTTCCTCGTTGACGGTCGGCATCGTTTAGCTTCATCATGGCGCTGCTTATTTGCAAGCAGCTCAAAGACCGCTCTGAGCAACCGTCATCAGAAGACTCAGAACCCCTCTTTGTGCATCTCAGAAAGGTTGCTCAAGCACAACCTGACGACATACGACTGCTCTGTGGCACCTTGATGAGCCAGATCCGCAAGGATGAACGATCTATGAAATTACTCCAATTGGTCCTGTTCTCTCATCGACCTTTGAAATCCGATGAAATCAAGGTCGCCCTTTCACTGTTGGCAGACCCATTGAACAAGGAATTTCAAATCGAAAACGCCCAGCCTGTTCAAAAAGGCTTGCTCACAAGGAATGCCAGAACCGATATGGTACAACTTACCCACGCCAGCCTCCGGGAGTATCTGGTATTGGAACTGGATAACTACTGTCAAGACCCTCACTCAGAAATCGCTGTTGTCTGCATGAAGTATCTGGAGACACATTTGGCCGCTGAAAATACTCAACAACACCCTGAGATCGCGGTTCTATCGTCAGCTTCTCCTAGCTTACCATTCTTGGATTACGCCGCATCCAACTGGGCATACCATGTTCAAAGAGCACAATACGTGGATATTCGAAGAGTTACCTCATTTCTCAATTCTCCAAACATCTCAAGTGTACTTTCCAAATTCATTGGCAGCCGCAGCCAAATAAAAACAACAATAGTCAAGGAGACAATGTCTGCGATACACATCGTAGCGCATTTCGGCCTCGTTGACGTTTTGAAGTCCCTCTTGCATAATAAGACTTCAAGAATGGATGAGAAGACTTCTGTTGGTCGGACTGCATTGCACGTCGCTTCCGCCGTTGGCAGAGACCAGGTGGTTGCCCTTCTCCTCAAGCAGGGTGCCAACATCCTGGAGCAGACAGAGGCAGAGAAATGGACCGCACTACACATAGCAGCAAGAAAGGGACACCTATCCGTCGCAAAAGAGCTCGTGGACTACCAAAATTTACCCACCCAACAAGCTGGCCAAGGCTTAGCACTACTCCACCTCGACGACAAGGCAAAGCGGACACCGCTGCACCTTGCAGCATCTGCCGGACATGCGAGTGTTGTTTCGTATCTGATCGATAAAGGGTCGAAAATCGATGGTATCGACGGAATGGGCAGCTCTCCACTCCATCACGCAATCCGGAGCGACCACTTGGATGTTGTGCGCATCTTGCTTGCTAATGGTGCAGACGTGCGGAAGAAGGACCTTGTTTACAAACAGACAGTCACAGATCTTGCCTGGAATAGAAGCGACCGAGATCGTGGTATGTCGATTAAATCCGCCTTATATGAAGTGGACAAGGAACGGACGGATGCGGTAGTGAAAGGCGGCCAAGCAACATGCCGCGTTTTGAAACACAAAGAGGAAGGACGTCAGGAATCAAAGGTATGGTGTCCGGACTCTATCTGCCAATATTCCTGATTATATCCACGGATTGTGAAAATGCTGACCATCACTTCAAGCATTCCTTTATCTTCGAGAAAATATTCGACCTGGGAAACACCCAGACACAGAAATACCTGCTTACCGAACATAAACTCCTGAAGAGGCTGAGCCATGCACACATTGTATCATACCTCGACTACGAAGAGCATCATGACCAAAACAGCTTTTCCCTATACATGGAGTACTTCGAGGGTGGCGATTTGTACAGAAATCACAGGTGGCCGTCCGAATTGAAGGACACGACGTCGTGGGTGGTGGATGACTTTGGCTTTCAAATCAGACCCGAGTCCCGACAAAGCCAAGAATCATCGAAATCCACTACCCCACTCGAAGAGACCATCGTTTGGGCACTGGTCTATCAGCTCGCCCTAGCCATGGCTTACCTTCACCATGGGTTGAACTTTTCTTCTGATGGTGGAGAAGCATACTTTGAAAAGGAGTGGGAATACGTTATCCACCGGGATATCAAGCCAGCAAATGGTGAGATGAACGACCCTCTCATTTTAATTCGCTGACCAAGAAAACTAGTGATTTTTCGACGTTCTCATGGGAACAAATCAATCGTCGCAAAGCTCTGTGACCTCGGTATTGCCAGAGAGCGAGGCGTTGGTGTGAGCGCCCCGAAAACGGTGATTGGATCCCAAGGGTACATGCCCCCAGTGAGTACCCATTTCCAATCAACGGAAGCGAAAGATGTACCAAGCCTAATTTCCAATTAGGAGTCCCCAATGTGGACTATCAAAGCAGATATCTGGGCATTTGGACGTAAGAGAAACCCCCCAACTTGTCCCTACAATGTATTTTCGAAGCCTGACACAACTCAGAGACCATTCTGAACACATATAAGGAAGCTGAAAGTGGGAATGAGGACAAAAGTACTCCATTGAAGGCGCTGATCAAGGCTTGTATAAAACGAGCAATGACTAAACGGCCTAGCAGCATCAAGATCCTGGAAGAATGTCACGACCACTTCGAAGAAGACTATATGCTGAAAAATAGACTACCAGAACAAACGATTCTACATATAGAGGCAGTACACAAACTTCTCGGCAACGGAAAGTCTTATCTCCTCCAGGCTTTTCGGCACGTCAGTAGCTTTCTCGACGATTACTCGGTCTTTGATAGCGCCACTCAGAACCGACGCAAGGCCATCGTCCATCGGCTGAACCTCTTCATGGACGATGGCGTGGAAGATCTTTTCAGAGACAACCCCGACGACAACTCCAAGCACCTGACCGTCCTCCTTAAATTTCCGTCCCGAAAGAGTGCGAAGAAAATGCATCTGGAACACTTGTGCCAGATCCAACCAAACATCAACCACAAGTGGAAAAAATCCGGATTGACGGCACTGCACCTCGCTGTACAACAAGGTGACCGCGAGATGGTGGAGGTTCTTCTCAAACATGGCGCAGATACGTCGATTCGGGATATTCATTCTCAGACGGCTGAAGACTTTGCAACGTCATGCGGATCTGAGGGTATCGAAGAGCTTCTTAGAAGTGGCCCCTCCTCATCATCGGGCACGCACTCTGAAATTGAGAAGGAACAGTCCAGAATTGTGGAATCCCCTACCCCACAGAAGAGTCTAAGCAACAAACCAAAGACAATCACTTTTTCAGAGCCACCTAAAAAACGTCCCACATGAACTTGTATTACAAATCTGTTCATAGAAGATTTGGATGTATCTCTTATATCTCTTTACATAGATTGGTTACTTCCTACTATGAGTTTGTATCTATCACCAGTAAATTGAATGATTCGTTAGTCATGCATGGATCGTAGGAACTGCAGTCTCTATTCTCAGAGTTGACTCTTTGTTTGTCGGAAACTGTGAATCCCCACGATTTAGTGAGCTTTGGGATGGATTTCCTGTAGATATCTTGCTGGCGGTAAATAATCGAGCCATTTAATGTGCAGCGCGCCATCGACAACATCATTGCGTTATCGCACAACTTGCGGAACTTTTCAATCATCATACGCAAAGTGCAGTCCAGGGGCTCATACCTGAAAAGTCCCGCACTGTGCGATCTATGGTCCTACATGCAGGCCGTGGGTAAATATGTGGAACACAACCATATAGAATTCCTCCGCTCCGACATCTGCACCGCAGCCAGGCATATTCGCCTTGGCGATAAAGAAACTCGGAAGACAAGGAACACAACATCACGAAAGCAAATATAGCAGGGGTACCATGCAGGCATGTGCGTCGGCCCAACCGGGGTGTCACACGATAAGCTCGCAGGCCGCCGGCGGCAGCAGCCCCGCTTGGTCCGGGACAACATCATCCGCTCAAAACAAAGCAATGTGCCGTGCGGAGAACATCGGAGAGCGCTCTTCTACAAATCTACCCAGGTACGCCAGATTCCTGGCACACCATCAAACATCCACATCCACCCCCACCCCCACCATGACCACCACCACCACCCCAACAACCCCCAACCTCCACATCGCCATCCTCGGCGCCGGCATCGGCGGCCTCGCCCTCGCCATCAGCCTGTCCAAACACTCCAGCCTCTCCATCACCCTCTACGAGTCCTCTCCCGCCTTCTCCGCGCTCGGCGCGGGCATCGGGTTTGGCCCCAACACGCTTTCTGCCATCGCGCTCATCGACGCGCGCTTCCGGGAGCAGTACGAGCGCGCCGCGACGGCCAACGCGCGGGCGGAGTTCGCGCACAGCATCTACGATGCGTTGTACGCGGAGCCAGGGTTTGGGGAGAAGCGAGGGTGGACGCGCGGGCTGGTCGGGGCGCCGTATTTCGTGCGGAGTAGCGCGCATCGGAAGGATTTGTTGGAGATTATGGCGGGGTTGGTGCCGGGGGAGGTGGTGAGGTTTGGGAAGAGGGCGGTTGAGGTGACGGAGGAGGAGGTTGGGGGGAGGAAGAAGGTTGCTGTGAGGTTTGAGGACGGGGAGGTGGGGGTGTTTGATGCGGTTGTGGGGTGTGACGGGGTGAAGGGGATGACGAGGCAGGCGGTGCTGGGGGACGTTGCGCCGGAGGAGGTGCCGCCGACGTACTGCGGGATGTACGTCTACCGCGGCGTCATTCCGATGGATGAGGCGAAGGAGATTCTGGGAGAGCATGCGGGGGATGCGAAGTGGTTCATGGCGGAAGGAAAGGGCGTCGTCATCTACCCCATCTCGAAAGGCAAGGAAGAGAACTTCGTCTTCTTCGTCAAAGACGACGATCCGTGGGCGCGAGGGGACTCGGCGGTGCCTTGCACCACGGAAGAGATGAGGGCCGACTTGCCCGAGTTCGACCACCGGCTTCTGAAGATTCTGGACTGGGCCATGCCGCTGCGGTGGCCGACGTGGCACCATCCCGAAACCTCGACCTACTACAAAGGACGGCTCTGTTTGCTCGGGGACGTTGCTCACGCAATGAGCCCGCATCAAGCTGCCGGCGCTGGCCAGGCGTTGGAGGATGCTGTTGTTCTCGCCCACCTGCTGGCTTTGGTCAAGACCCCGGAGGAACTGGGGCCTGCTTTTCAGGTGTACGACGCGATTCGTCGACCACGAGCGCAGAAGGTTGTGACGACGAGCCTTGCGGCCGGGATTATCAAACTCTGGCTTGACCCTGAGCTGGGCAGTGATATGGAGAAGATTGTGGAAAACGGCAATGAGAGTTTGCACTGGATATGGCAACACGATATCTTGGCAGACCTCAGGGAAGCAGAGGACCAGTTCTATAGACTAGTAGAACATGGTAGGACGGGACCCATCGAAGTCACCATGTCAAAGGTGTGAAAACATCCAAGGCGAGCTGGTTGACCGGCTTGTAGCTTAACCATTTGAGAATTGCGAGTAGCACTCCGGCATTCAGAACCTGTATCGGTACAGCCGCCACCTAACGCCATCGACGAGTCCTTGCAGGCTGTAAAGATAAACGCTTATCTCTCTTTTAACCGCGTTGATCTGTTTCAGCTGCATGCCAGCCTGGCTTTTCCACAAAAGCGTGCCGCGGGACATGCTATTCCGGCAGAAGAGCAGGGATGCACCGATGCATCAAATTTCCCGATAGGTCAGACTCTCGGCAAACCACCATATCGAGAAGGAGGGTATAACTACTGTACAACCATGCTCAAATGCGAACATCCCTGTCAACCCATGTATCTCAACGTCAATTTGGTCCATCTCCAGCGATCATCACTGCATGTAAGCCAGACGTGATTTGCATGCGTTGTTTTCCACATCATTTCGTTCGCCTCGGAGTTTCCGAGTTCGTCTATGCATTTTTAAGACCCGCCTCAAGCGCCAATATTTCCAATTGGCACTTTGGACTTTAAGTTAACGTTCTGATTCACCAGAACTGTCCTTCATCCAGTCCCCAATTCTGTGCATCGGTTCCGCTACCTGTTCCCCAACATGGCTGAAGTCACGAAGCCCGCCTCACAAGAAGACTCGACCATCGGAAAGAGCGAAATAGTCGTAGATGCCGTGGAACACAACCCCGCTCTCGACCGGAAGCTACTCCGGAAGCGAGACATGGTGTTGATTCCGATCACGGGCGTGCTGTACACGCTCCTGTTCCTGGACCGCACCAACATCGCGAACGCGCGGGCGTTGGGCATCGGGTCTCCCGACGGGCTGGAGGGCGCGCTGGACATGCCGGCAAACGGGTACAACGTCGCCTTGTGCATCTTCTACATCCCCTTCGTGCTGGCCGAGATCCCTGCCAATCTGGTGCTGAACTGGAATCGCTTTCCGCCGAGATACTTGCTCGGGGGGCAGATGCTGCTGTTAGGTACGTAAGACAGCCAATGCCCCCGCTCAGCACGCACTACTGACCGCGCGTGTGCCGCACAGGAATACTGGGCATGTGCCAGGGTCTGACGCAGAGCTACGGCGGGCTGTTGGCCGTGCGGTTCCTGATGGGCGTGTTCGAAGCGTCGCTGCCGGCCGGCGCGACCTACCTCATCTCCGTCTACTACACGAAGCGCGAGGCGGCTCTGCGGTTCGCCTGGTTCTTCAACTTCGCCCTCGCCGGGCCCCTCTTCTCCGGGCTCCTCGCGTACGCCATCCAGAAGAACGTCGACGGCGCCGGCGGCTACCAAGGCTGGCGCTGGGTCTTCATCATCGAAGGACGTACGTCAGCATCCGCCCTCCAACCCACCACCCGCACCCCAGCTGACCAACCTCCAGTAATGACCATCCTCACCTCCCTCCCCGTCCTCCTCCTAACCCCGAACCTCCCGCACGCCGCGCAATCCTGGTTCCTCCGCCCCCACGAGCGCGACCGCCTCCTCGCGCACCTCCGCGCCTCTTCCTCCTCCCCTTCCTCCCCCTCCCCCTCCCCCTCCGCCGCCCCATCCGCCGCCACCCCCCTCCGCAAAATCCTCCTCGACTGGCGCATCCACACCCCGACCCTCATCTTCTTCTGCACCGACATGACCGCGGCATCCATCGCCTCTTTCGCGCCGACCATCGTCGCCGAGCTCGGTCTGGCCTCCTCGCACACCGTCGCCCAGCTGCTCACCATGCCCATCTGGGCCACCGGCATCGTGTTTACCTTCGTGCTGACGGGGCTGGCGGCGCGGTGGGACATGCGTACGCCGTTCCTGCTGCTCGCCATCGCCTCGCAGCTGGGCGGGTGGTCGATTCTGCGCGCGGGGGCCACGGCATCCGCCTCTGACGCCGCCGTCCTGCGGCCAGGCGCGCGCTACGCCGCCCTCTTCCTCCTGGCCGCAGGCACGGTCCCGCAGATGGCGCTGCTGCTGAGCTGGCTGTCGGCGAACCTGCGCGGCGGGCGGCAGGTAGCCGTGGGGACGGCGTGGATGACGGGCTTCGGCAACTGCGCGAACTTCGTGGCGGCGAATGTGTTTATCAAGAGCGAGGCGCCGCGGTACGTGACGGGTGCGACGACGGGGTTGGGGTTCACGGTTGCCGGGTTCGTGCTTGTGGTTGGGTTTGCGGCGGGGTTGGTGAGGGCGAATAAGCGGCGGGAGGAGGAGCGGGCGAGGCTGTCGGATGATGATGAGAAGGGGAGGTTTGATGAGGTGCGTTTTCGGTATGTGCTGTGAGCTGTGTGCAAAGCGCTGTTGTTGTATGTACATCTCTTCATTTGCTTCTGTGGATGCTTTCGCGAAGCGCACTGCGGTCAATGGGGTTCAACGTCTTTGAGATTTCTGGGATATGGGAATTTTGCATTTTCTACCAGGGCTCGAGACTAAAGGTAGAAAGAGAACTTTAATATCTAAGTTCGGGTATGAATTACCAAGCGTCAGCCGCAAGCACCCGAGTCTCCACATTCAGACAATGGACTTATGCGGTCTGATCGCGTGAAAGAATTCAGATACTCTTCCAGATGGATCGGTGTTCGGAAAAGTCCAGCATAAATTCACGTCACTGTTCGACAACATTCTCACATCCACGGCATGGCCGATGAAACACGACTCACCTCTGGCTAGACGTTCCTGTAGATAGTCAGCTTTCAACACGAGCATCTCACATGGCTGAAATTCAGCAGAGCAAAACACGTGCCACACAGCCGAGTGACACGACCGAAGTGGCGGGGCAGACGAATCTACCCAACACCCTTTTCGGGACGGGAGAGGTTTGTTCGGTAAAGTCGATTTGAGCTATTACGCCGAAACGATCTTTACCCAGCCACCACGCTGAGATAGAAGGTCTGTTCGGTAAAGTATCTAAACTTCACCCAGCCACCACGCTGAACTCCTTTTTTTGTGCATCTCCCTCCAATTGTGTCCTTTAAGCGACGAGCTGGATGACACCACCGGCCTCCTTGATCTTGCGCTCGGCCTCGGCGCTGACGTAGCGGGCCTTGACGACGATGGGGACGTTGGGGAGGCGGCCCTTGCCGAGGAGCTTGGCGTAGCCGAAGGTGAGGAGGTCGACGACGGGCGCCTTGTCGGCCGACTTGGCGCTGAGGTACTCATCGCGCTTCTCGGCGGGGACGAGGGTCCAGAGCTAGACGGAGTGAGTTAAAAAAAAAAAAAGAAAAAGCCATGTGATGATATGCGTACCTTGTCAAGGTTGATGACGGGCTTGTAGAACTGGCTCTGGACCTTGTGGAAGTACCTCATACCGACCTTACCGAAGTAACCGGGCTACACGCAGCTGTTAGCTCTCCGAAAGATATTACTTCATCCTTCTGCCAACCCTATAGGCAGAGATGTGGCAAAGATATGCCAAGAGCAGGCGCTCACGTGTCTGACGGTGAAATGGATTCGAAGGTGAAATGGGATCGAAGGTGAGATGGGTTCGAAGGTGAGATGAGATGTCCCAGTCGCTTGATACCGTCTCAGACCTACCTATGCGTCCGCCATCTATGCGTCTTACACGTAAACTTCGCCTCTTGTTGGGTGGCAGGTGCTGGAGCACCAGAGCGCCCTGAAAAATTACACGGGACAACCAGCAAGGCCGAGATATACGTGGACGACGCATAGATGGGTCGAACGCATAGGTGGGTCTGAGACAGCATGCCTCTTCTTGGAACCCGAAGAAAAATCCACGGGGATCGTCCCGGACGTTGGCGAACCCATTTCACCTTCGAATTTCACCGTCAGACACGTTAGGGACGGTCGACTTACGTGGTACTTGTCCATATTGGTTCTGTGGTGGTGCTGACCACTGTTCGACACTATCAGCGTGTGCTTTGGAGGAAGTTATGGGGTGGAGTTGACTTACCCAGCGAGACCACGACCACCGGGGTGCTTCCTGTGCTTGCCAATGCGACCGTGACCGGCCGAGACGTGGCCGCGGTGCTTCCTGGTCTTGGTCAACCTCGTAGGCATGTTTGCTGGTGGCGAGGCGGTGAGGTGGTGAGGGAGGAGTTGTCGTCGTTGAAGAATCGTGGTGGAGCGGGAAGACGAAAGTTTTGTTGTGGGCAAGCGCGCAACGGAACTACGTTTCGCCGTCTTGGCGCGCCAAAGAAAGCACGGACCTCTGCTTTCGCCGCGTCCGAAATTCCTGGCCGGGAAGCCGCTGTCATTTCTCATCTGCTCCAACTATCCGCAATGCAGCAAATCGCCTAGACGCATTTACCTGTCCTACAGGCAAGGCGACTCATCCCCACATCTTGCAAGGCATCATTGCCTGGACCACCTCCAGCTAAATCTGTGCAGGCGGAATGTGTATCCGCTCCGAAGAAGTCCCGCGGATGACATCCGCATGTGTCGACCAATGAGAATGACCCTTAATATCGACCTTTACAAGTCAAGGATTTGTGGCTCTGAATGATGGAGATCAGATTCCAGCTTGTGATCTCAGAACATAATTGTCGTCGCCCAGTGAAGTCACAAATGGTACAAAGGCGTGGTCCGCCAGCTACAAATTAAACCGAAAAATTAATTAATTTCGATCTCTAAAGCAATGAGATAACTGATCATCTTCTTCAAAAAATTTTAGAAACGACGAGGAGGTAGTTTAGGAAGGCAGAACCAAATGAGCAGGCATAAGAGAAGACATGCGAAGATGATGGGCTGCAAGACTTGCACTCCCTTTGCCTGCGCTATCGCCCCCACAGCAAAAGGCACAATCGATGCTCCGGAAGATCCAATTGCTGAGCAGATGCCGACGGCAGGAACTTGCAATGACTTTGGGAGAAGAGTGGTAAGGCAGACAATAACGCCCGGAAACAGCGGGCCAAGGAAAAACCCTAAGCCATTCGTTAATACAGGAGCCTTTGTAGATTCGATGAAGCTTACCCAAGAACGCTGCGCTGATAGCCGATGCAATGAAGTTTGGTATCAGCCAGAACAAGAGCTGCATGACGATCGAGAGGCCCAGATAGCATGATACAGCGAGCTTGACGCTTCTGAAAAGCCTTGCTGTTGCGAAGCCCAGAACAAACCTGCCTACGGTGAGGCCGGCCCAAAACCCGCTCGAAGCGATCCCAGAGGCAAACGCGGTGCCGTGTCGAGTCTTGGTTAGAAAAGTCACCATCCACCCTCCCATTGCCACTTCTGAGCCAACGTAGGAAAGAAGAAAGGCACTGCCGAGGAACACAACTTTCTGTCTGAGGCAGAGGGCTGTTTGGCTGCGTTTGATAGAAGTGAAGCACCGGGAGAATACATTTCGTCCCTGTTCAGGTGAGGCATCTGGTTGCTGGGGATGCTCGCGGGGCCGGATTTCGTTCTTCTCTCGGTAAGATCGTCCGCCCTGGTTCGCAAACGTGCAAAGAGAGAAAGCCATGTCCAGAGCAGCCAGGCCCAGCAAGGGGTAGTAGATCATGTACCACTGCCAGTTCCGCTTGGTGAAAAGACTGCTTGCGACCGAGGGCATGATGGTGGCGCCGGCTCCGTAGAAACCGTGGAGTAGCCCGAGGAGCTCGTTTGGGTTCTGCATGCCGCCGACGTACGAGTTCCACGCCGCCTGTTTTGTCCCGCTTCCTAGTCCGACCAGGATGTACACGACCACCAGCGCGGGGAACGGAGGATGTATGCTCGCGATGGCGTAGGCTACGATGTGGCAGGAGCCTCCGATTAGTGCAATACCACGTTGGCCAAAGCGTTCATGGATGGAGTGATTTGCGAGCGTGCTGGCGATGAAACCGGCAACTGGCGAAAGAAAGAGCAGTGAAACGGTTGTGTAGTTGAGACGGTAGAATGACTCGAGCTGCATCTCCATCAGCAGAGGGATTTTTTCTAGGAAGCGGCCAAGACGTACCCGCGGAATGAGAACCTGCGATCGTCAGCGAAAACTAGAGTCCAATTGCTTGAGGACACTTACGCCGTATAAGCTGTCGTTGGCTCCGAGAAGAATGAAACACCAGTAGGTGGCGGCTATGCGGAGCGTGTTTGAAATAGACGAATTCCAGCGCCTTGCTGTGTCTTGATGGGAAGAATCGCTACAATTTTGTAAAGATTCATGGTCTTCCTGGACTATCTGTTGGCTTTGTGGCTGTTTTTCGTTGCTCAAATCCATTTTGAGACTCCAGTTTGGAAAGGGAAACTGAATGAAAGGAACCCATATTTTAGGGAGGGTGCGTAAGTGATATAGACATTGATTCTCTTGGCTGGTGACTATACAGGCGGAACTTCGGCTACAGGGATCCAGCACCATGCAATGAGATACGTATTGTGGCCACGCCGATCCACAGCACAGATTTTAGTGCGGGGTTTCCGCTCTTCCGCTTCGTTTCCACCACCACAAGGAAAGCCATCCACCGTGAAACCCTAACTGCAGAGTTTCGGAGTTTGTGCTTACCTTTTTCTTGGTAGAATGAGTTTCCCTCGCAAGCGTGTTTCTATTGCCTGTAATTTCTGTCGTCACCGGTCAGTTGCGCAAACCTCGACACCGCACCACCGGTAGGCTTACAAGTGCAAAACAGGAAGCGCAAGTGTGATGGCCAGAAGCCAAGTTGTGGACTTTGCTCTGAAGCTGGTGCTGAATGCGAGTATCAAGAGGCCACTCCAGACCGGTGAGAACGGATGACGATGAGTTGGAACATGACCACTGATCTGTGCTACATCAGTTGCGAGTCAGACAAAACGCAGGAAGCGCTACTACGCCGTATCAGCGAGCTTGAAGATCTGCTGAAGAAGCAAAACGACTTACTCAGCCAAAGCCAATGCGTTGATAAGACTCCGCATCACCGACACCCGCCGGCCCGCTTCCCGCAGCACAGTCCCATATCTACAACCGAACACGCACCCACAACCCAATCTCGGTCGCGCTCTACCACTACTAGCGAGCCTGCTTTGCATATTTCATCAGGCTCACCAGCTGCGGCGGGCCACACGCTTGGGTCGGACTTCTCGAGATTTGATCCGCCACCTATCGCCGACGGGACAGTTGCCGATAACGACCATGATACACCGCTAACTATCCCTCTGGGGCACCAAACAGCAACAGCCAGTCTATTTGCCCTTCCAAAGATACAGAACCTGATAGGCGAGTACCCACCGGACTTCTACCAAATTGAGTCCCAGCGGAGCCTGGATATGTTCACCGTGCAGCCTCTTCCGGACTTCTTGGCTACTTTGGATGTCTCCCGAAGCACCGCCGATCTTTTAATTGCGGGATTCTTCTCCCGCATTTATCCCAGCCTTCCTGTTGTCACTCGGGAGTTTCTCTACTCAACCTACGATGAGGTCATGAGTACCAATCCTTGTCCGGATGCGAGTACAGCCCTGATACTGGTGGTGCTTGCATTGGGAAGCTTAGTCGTTACTTCCGATGGCATGTCATCCACCAGCTTGGCATATTTCTCTGCCGCGTATGAAATTCTGACGGTGCAGTGGCCGAAGTCTTTTGAAACAGATTTAGCGCTGCCTTCTGCATTGGTATATGGGTCTGTATACCTATCGTACATGGTCATGCCTCTCCAATCCTGGAGATTGGTACATATGGCATCGACGAGTTTGCAGTTGCACAACATGCAGTAAGCTTTCGTACGTGATCAAAATACGTTTAGTCTGACCAATCAAGGGTGCAGAGAAAATCAACATCACAGGATGAGGAAGACTGCCTCGGCCGGCTCTGTTGGGCCTGTTTCTTGCTTGAATGGTGGGTTTGTCCTCTTCCTCATGGATGTTGTAGATTACTAACACGGTAATCTGTGCAGTGACAGCCTTGCTGAATTCCACCTCCCGCGGAGCGGTATCGAGGTCTTGATTGATGGCATGCCGTTCCCACACTTCAGTGAACAGGACGAGCGCGATAGCCTTGCATTCTTGGCCGTTTGTTCAATGAGGCGGTTGCTGAACAGGATCCATAGCACTGTATATGCCAACCCGACGGGTAGACATTCCACTGATCCCGCACCATCCCCGATGTCTCCGGCCGGCCCGGGAGTTAACGTAATGGAGAAAGTCTGTGCAGAACTCGCGCACCAACTAGACACTTGGTACAACTCTCTGCCGGATGCGATCCGACCTGACCTGCAAACCCATATCCCTCGAGACATCCTGGACGGTTGGTTGCGTCTGCGCTATTGGTCCGCCCGCCACATTATTTTCCGACCATGCGTCGTTCATGTCACTATGCTGCCCGAAAACGAGGAAGTTGCACCGCTTAGCATTCTCAAAGACTGCCAAGTGTGTCTCGAGAGTTGCCAAAACTTCCTTGCGACTGCAGGATTCCTGCTCAAGGAGCGGACACAATACACATGGATGATTATACAATCGTATGTTGAAACGTGTAGCCGTTGCATTGTGTTGTATCTAATGTTCAACGGTGTAGATCTTTGGCGTGCGGGCTGGTTCTTACGAATGCGTCTGCGAGTCCGCGTCTCAGGCACCTGGTGTCGAGCATCACCGAGGTACTGGGAAGTTTGATTGATTCGATGGAAAGATGGGCGACGCCAGACTCCAGTGCTGACGCGGCTGTATGCATACTGCAGACGATGCGACAGAAACAACGTCTCAAACGGCTCTACCGTTGAGAATGCCATCACATATCTAAGTCGAGTCCGGGGTCAGCTGCACATAGAATTTTGCTTCCTTGAATTTGAGCCCTCAATTTCTGCAGAAGTGCCTCTGACGCGATGGCTTGCATGTTTTGAGTACAGGATTCGGTGATATGAGGCTGCAGAGATATGCATAATATGGCTTTGCAGATGGACGGGTTAGGGTGCGGGTAGGCGGATAACCAGTTCCGCTTACCCGCTCTCTTGCCTCTCATCCTGGTCACGCAGACCCCGCAAATACATGGAGTTGCGGAGACAAGTTGGAGGCCTTTGCCTTTTCGGTCTTCTCCTGAGACAGAAAGATTCCATATGTTACCGGTCCAACTCACTGCGGCATGCAACACCACGTCTGGAACCTTGGACCGAGATAAGATATAGTCCCCAGAAGTGAGCGGACAGAACAGTTCCGTGGTTCAAATGACTGATTTGTATTGGCGTAAACCTTCCAAGAGCAAGACATAGGTCCTGCCTTTGCATCTCTGTTGTCGTCCCAAGCTGTATGAGCCACCACCAATGTCCTCAAAGGGATAAGCCTTTTGGAAGCCTTGGCGACAGCAGATCGGCAGGACCATGTGAATCTGACATAGCCAGTCCATCTTGTACCGCGCATAAGAAACACCCCTGCCTTCGTATCAGCCGTGCGGCTCAGCCCATTCCATGGACACAATACGCAAACAGTGGCTGCAGAGTGGAAAGAGAACCTCACACTGGGTTGCCTGAAATCACAAACGCAAATGTCAATTCTACTCCATCGCGTTACATGCAATCTTGAAATGTTGTACGGTTGCATGGTCGGGAGAGGAAGCTGAGATGAAACATGTTCTGAATCTTCTTGCTCGAGTTGTGCAAGGGGTTTCCATATTTTACTCTGATACGGAACAAGATCGGCCAAATGTCATTCGCGCACGTGTCTTGGATCCTGGCATGCAGGGTCTTCTCCAGCAAGTTAATGACTTCCGCAAAGATCGTCATCGCGTCCTATTCAGGACTCAGAACACACACAGCCTCCACCATTGGACGTCGCTCGTAGCATTCGCGGAAGCGATGTAGACATTTTGATATAGAAGAATATATTGATGTAACCAATTGCCTAGGATTTGCTCTCGTCAGCCTAACAAAAGGGATGCAAACGGACTTGTAGAGGCTGAGGTACCTCCGTGAGACTAACCATTCGTCCCTCGTACCGTTGGGCTTGGCGAGAAATTGTCTCAGACTGCTTAATTTGTTCTTGTTTCAGGCTCCAAAACAGTGGCGCATCGCAGCATCACGGCAAGATCTAAGCCGTACGTAACCTACACCGCGCATTGCTCTGCGTGCTCGAAACGGCAACCTCGGGATGATTTATTCCTGATTCGGAAAGCTTGCGGGAGAGCTAAGGAATGCAAACTGATCTGTTGCCTTACCTGACCAACGTGAGGGAGTGAGGTAACAACGAGTCCGCCAAGTATACCCTGCAAGAATATAAAGTCGACGTGAAGGACCCTTCAACGAGGCCAGCACGCCAACCAAGTCCTTCGCTACAGTGACCACCATGAGTCTCATCCGTTCGCTTTGCTTCCTGAGCTTCTCGCTCGAAGTTCTCGGCGCCACCTGCTTCACGAGCCAGGAGCGCCTCCCCGGTGACCCGTGCGGAACCGATATCGCGGCTGCTCTGACTTCAGAGGATCGGGTTGGATGTTTCTGTGCTGGAAACTGGGACGCCGGTGACTATCAGCAGCTTGAGCGTAGCACCAACCATGGCTGTAAGAAACTCTTTTCATCGCTTCAGGAATTGTTGTTTACTGATTCTGCCGTAGCCGTGGTGTACAGCATCGAGCGAACCGACAACACCGTGCCTCTCAAGTACTGTGAAGAGGCCTTCAACAACATCATTGATGAGTGCATCCTGGACGGAAACACCTGGGGTGGTGTGTTCAGCTTCGATGGGGAGGTCTACAACATCTCCAACACTGTTTACCCTGACAACCCATTACTCCCCACCGATCAAGGAGGTCCTATTGGACCCCTCAAACGGGAGCCCCAGACTTTCTCTATTTTGCCCATCTCGACGCATACAGAGACGACCACATCGTGCACAGAAACCACGACAATTACCACTGAGCTCACCACGGAAAGTACCATCACGGGAACTATCACGGAAACATCGCCGGGAACTTCCACGGAAATTTCTACGGAGACTTTCACGTCAACTTCAACGTCTGTGTCTACGTCAGTGACAGTTTCGTCTGCACTCCGAATTGGAAACTGGACGGAAACCTGGTCTGAAAGCTGTCCGGAAAGCACACCCACGCCAGACGTATCGACAGCGATTATTGTATCAACAACAACGGAGATTCCAGAGACGGTTACATCGATAGACGTCGTGCCAACGACGGAAACTGTTGCGACCACAGAAGTTGTCCCAATTACGGAGATTGATACAACCACGGAAATTGTCCCAACGACGGTTGTTTCGGTCACGACGAATGTGTCAACGGTCACAGATACGTTCACAACGACGGAAGTGGTGCCAACTACCGTTACATTCACGACGACCAATGTATCGACAGTTACGGACACGTTGACCGTGACGGACACCGTGCCGACTACGATTATCTCGGTGACTACAGATGTATCGATCGTGACAGACATTGAGACCACGACCGAGACGACGACGGAAGTATCTGAAACGACTGTCACAGATGTGTCGACGACCACGGACGTATCAATGACAACGGACACGTCTATTCCGTCAACAGTTATAACAGAAACGCCAACGGATACAATTACCTTTGGCGTTGGGTCCCGTATTCCTGGAACGCTTTCCGAAACGCCTACCGATACTGCCCTTCTTCCCACATTCACTTCAGGCTACCTAGACTCCTTCACAATGTCGTTCAAATCGGGTTTCCGGACCATACCATCGGGAGATTTCGGAACAACTTCAGTTTCTGAGACATCAACTCTAGTTTACGAGACATCGACTCCGGTGTACGGGGAGCCATCGTACCAGCCCTCTGCTCCTGTCTATGGACCTCCACCGTACTAAGTCCCAGAACCATCGATTGGAATTGGTTGGGCATCAAATGCGGCGGTTCAACAACACTCAACTGCCCATTAATCGACCTTTCCGTCATCGGAAGCAGCCTCAACTCCCTTATCTAACTGACCTAGACGTGCTGCGCCTTTTCTGCTCGACAGTGCCAGGTACACCTCTGTATCACCAGATTCGCACACCGTTGGGGAACTGCCATGCGCGTGCCCTCACAGCATCCATACCATCGATCCTTTCAAATCGACTACACCGTCCCAGAGTATCATAACACCGGAGTGGAAGCCCGTGAAGTTACCGTTCATTTCATTTTGTCATTCGAGCGACATCCAACTCCGGCAGCTCTGCTGGCCCAAGACTTGAATGGCACTTAGGAGAAACAGTTTACCCAATGCGTATTTTCCTTTGCTGTCTTGCCTTCTCTTCACTTCTCACTCTCCCTTTTTCCCTGCTTCTACTCCATTGGTTTGTACGCGGTAATGGTGGCGGTCGGAAAAAAAGTTATACAGAGCAAATTTACATAAACTCTGGTACCATCTCTTTCCCCAAACCTTACTGATGAGTGACTGGATGCTCTTGATCGATATCGTTCTGCGGTACATGCATACGAGCCGCCATTGCCTATACTATCAAGGTCTTTCAGTGACCAGCCAATTTCACAACGACCTCTTTTCCTCGGGTAAAGCTTCCTATGTGATACAATTCTTTAAGCAGCATCGCGAATTCATTAATTGTCACTTTAAACTCATATTCCCACTCGTCTGCTTGAGCTCCCCCATCATGCATCTCCAGAAACACATGAGTGCGACCTCATTAATCGCTGTCTATGGAAAAGAAGACAAAACTCAACACACCAGGTCTTCCTTGTCATTCTTCGGTGGGGACAAGCAGATCCCTGCAGTGGCGGCTCTACTCCCTAAATTGTTTCGAAGTCATTCGCGGTAGGATTTTAGCGCTGATCCTGAAGGGGCTGCTGCCTGTTGCTACCCCACAACCCGCCCACAACTCCCTACACAGCCATCAATCCACCAGAATCAAGTGAGTCACGAGATCCGAATATATTCTCCGACATCCACTCCAGAAAAGCGACTCTTCAGCGTCTACATCTGTTTAACATCTTTCAACACATCCTATACAAAAAATATCCTCCGACGCCAGTACACACCAACATGACAGCAACCCGCCTCACCAACGCCCGCCACTCCCGCACCACGCACCTCGCATCCCTCCCCTTCCCCCTCTGGCTCTTCGACCCCGACCAACCCGCCTGGCCCCGCAAACGCGCCGCCATCCCACCCGGCTCCCGCCCGGCAAGGCTGACCGGCTGGTACACCTGGCCGTGGGAATACGGCACCGACGTGCGGCGCATCGACGACGCGCTGCCCCCCGGCGTCACTGGTCCCGCTGCACAAACCGGCCAGGCAGGGTCAGTGCAGCACGTGCTGAGCCAGCTGCGGTACGATGACCGGTTTGAGCCGGGGACGTTTCGGGTGGTGTATGAAGCCGGGGAGGAAGGGAAGGAAAGCGCGAGGGAGTTGGAGGAGTGGGTGTGGGAGGTGGGGACGGGTGAGGAGGGGTACGTTGCGCCGAGGCGGGTTGTGCGGGTGGAGCGGAGGTGGGATGGGGTGCCGGTTTGGGAGCGGGGGAGGGCGGGGGTGGATGTTTTGGGTGGGGAAGGGGAGGGGGCGTGCGTGGTGTATGGGGTGGCGTCGTTGGTGGGGGGCGATGAGGAGCTGGTTCGTGCTGCGGGGGTTGATGTGCTTGATGATGGGGGGAGGATTAGGAGGGCGCAGATCGAGTTTTTGGATGAGGAGGGTGGGCAGGCGAGGGGCATTGTGTATCCGGGGAAGAACCAGAGTGAGCGGGGACTGTATATCACGCGCGGGCCGGATTTTGCTTGGAATAAGAGGCTTTTGGCTGGGACTGCGTTGGAGGGAGCTCCGTGGTCGGATGTGGAAGACTACGTTCGGCAGAGAAGGAATTGTCCGTTAATTTAAGGCCGTCAATTTACCGAAAGCTACTTGTAGATTGTGCCAGTCTTTTGATTCCCATGAGCCAAAGAAACAAGATACTGAAGAATAAAGAGTGAACGGTTACTGCGAACCCAACCCTTGTCAACCCTACCTGCCGTACTCGAGCAACCTCCAGACTCCCAGGCCTTTATCGCTTCTACACGTCCCTAACGTTTGCCTCTGTGCTTACACTATCCTATGCCGGCGATGGCAACGGATCGGCGCTCTCAGCATGGCACGTCTGCGGCTCCTTCACTTCCTCCCGCGCAATCTCCCTACCAGTCTCCTCTGCAAGCACCTCATCCAATCCTAGTGGGGGAGCCTTCAAACTTGGATCCTCCAAATTCCTAGGGTCGAGCATGCCGAGCCGTGCGCCGGCTTCGGGAATGGGTACGGCGTCGGCGCCACCATGCCACGTGCCGAGACTGAGCTCCTCATGCGCGAGCGCTCCGCTGCAGTTGGAGCGTCTCATTAACGCACCACTACAACCGAGTATACTTGTCAAAGCTGCGCTAACGATTCTGAGCACAGCTCAAGTGTGTACGAAATGATGATGATATGCATTGCCGCTCAAGCGGGATTCCTGCGGGATGTAGCGTAGTTCAGTGGCTCGACTTTCACGAGTAGGTAAACGGGTGGAAACGAGCGCCGTAACGGGCTGCTAATTGGAAAACAAAAAATCAAATTTGAATTCAAGACCACGTTACAAACAGCTATGGGGTGCAATCCTTCGAGAACCGATACACATGGATGTGCCCTAAGGCCGTGCCCACGACCACCTTGTCTTCAGCCTCACCTTCGAGGACAAGGGTCGAAGTAGGGCAGAACTTCCTTGGGAGAAAAATAATGTTCCAGTCTTCGTGTGTAATCCACCATTGATCCTTAGCCGTGTCGAGCTTAACTCTCCATGGACTCCAGGTGCGAGGCTGCGAGGCTCCAGAGGCAGGCGTGAGGGAGAGCGCGCCTTGTGATGTCATGATATACTCATCTGGCTTTGGTGAAAGCCACATCTTGTAGTAGACCGAGTTGAAAGGCAGTCGTGTCTGCTCCCCTGTCTCGATGTCCCAAATCCACACGGTCTCGTCGGCCGAGGCCGACACAACTCGCTTTCCCGTCACCAACACACTGCGAACACTGCCAGTCGAGTATTCGCTCTTCTTCTCCCAGCTCCCATTATCATTCTTTTCCCACAAAACAACCCTTCCATCCATTCCCCCAGAAACAAGATACTCACCATCAGGGCAAAAAGCAACACACGTAGCATAACTACCCCCGTGCGCGTTTTCCAGCACCTGTTCTGGTTTCTTAGATTTTTCTCCACCAATCTTCCAAAAGCAGATGGAGCTATCGTCAGATGCGGAAGCAATGTATTTCTCGCTACCGCACCAGGCAGCGCACCGGACCCAATCACTGTGACCTTCGAATACATGCTGGAGCTCACCAGTTGAGACCTCGCAGATGCGTGCGCTGTTGTCAGCGGAGCCAGACAGGAGGAGCTTGCCGCTTGGTGAGAATGCGAGCGAAAACACGTCACGTTCGTGATCGAAACCCATGTTGTATGGGACCTTTTCTTCTTTCTCCATGTCCCAGAGGAGTACTGGCCCGCCCAACATTGCGTATGCGACCGTACGACCGTCAGGGCTCACCGCCATTTCGTTCACTTCGTCTTCCCTATGTCTCCTTTCTCCATTGTCCTCTTTCGGCAGCTGGTCGATAGCTGCTGCTTCGGTTGATCTACCAGTGACGTACCAAAGGTGCACGCCAGAATCGTAGGATCCAGAGACGAGGTATTCGCCACTGGGCGCGAAGGCAACTGAGCGCACATTGGAGGATGGTGATTGTAAGACTTGAAGTCTTTCCCCGGTAATAGTGTCCCAGATATGGATGGCATTATCAGTTGCGGTCGCGAGCAATGTTCCCTCATCGTCGGGCGAGAAGGAAATTGAGTTGACTCTGCCGACTGTCGGGTTGAGTGTGTGCTTCCGTCGCTCTTTACCCCAGGTTTCTTCCCCATCTATTTCTCTGTTGGAGGTCGTACTATTTGCATCCCAGATGCCGGCAGTTCCGTCACTGGCTCCTGACGCTAGGAGTTTTCCATCTCTGGAGAAAGCAACGGCATCGACAGATGATTCGTGACCCTCGAAAGTCCTCAGCAATTTGCAGGTTGCCATGTCCGAAACACGAATCTTCCCACCATCTGCCCCGGTAGCCAGCTTTGTCCCATCAGGCGAGAACGCAACAGACCGTACGCTATCGTCCTCCCGGAATGCCAGCTTGAAGGCCCATTCATCAAAGTCATCGGGCTGCGCCTCCCACAACCAGACTGCCAACGAACTCGCGGCCACTAACTTCGTACCATCCAGGGAGAAGCACAGCGCGTTCAGTGTGCCTCCGAGGTCTGGTAGGTGCTTAAGTTTCCTACCTGTGGCGGCATGCCACAATGTGACCGAATAGTCATCTGACCCGGCGGCCACGACTCCTTGCGACGAGAAGGCAACGCAATACACCCATCCCGCCTCAAGCTCGAGGCTGTGCTGCATCGTTCCAGTCTCGGCATCCCAAATGCACACCGTTGAATCATCAGAGCCTGATGCAACAAGACGCCCGTCGGGGGAGACGGCAATGGAGCGGATCCAATCTGTGTGGCCCTCGAACGTGGTGAAGTTATGGCTCCATTCTCGGTCAATTTTGGGTGGGTTCTTCAACCAAGGGAAGGCATTTTTTATCAACGAGGGTTCTCGGAAGCTGCTCTCTGTCGGACAGAACAAGATGGTGTTGGATGCCGCGAGACCTTCAAGACCGCTTGTACGTTGGTGCAAGCGGACGAAGAGGTGGGAGTCTCTGATAATAGTATGTAGCGATTCCCAGTATGGAAGCTGCGAGTGCATCTGATCAGCTATTGGTCTTCACGATAATGCTCTTGAAGAGTTTCTGATAAAAGAAGTACATCAGATTAGTCGGGGCTCACCTTCTTCTGGAGACGCAGGTCTAGATTTTGCAGTTTGACTGCCACAATCGACAATTGCTTCCTCGCTACCAGATGATCGACCCACTGTAAGAAATGTTTCTTCAGAAACTTTCGGACTTCGTCGATCAGCCAATGCTCTTCATCCTGCTTGGTAGCCCATCCCTCCAGAGCTTTGACTGTCTCACACATATGCGTTACCCAATACAGTGAGGCGTAGGTCCATGTGTCCGGAATTCCCGTACTATCCAGCTTGTCTGAGAGAGAGCGGAGACACTGGCGAGTCAGCTCCGCGTGCCGTTTCGCAATGGAGGGCCACTCTAAATCGTGCTGGCGCACGTACTCTTTGACTGAGTGATGCCGGAATGAGGCGACTGATCTGTTAACCTGGAGAAAGGCAAAGCACTTGTTAATAATAGCCGTTGAGTCCACCCTCTGCGGAAGAGACATCAGAGTCTTCAACTCATCGACGTGCAGGGCTTGGCGAAGTAAAGCCATAGTTTGCAAGACGTCAATGCAGAACTTAGAGTTCTTGGGAGGATCTCCGACTTTGTGTTCCATATAGTGATATAAAGACTCTAAGTCTTCGAGCGTCTCGATGTCTTTGATTAGTCCCTCTGTATGCCACACATCTTCGGCTTCCAGGGCAGCACAGACGATGTTAGCCCACAAGTAGCCGCCGAGAGACTTCGTAAGCAATGTGTTGGTGATACTGGATTTGAGGTCCTCATCATAGGACTTGGTGACTGCCAATTTGGATACCCTCTGGCAGATGCGCATGTCCATGGCTTTTCTGTAGTCAGGCATATCCGCAAGATTTAAGTTGTTCCGTGGATCGAACGCCGTGTGCTGCTGCAATGAGGTGTCGCTCGACACCAGCCATCTAACCTTATCTGAAAGCTTCATCGACCTTATGATCAAGTTCAAGATATCGTCGATGCCAGATTGCCGTTCTTCTGAGATACACTCGTCCAGGGCATCCACGACAAAGTACGTCTTTGAGAAATTCTCATCTTCAATCATGTCGAAAAAGATGCCAGAGAGAGCAAAGAAGTCGGTTGGTTCATCGAAAAGTTTTCTCGCAGTTGTCTCGCGCTTCTCTCTCAAATGATGAACGAGCGACGGCTGTTGAACAACCAGGAGCCAAATGAGGTTCTTAAGGGCCGCTGCGGCATGGTCGTGACTCGGGACACTATAGTCGAAGAAAAAGAACGATAGGCATTGCGTTTTGTCTTCCTCATGTTCTTGGCCTAAGAGTACTCGTACGACACCCAAGAAAAGCGTTGTTTTGCACTGGCCTGCACCACCGGTGATCCACAATAGTTGATAGTCCGGCTTGTTCCAGTCCTGGAACAATTTGTACTCGTCCGTGGAGAAAAGGGAGTTGCAAAGCTCGTGCATGACTTGGCGTTGCTCGCTGTCCGGGTTCAGCACACCTGGCCGAGGGTCGACAACTTGCAAATCGTTGAGCAGCTCTCTGGTATCTTCTGGAAACTGATCGTCATCGTGTTCGGATGCCGCTCTCTCTTTTGGTGCGGCTTGCAGCAGCCGCTCAAGCGGTAGCTTGACCCTGCATTCATTGAATACCGGCAGTGACTCCTCCGCTTTCCTTAATTTGTCTAGAATGGTACTCCGAGACCGTAGAAGAGATGTTTCTCTGCGTAGGCTGAAAACGAGGCTGCCAGAGTGAAGGCATGCCAGCTGCATCACGCAAAGCAAGACCTCTGTGTAGAGATCAATGATTCGTGCGCACAGGCTTTTGTCCACCTCTTCCTTCTCATCATCATGATCGCTCTCGGCGTCATGGTTGTCGTCGTCCTCATAATCATCAGTGCTCCAATCTATGTCTGCATCCTCCAGCAGCTTGGGCAGACGACTGTACCACTCCATTCGTGAGATGACGTAGATGAGAGCCTCACGGCTCTGTGTGTTGGTGGATTCAGGATGCAGGAGTGTCTACTTCAGTATAAGTAAGCCCGCATTTGAGTTGAATCAGGGTTTTCAAACCTCAGAAGCATAACAGGCCCCCGTTAAGACCAGAACCACTTCTATCGGCGTAGCCTCAGCCATATCTCGGATGATACTTCGGAGGGTACTCCCATGGCCAGAACCATCCGCTTCTTCTTCTTCATCCGGCTCGTTGCCACCTTTGCTTCCTCCGTCTTCCTTCTTACCAAGCCAGGTATCAAGAAGCTCTTTCATCTGGGCCCTCCTGGCTTGCGGGTCTTCCTGGATGACCATGTCCTCTGAATAAATTCCACTCAGGTCGCGGGACAGTATTTTCTCGTACCAATACACTATTCTCCAATGATGTTTCTGCACGGTTTCATATGCCTCATCCCAAAGCATCTCGGAAATCGTCCGGGAAACAGGCGCTGAACGCTGCGAACCATTCGACGGAGCTTCGGTGACCTCTATAGGTGTGGGTTTCGGCTGCTCTGAAGCAACCAGAGGTGCCTCGTCTTTTTCTGAATCTGAGGGGTGCGAGCTGGATTTCATCGAAGGGCTTGCGGCGTGAGTAGAGACTTGGATCTCTTGTGAGTGTCTGTTGGACGTATGGCCTCGGGGTGTCTCCTCTTGGTCCAACCCAGTGGTTAATGAGGCTTCGTTCGATGACTCCAAGTCATTGTTGGCTGACTGGACTGCAGAGTTCGATGGGGATACGCCTTGGCCGGTGTCATTCGGGTCTCCAGATTCCGTAGACTGAGGGTGCGGCCTGTCTTTGTTATTTCCGGAAATCGATTTCTTGACCCATTTCATGCCCTTTTTTATGAGTTTGTCGGTTTTGCTTGGCACCTTGTCTGCGCTCGATATCTTGTCTTTGCTCGACATCTTGTCTGTGCTCGACATCTTGTTCGCTGATCCTGCTTTGGATTAATGCTTTGGTGTATGAAGCAGATGTATCGAGATAAATAGAGGCCTTTGCGAAAGCCGTGGGGCGCAGAACAAGGCCTGGGCGGAAGGGTGATGTACTAGTTAGTCACTCCCTTATCGATTGTGCTTGCGAAAGCTGTAGGTAATCAGAGCCGGCGTTATCCGAGAAAGACCTAAGGCCACAAAGGCAAATGAGGCGCCTGGGGAAAGAATGAGGCAGCGGAGTGGCTGATTCTTGGCGAAAACGGGAATAGCAATGGGCAACCAGCAGTTTCTGTGGCAGTAAGTGGCTCCGCCTCCTGACTCTGCCACTGAGACTCCCTGCTCTGTTTCACGCACAGGTAGGCAGTTGCCTGCTGTGCGTACGTACATGTACGCGGCTAGCGTGTATTTCCCTTTCCTCGATCCGAAGGACTTATCGGAGGCTTCTGCAGTCTGCGCCCAATGATAATCGAGTGTTTGTTTTTCAAGCATCGCTGCCCAAGCCGATATGATTCGGCCAACATGCAACCAATCACATCGTTCAATTGGACGCAACATTCCTCTATCAATAAGATACATATTAAATGTGGCGTATTTCAGCTATGAGGGAGCCCAGAAGCTGAATGCAACTAGGAATCGATAAATTGCACATTTTGGCGGGCAAGCCACTGCTTGTGGCTTGCATAATCGTCGGGTTTCCGTCCGGAGCAAATTCACCTGTACACCCCGAGACGAAAATAAAGCAGTGGGGTGATTTCTGAGACCCCGGCGACCCCTGGCTTCTACAGTTCCACAAAGGTCAATCCAGAAGATGCGAGGCGACTTCGTTCAGGTAGCAGTAGCCGAACAGTGATGACAGTGATATTCGCCGACTTAGGCCGTGTAGAACGCCTAATACTCAATTCCAATAGAGCCTATGCACGCCACAAGTACTAAGAAAAGACTCTTACTGTTACTATTCCTAGCGACGGACAGTTCGTCTACCAAAGCGAACAAGAACATCACGAAATCCGAGGGTATCGAGCACGTCTCCCACATCACACGAGAGATACACTAAGGGGGCAAAAGCACTGAATACAGCTTCCTGGGTGAAGGTATAGGGGCACACTATGGTATGCTGTTATTACAGATAGGACATGTAGATAGCTTGGTCATCGGTAGAGGATAAGAGCTCGCCCCTGGACGACTATCCCTCTCGCTCACCACCAGCAATGCACACGTATTTTCACGATCATCACCAGCCGCAAATTTTCTTTTCAAGTCGTCTTCATGGTCAGGCACTATGGTAAGACTCAGAATTGCTTAGGACTATTCATTCTAAATCGTTGTTAGATATTGCATACATCAGGATATCCCACCAAGATTCCATTTCTCATTTCGGCTTTGCCAACATCGGAAAAGAATTATCCACCATTTCGTGAAAGTCGCGGTTCTCAGGTTTCTTCCCCTTCTCGCAAAGATTCTCAAGTACAACATACTTCAGCTCCTCTCGACCTTCAAGCATCTCTTGGAAAATGTTAGTGACGAGGTCACATCGCTTATTACACTTCTTCCCGTTGTTTTTGGAGATCCGGCTACATGCAATGATGAGCGAAGCCGTTCCGGCGGCGATGGCAGTGGCCACAGAGCTGCCGCTGATAGACTCGGGCGACTTGAGAAAAGGGACCTGCCCGACATGCACGTTATGGCCGATGAAGCGATAGTCGTAGCCCTCCTTCTGGCTACGGTCCAGTAAGTTGCCATATCGATCGCATGCCGCGATGCTGAAGACGTGTCTGTTGTTGCGAATACGCTTCTGGTTGGCAGCGTTATCTTTGATCACGAGGCCTTCGTCTGCGGTGCTTGATAGGATAGCAATGTCCTTCTCTGAAGCTTCTAGTATGGCTTCGCTCATTTCCTGCGTGTTCGTGTACGCTACGAGACTTAGACATATAACGTCGACGTCTCTGGAAATGGCCCAGCGGATAGCCTGCGACAATAAATGTTACTTCATCACTTTCCATATTACGTAGGTTAAGGTTGTCACCTGCTTGAGGAAAATAAAAAGAAAAAAAGGGGAGCGTACCTCAGCCACGGTATTTGCTGAAATTCCCGAGTTTCGTGTTTCGGTTACTTTGACGACGTGAAGCTTGCAGCATGGGTCAATCGAGCAGATGAGCCGTGCCATCTGTGTTCCGTGCGGCTCGGAAGCGTGCCACCACACCTGCTCTTCGTCGTCGCCTGTATTTACAAATGATTTGCCATCTACGACGCGGGATGCCAGATCGTTAGCGGACGAATGAGACTTGATGATGGCTTCCGTTTCATCCCCGCCGACTTCTTCAATCATCGACTCTTTGCCCTGTGTAGTCTCCCTCTTCCTTTCGGCTGTCTGCGCTTGTATCTTTGTCTTGGCTTTTCCGCTTACAAGGACGACGCCGCTGTCGATTAGCGCCACTTTGGTCCTGGTATAGCTTGTTCTGTTCCTCGTGGCGGCATGATACTTCCCAATGAAGCTAGCCAGCTTTGGTCCAACGACATCATTGGTTCTGTCTCGGTCAGAAGAAGTTTGTGACATGGAGAGCTCTGGATCACCTACATCTCTGATAAGTTCCGATAAGTTCTTTGTTTCCTGTCCGTGACCCAGTGATACTCCGCCACTGGAACCTTCCGACACTCTTTCTCGTTTACTAGCTCTTTTTCGAGATCCCTGCAGTCTTTCGTCCAACGCTCACCCTGCTGTCTGTTGATGGCATCTAGCCTTTCCTGAAGCTCGGCCTTGACTTCTTTGACACGACGCTTGCTGAGAACATCCTATGCACATGAATAATTAAGAACGAATAAAGATGAGTTTAGACAAACTTACGACTACGACAAATACATGTAGCTTTTTCAACTGTATGTTGTTAGTTTAATTAGCAACCCTTAAATCCAATAGTGGAGAGCGTACATTTTTGAAGTTTGGCAGTTCTCGATACCACTGCTCATGGACAGATGGATTCCCGCTGCTGTAAAGGCAAAGCTCCTGTAAGTCGTCCTTATCTGTCAAGTTTCCTAAGTAGAGATCAAGCTTCCGCCACTTGAGTACGCGCACTGCTGAGCCGACTACACAATCGCGAACATCGGTATCTGAATGCGGGCCAAAAAGGCGGTCGGGTACTGACAGCTCCAGGATCTGCGTTACTCCACGCCTCCGTAGCCAGTCGACTACGATTTTTATCTCGTTATGGTCCGCCTTCAGACTTGCGACTACGTCCTCGTGTCTGGGCATTTCGTTGTGTAGGTCTGGGAAGTTTGCATACTTGAGGATACTCTCGAACTTGAATACCTTGCCCATTGTGTCATCTTGGTCTTGTAGCCACTGGACATACTCAATGAACCTTTGCTCTTCGGTATCGATGTTTGACAGGTGGAGACAAATAGTGTCGGCTAATTTCTGAGTTAGAAGCTCGTGTGATCAACCTGGAAATACAGCCTTGCTTACCATCCACTATTGATTATTTTGTCAGCCAGTTAAACGACCTACTATAGCGTCATAAGGGCATTACCTCCAGAGTCCCGAAGCATCCTTCGAATCTCCCGAATTCCCATTTCCTCAGTGTTGCTACGAATCATGGCATGCAGCAGCACGTTACGAATCTTTTTGTATGCATCACCGGAACGGCCAGCCTTCTTCACCTCTCCCAGGACGTATATCGGATACCGCGGCGTGTCCGTAGAACCGATATCGATCTCGACCTGGTCTGGAAAATCTTTGATAATCTGCTCCACAATGTCGGCCTTACAACTCTCCACCGCCGTATGGAGGAGATCCTGCTGGCCTTGCGGCATCTTCCTCAAGAACTTTTCGCGGTCTTCTTGATCAAATTTCTCCCACATGTCTTTGTTGCCCTGCTGCATCACAAACTTGGCGTTTTCGTACGTGGCAAACCTCTCTTTTCCCGCCGAACCCGTCTCTTGGAGAAGGTGGTGGACCACTTTGAGAGAAGATGTCTTGACTGCTTCTTGCCAAATATCTTTTGCCTGATCTTTAGTCGTGTTCATGTGTCTCAATATCAGCTCAAATGCATTGAGCGCTGCGTCCTGGTTTTTCTGTTTTCCATTGGGCCCCGCTCCCTTCATGGTAGCCATGATGCTCCCCATGTCGGCAAGTTGTGGAAAGTCTTGCAAAAGCAGCTCCAGAACACCATAAGATAGCACTTCGGCGGCGAGATGGAACGCAGTTTTGGATGAGCCACTGCGGTGGCCGGAGATATACACTCTTCGTGCCTTTTCCTTCCGTTCCGCCTCATCCGGATAATCCTTTTCCATGGACGTCAGCAATTCAGCAACCATGACGTTGACAATTGCAGGAAATCCAGACTCGGCAGCATTCTCAAAAGGCGTTGTTTTCTCCTTGTTCATACCCGTGAAGGCCATCGTCGGATCGACCAGACACAACGCCTGCACGGTAATGTATGCTGACTGAGATTTCACCTCCTCGTCTCCAGTGTGTTCGTAGTCATCAATTGCCGCGAAGAATATGTCAACTCTTCTCAGATCCATCCCGTCCTCCCGGAAGGCAAGTATTTCCCATAGGTCAAGAACGACACTGGGGTATCTGTCCCCGCTGATTCCTTTGGGTAAGGCGCGGTTCGAGTGTTGAGGTACAGCTTTGGAAGCCTTCTTTTGGTACTTTTGGATAGCGTTGTCGATCTTGCTGTAGACTTTCTGTCCTTGCTTGCTTGGTTTGAGAGTCCCGAATTCGTTTTTGTGCAGAGCCGACAAGTTCTGGTTCTTCTCGCCGAACAAGTCCAGTAACGCATTGCGTGGTGCTCTTCCCTCAGTCATTTCGACGTGGAAATGCTGGTCGGATAATAGGTTGGATTTGGGTGTGGAAAGGTGTATTCTGGAAGGGCGCCGGGTGAAATTCAATGAGCTGGAATGGAAGGTGTGGTTGCAGCTTTCTCTCTGGTCGGCGCAATCTGAAGACACGTCCTGCGGAAACTTTATAAACACCTCGGATAAAGAAAATCTTTTTGGGAAATACCGAACTTCAAAATGAAGGGAAGAGACATACCGTCGGCCTTGCCGTATGGTCGAGCTGGGCGAGGAAATCCGGTAGGTGAACCAACAGCCTTCTCGGGGAATCTCTTGGCGTTTCTTCCTTTCTTTTCGTATTTTCGATGATGGTCGTGTAATTAACGAGGCAAATCGAAAGGCTGAAGCCGCAGGCGACACATCGTTGCATCTGTACAGTAGCTGAAGCGCAGTCAACATGAGTCGTGAGTTCTTTTTTCAACAGCTAGTTATTCCCGCTCGTAAAGCGTTGATTCACCGCCGTGTGAAACACTACTATCTTGAGCTTTGTCTCAGTCCCCCCGAAGCCAAGGAGAAAAGCAAAGAGGGCAGAGGGCTTCCGCTTTCGGCCGCTAGCGTGTGCTTAGTTTTTCGAGTACCGGAACCCCATCGACTGCCGAAGATAGTCAAAATCGCCCGATACGACTAGTTGCACTACATAATGGGCACACAACATCATTATTGATGGCTTGCATGATCCTCGATCTCGCATTTCAATGTAAGCGGTGACTGGATTCCCTGCTCTGTATCCGATGGCTGGGTAATACGATAATCGTGCATGCCATCGATCGACGGGGAAAGGCGACATTGGTACCGGTGCAACATTCAGCTAGTTCAATATCAGGTGTTCGACATGATTCTGATACGTATTGGCGAGATCATCGGGAGCCAGGTTCCGCTAAAGAAAAGACGGGGCTGAACTTGCCCCACAATGCTAGGAGTAATCGGGTGGTTTACCCGAGTTATAATTATATCACCACAGCAGCTCATGTAAGGCCATACTGACCGAGAAAATCATGCATATACTTGCTGTGTAGGCCTGCTACTTTTTGTTATCCCAGACCACCGTCAGTACCACGATCTACTTCCAACCTTATTGCGGTGGACCAACAAGTGTGCTCAACACTACCATGTGCTCTACCAATGATTCACAGATGACCATGGTGGAGGAAGAGGAGAAACCATTGTACGAAGAGATTGATCCAGACTTCGAAGATGAGAATGGCGCCCTGAAAACGGACAACCCCAAGAATAATCGGTAAGAAGACTTGATAGCACCTAAGTTTCATTTCCAATTTTCGTCGTAACGGACAAGGCCATCACTAACATGACGATTGTAGGTGGCAGAGGAACTTCGTCCATGTCGAGGACAAGATGTCCAAGTTCCGCAAGACAGTGCAAACGGTGCTGGTGGTTCACGGGTGGAAAACACCAGAGAGGACGGAGCCAATGTCACTTATCATTCTGTCTGTAAAGCTCGACTGCCAGAAAAGGAACTTCCGCTTTCAGTCAGCGCGCATGTGGCTCTCCTTTGGCGAAGACTGCGGCGCAACCCCGCCTGATGGGGAAGCCGCGCCTGAAGTCCTCGCGTACGCGCCGTTCGTGGCATCGCAGAACTGGAACCTGTCCGATGAGAACATTGAGAATACTACTGCCACAGGAGCTACATTGGGGGCTGATCAGTACGTCCATGCTAACTTGGAGCTCAAGAAGGAGGTCAAGCGGACATCCACACGCACCTACTTCGATCGCGGATCGGCCGACTTTATGGTGGAGGAGGATCGAAGCCATGGCGTTGTTTGGTACCTCGAACAGAATGAATTGCAGAAGTAAGTCGCATTTGAGCTTTATTGTATTCGTGGATTCTCAATAATGACGGCACATACAATATCTTCCATGGAGGCCACAATTTTAACTGATGTCGACATTCATTAACTGAATGCAGGTACGGTGTCAGGCCCGAATTCCATCTAGCTGTTCTGGTCAAGCGACAGCACGATAAAGATGGCAAACCTATCCCCTTTAGCGGCATGTTCGATATGCGCGTCGAAGCGGGCTTTATCCACGACTTCGAGGACGCGCGGCGCCGCTTCTTCAGAGGCGGGAAGCCCGAAGACGAGGCCGTCTACTACGATCCTAACATGGAAGTTCAGACAGGCGGACGGAACAATGCTGGTGAGAAGCTTAAGTCCAGGGTGAAGGAGGACAATCTTGGCGAGCTAATCGGAGGTCCGGACGGAAACTGGCTGAGCGCACTGATAGACCCAACGGGGGATTTATCCGAATTGGTGCCCATGAAGCCGACGTAGGCTTGAGTTGTCCTTGGGCTCGCTCTGACTCTATAAGGCTACGATAGAGATAATACCTCTGGTGCAATGAGTTTCATTTTCATATGGGGAAATGACTTCACGATCTTTACAGCTGCCAAACATAACATTAGTATTTTACGACGTATATTGCGTTTACAAATGAGTTTTATGTACATATATCTATTCTTGCAGGTGAAAATGATTTCCATGAAGGGCTGTGTGGCAAGCGATTAATATATTTGCTTCCATGCGACCCGACTAGGCTACAGTAACTTCGGATAGAACAGAAGCGTCTGGTGATGACAGGACTTTGACGGAGATTTACAGAGAGGCACCGCGTTGAACTGCGAGCATTGGGGCCCTTATGACTCCTCAAGATAGGAAATCATCCGGTACAATTGACTACGCAGTTCGCCTGAGCGATCCGGAGGCTGAATTGCGAGGATTCTCCTCGACTACTCCACCTTCGAACTCGAATATTGTACCGGCTCGGCCATCCCGCCCTACGCCATCCCCAGCATAGGTGGTAGGATGGAGATGTTCTCTTCGAAGACATCGCGAGTGGCCGGACTTCACAAGAGCTTGGGTATGTAGCAATTTCAAAGCATAAGGAAGTTCTGCGGCGGCTGATCAACATCAGTTATCGCAGCCTCAGCGAATTTCAAATTATTCCCGTCTGGTGCCATCTAAAGGAACAATGCAAACACCGATCGATGACCAAAGAAAGCTCGTCTCAAAATGTTTTCTGGACCTTGGTCTGACACTCTTTTGCTGTTTAAAGATTGGTGTCCTCGTTCGGGCACCCATCCGCGCCGAGGTACTTTGAGTGGAATGGCTGAGCTTTCAGTGTTTCACCAAAGGCCAGGCCAAGAAGCGTGATCCTCAAAGCGAGGAAGCCGCTTTGCAAGCCTTAGGTGCATTTTTTCATTGTGCAAAGTCCTGCTGGGCGCCTTTAATGCTGGCGCAAAATCACTGAAACACTTAAGGCTGCGTGGCAAGCGGTTGCTGGTATGTAAGACTCGTTGTGGCGGAAGAAGATGCTGCCTTTGTTGCAGAATTCATCATTGAGTTCCCTCGAGCAGAGAAGCGACAATCAACCATTGATTTGTTACGGGGAGTATAACTTGTTTGGCTGGCGGTATTGATTGATGCGAATCTGGCAGAGTATGATTGTCGTAGGTGAGTGGTTGGGAATGTGCCATAAGGGTTCTGCTCTGGGCATTTGTCGGTCCTATTAAATACCCGCAACACCCCGGCTGAAGGCTGCCGGTGATTACGGAATAAAGGCTGCGAATTAGCGATGTCAGTGGATTCCGTCCACGCAGTGGATACTTCTGAATGCCCTGAGCCCTAATTGTGCGGCTTCTTCTGAGATTTAAACGTTGTAAAAGCGAGGTTCCAGTCCCGTTATCTAGCAGAGCTTGTGTAGACATGAAATTTCTTGTTCTGAAAGCGAGTGCTACAACTAAATTGGTAGCTATGTTCGTGGTTCTTTCCTCAGTTCTCGTCGCGGCGGGAAGGTTTTGGATATACGTATGCTACCATCTTCGGTAAAAAACGTATCCAACATTTCTAATTGCTGTAGCACAACATCCTCCCCAAAAGAAGAAGATAAAGATAGAATGATAGAATCTGGGCGCTCAGCGGGGGTCCGGCGTAGCAAGCGACTAGCGGACAAGAGAAAATCACGCGAGCCGAGATATTGCATCTGTAGAGATGATGCCCGCGGCGATATGATTGGTTGTGACAATGATAACGTAAGTCCCCAATAATTGTATAGTGTTCACGCTAACCTACGACATACAGTGCGAGATAGAGTGGTTTCACATCGGATGCGTTGGTTTGACTCTCAGCGAACTACCGAGACGCCACGAGACGTGGTACTGTCCTCCATGTAGAGACATCCTTCGCGTTGACGCAGATGAAAACCCAGTGGAAAACGGTAATTTCGTTAAAATAACCTCAAAAATACCAATTTGAACAGCTTTTGGTGTAAATCTACCATCAAACCCAATGCCCGGGGCTCTTGGCTGTTGCCTGCGAGCCGGCCCCGCCTAAGCTAAGCGATAGGACCAATTGAACGGATCGGCCCACTTGGAACTGCACTGTGCAACTCTTTAGAACTGTTTTTTGTCGCAATTGATGACGTGGCAATGGTATCAGAACGAATATCCTCTGCTAGTGATTAGGCTACTGCACACATGATGAATGCAACCTTTTTTATGGTAATGATCTACATCCGTATCAGCCGTTGCCTTGCCACAATACCTATAAATCGGCCCTCTCCTCGCAATCGCAAAAATGTCGCTAAGGTGCCCATTTTACGATCTTGTCCTACATTTTCCCGTGCAAAAATATGGGCGATCCCATAAGCGTCATCACCGGTACTATCAGACTGGTTGAAACGGCGTGGGAGATTGGAAAACAGAGCCACAGCTACTTCTCCAAAGCCAAAGGCGCAAACCATTCTCGCAAACGTTTCCAGGAGGAGATCCTTTCATTGACAAATGTTCTCGTACAAGCTGAAACAAGATTCAGAGATGCAGAGCCTCGTGGCTTGGTACCGTATCGCCAAGGCAGCCTTTCTGCAGATGTTATTTCCAACTGCCATAAGCAGTTGATCAGCATCAATCATGAGATGCAAAAACACTCCTCGGAAACTGCCTGGCCGTTACATGAAGAAGAAATGCAGAAGCATATCGACGCTCTTCAGCACATCAACAACATCTTTTCCTCGTTTCTCGCGGCAAACGTCCTAAAGACGACCACAACTACACATAGTCACGTCGAGGAAATGATTCAAGAGAAGGAACGAGAAAAGCTTATATTTTGGTTGGATATTTCAGAGTGCACCCACCGATCTCTGCCGTCTCCACATCCTGGAACTGGACAGTGGCTTTTAGACTGCGACACCTATCGAACATGGCGAGACGGAGCGCCATCATTACTTTGGTGTTATGGGGCACCCGGTATTGGAAAGTCGTCACTTGCGTACTGCGTCCTACTATTTTGCTGGATTTTCTGGATGCTTACGATTGCAGTGCTACCATCATTCAAGACCTCTCAGTACCGCGTCACGCAGGAAAGACTTGCGTTACTCACTTCATCTGTGACTTCTCTGCCCGAGCACAGCAAGGCACCGACACCATTCTGAAAACTCTTCTGCTCCAAGTAGCAGAACAAGAAGATCTCTCCGTCCTGCAAGCTCTAAACCAAATGCGAATCAGCATAAGCCGCGTCCCTGATTCGAGGGATTTGGCGAGGGCGTTTATTCTGGCATGTTCAACGAGCACGGCCGACATGTTCCTAGTTTTGGATGGGCCCGACGAGCTGGAAAATTCGGAAGAAGTCATATCGCTTCTTCAATCGTGCGTTGAGGCAGGCTGCAAGGTTTGCGTGATGAGTCGAGACACTCCGGACATCCGAGATTCTCTTTCCGGTGCTAAGCACATGGAGGTCAGGGCGAGCCGAGAGGACATGGTCACATATGCCAAAGCACGGTTCCAAGAAAGCGATTTCTGCAATGTTTTTGAAGCTCGCAAGCACGATGGAATTATTGAGGAAGTCGTTGGGAAGGCAAACGGAATGTGAGTCAACTCAGCTCTACATCAAGGAGGGAGAAGATCTCTGACTGGATGTAGATTCCTACTGGCAAAGCTCTTTCTGGATCGACTTCTTGACCTGGACACCATTAAACAGATCCGAAAGGCGTTATCATTGCTTCCTACCGAAGTCATGGGTGCGTTTCAGCATAGTGTCGCTAGGATCGAGGCGCAGCCAGCCGGCCAGAGAGAGCTTGCGTATCGGTTGATTGGCTGGATTACACACTCGCACAGACGGCTCAAGGCGGACGAGATCATCCATGCCTTTGCCCTCGAGGAGGGTGTAGATGAGATTGACGAAGAGAACCGTCCTCCTCTACCCAGATTATTGAAGGTCTGCGTCGGCTTGGTTAATCATGATGCTGAAGACGGAACCATCGGCATGATTCACGTCACCGCATATGAGTTCTTCCGGGATCATCTTAGTCACCGAAGCATATCTGTACAACTCGATATGGCTAGGACGTCATTGCTGTATCTCAGCACTCGAGAGATGAGGTCCGGGCCATGTAGGACTCTTGAGGAGATGGAACTGCGGATTAAGAATTTGCCTTTTCTTCCATATGCGGCCCGCTGCTGGAGAAGACACATTGTGGATTCAGATACTGAGCGGCATTTGGGGAGCTTGATTATGGGCATCTTGGGCAATGAGAAGCTCCGGAGCAGCGTCTTTCAAGTGTTTCAGTTCCGCCATCAGCGCAAAGGCCAGCGTCGTGGTCCTTCACGTGGAACATTGGAGGCGACACCTCTATATTCTCAGGCACTACACCTTGCAGCCTACTGGGACCTTTCACAAATTACCGGCGATCTACTTTCTCGTGGCGATGATCCATCTCCCGCTGATTCCTACGGCTGGACTCCACTTCATTGGGCTTCTTCGAAGAGCAACCGATCCGTAGCTGGGATGTTGATTTCTGGCGGCGCGAGCGTGAACCTAAAGGACTCTCAAGGCTGGTCTCCTCTCTTTTGGGCAGCGGTCAACGGGGATGTCGGATTGATGCGAGAGCTGCTCGAGAATGGCGCCTCCTATCTGGTCCGCGATGCCAACGGGTGGACAGCTCTGATGCACGCAGTCTCGAGAAGACAACGTAGCGTGGTCGAATTGTTACTTGAGCACCGCAAAGGACACCAATCAGAAGTGAAAGACCTTCCACCAGTCTTGGTTGGATCCTTGAGCTTTGAGCAAGCACAAGAGCGCGCCGTGGACAGCCCGACTACAATCGAGATAGCCGCAGGAGTTGATGACGCCAGTATCTTGAGCCTCCTTATTGAGTCGCATTTCAACGAGAAGCGTTTTCAGAACCTGTGGTCACCATATAAGCGCTCACGTTGGTCGCCGCGCAACATTTTGAGGCCTTGGTGTCATTGGGGAGTTTTCCATGAGGATAGGGACTGCATCACATGGCATGTAGTGAATAATCGCCCTTTCGATGAATGGAGGTCCCAGCTGCTCCACGCTGCCATCAGAGACGAGAAGCCGTTGATTGTAAAGGCTCTTCTTGAGCTTGGCACGGATCCAAATAGGGCGCTTGAGCCGCTATCTCAAACACCCCTCCATACAGCGGCATTCAGACGGGATCCCCAGTATGCCGAATTACTGCTGCAACACGGCGCCGATCCATCGCAGAAAAACGTTGCAGGGGCCACGCCACTTCATCTCGCCGCCATGAATGGCTCTCCTGCCACAGTGAAGAAGCTGTTGGAGTGGAAGTCGGATCCCAACACACCGACACGCAGGTGTCTGGATGGATCCCATGGACATTGTTATGGTTGTTTCACGCCATTAATGCTGGCCTGTGGTCTGCATGAGTACCGCCATGATGAAGGTGTTTTTGAAGCAGCCATCCAAATCACTGATCTGCTTTTGTCTTATGGTGCTAATGTATGCGCCAAAGACTTTTACGGTAGGACCTGTTTGCATCATGCCATCAGGTCTGGCGTACCAGAGATTGTCAAGAAGTTTCTCACTGCGGGTGCAGATGTGTCAGGAAAAGGGGGTACAATGGGTATGAGCGCTTTGCACTATGCTGCTGCCTGCTGGCCTAACCTCGAGATTATCAAAATGATTATCGATGCCGGCGCAGACGGATCGGTAATGGATGACTTGGGGAGGAATGCCTTCCACCACCTGGCCTGCGGAAGGTTTTACTATCCAGGGGATAACCGTGCAACGGGTGAAACCATCAAAGAAGTCGTTGAGGTGTTGGTGGCTCACTGTGGGCTCAGTGCCATGAATGCAGAATGGACTGTACGCAATGACTCGTTTGCGGAGGCGAGATCGTATTGCAGGCCCCGAAAGGAGGTTGTCAATTGCTTTTTCACGCCAGCAGCGTTGGCATTAGCGAGCCAGAAATGGGCCGTTTTCGAGGCTCTCAAGAACAGAGGGGCCATTTTCCACACAAATTTCACGCTTCAATCTCCGCTCAAGGGCGCAATCTACCAGCTTCAGCCAAGCGCTATGCGCTTTTTGATCGACCGTGGAATCAGGCTCTCTCCGGATTTTGGTAATCGTCAACCCACTTTGTCTGGGGTCTTCGGCTCTTCATGTTTCTCCCGACCGTCAAGGGACTCTATATCGCATGAGCCCACCCGATACCCTCAGAAATTAGCCCTGATCATCCAGCTTTTGCCTTCTACAGGACTCAACATCAACGACGTCAAGCTTCGTTATTACCTGCCATGGCTTCCGGAAGCTTTGAATTCGAACTGCGAAAAAATCACCCAGTCCTTTCTTGATGCCGGAGCAGACCCGTTTATCACAGACGGCTCATCCAGCATGAACAATTTATTGATCGGGGACGAGGGCGGATATGATGCGTTCCTTCAAGCCACGATCGCAGGAAACTGGAAAACCCTTCATTGTTTCCTCAACTACGCCAGGATACACCCCAGAGAAGGTCACTGGACAGGATTTCTTCAAACCCAAATGCCAGCAGAGAAGCAACCAGACCCTGTTCAGGTATTTGATGCGTTAAGCCGTGCTGGCTTACTCGAGAAGCGCTATGGCAAGATCAACCCTCAGACTCTTCTGTCCAAGTTTGCCGAAAAGGGAAAGAAAGAGGAGGTGCTACAGCTTCTTGCTCTTAGTGTCAACACTGAGGCAGTCGATGCTGGCGGCTGGACTCCACTGCACATAGCAGCATTCAAAGGCCATGATGAGGTTGTTGAGCTTCTTATTCAATCTGGTGTAGATGTGCATGCAATGACCAAAAGCTGGTCCCGCCGTTATCAGTCACCAAAGGGTCTCCATGAGCATTCGAATCAGTCGGGCCCTTGGACTGGGCAGGCTATTCATCTCGCCGCAATAAACGGACATGCCTCAATTGTCAGCAAGCTACTGGCCTATAATGCAGATGCCAACGCAAGAACTGGGGGAATATCTGGAGATTCCCCCGCAACCGGTAGAACGGCACTGCAAATCGCTCTTGACACGTGTATCAAACACGTATGTCGTCATGAAGAATGGGTTTCACGTCGTGACGGACAGCTTCGCATAGCCCAGATGCTTGTTGAGCATGGAGCGGATGTGTGGCGCGCCGCTGACTGCCTCTCTCTGGACGATGTCCTACGTTTCGAGAAGTGCCCGGAAGTGTGGGAGAAGCTACGTCAGGGGATATCTGATGAAGGAAAAAAGATCTCGTGGTAGCTTGGATAGTCACGAAGCTTTGCATTTCCTATACTAAATCTATTCATTTTATACCAAAGCTCACAGGAGCAGGCAGCTTCCCATTCCCAGAACTATCGCTACTCCAGCAAACAAAAGTCCCACGTCATCTCTTTTCCACAGAGGCTCAACGGCCCCTGTTTGTGGTGCCGCTGTAGAATTTGAAGCCGTAATGGATGCTGTGTTTGAAGAAGTTGGGGTGGTGATGCTTGAAGTAGCTGCTGGAGTGGGTGTCAGAGTAGGCGTCGAAGTGGGGCGCGGAGGGGGTATGTTGTCATCGCAGCGGAAGTCTCCGCTGACCAGAGGTCTTATATTCTCGTAGTTGCTGCAGTTGAACCCCTCCACCAAGCTGTGTATGGTGAAAGATCCGCCGACACTCTTTAGGGCAGGAAACTCGAAACTGCGAAAGAATTTAGCCCAAATCACGGCATATGGTCCTGAGATATCATACCTCGAGAGGTTGTTTCCTCGAATCAGAACGTCCCCAGAGATTGTTTCGAGGCTTGGAAAGAACAAAGTCCGCAGAGTGGGATTGTCTTCAAGCAGCACAGCACCATCTACCTTTTGTAGTGCTGGTAGAGAGATCTCTTCCATACGCGGGTTGCCACTGACGTTGAACAAACCCTTGACCTCCATAAGTATGGGCAAGTCAAGTCTTGCCGCGCTCGCTGGGTGGATGTTTAGTCCATTACCACGGAGCGTGATGCTTCCTGCCCATTCCAAAGCTGGGAAGTAGGTGTGGTCAAGGACAGAGTTGTATCCAATGATGAGGGAGTTGGTAACCGATGTCAGCTCTGGAAGACTAATAGTGCCCATTTGCGGGTTCGTCTCGATGCGGATATCATCGGCCGTCTTTAGGCTCCTGAATGAAGAGTATGAAGCATCCCAGTCTTGATCAGCAGTGAGGGTAGTTATGAAAGTCTCCTCAATCACAAAACTCGAGATCGTCGTGATGTTGATGCGCCAACCCATGCCACCGCTGTACCATAGCTGAGACCATTCAAGGTTTTCTAGCTCCTCGAGACGCCGGACGTCAAGGAAAGCTCCAATATCAGGGTTCTTGAGTGACAGTGTCTCCAGTTTTCGGAGGTTGCGGAAGGATACATCCTTCAGTTGAGGGCTGTCATGGGCCACGAATGATCCGGTAATCTCTTCGATATCGTATATGCCGAAGGCGCCCCAGGCCACATCAGTCGCCAGTGCGATGCTGCCCGTGAATGTTTTACAGCCCAAGCCCTCCCATGGGGTGTCCTGCGTTCTTGTTCCTGGATACCCGCTAAGTGTCGCCGTTCCACCAGTGCCGCATTCTAAAACAAAATAATTAGCATGCAAACTTCTTTGCAAAAAAAAAAAAAAAAAAAAAGAAAGCCAAGCGGAAATAAGGGAATACATCAACATATTAGAAATTCAAAGAGAGACTTGCCTGCAGACACCAGTCCCAACAGCAGGACACCGAGAAGCACTGACTTCGCCATGATCATTTCTTCGACATATGCCTACCTTTACGAAAATACATTTGGGGTGTACGCTTATACTTATTCCAAGCGTGGTGCGATATGGTGGCGTCACAAACAATATTTGCATCCTTCTCATGCAGTCAGCTGGAATACGAGCATTGACCTTGAGATAATCCCGGATTTAGATTGTTTATCGCGCGATCGTACTCTAGCCAAGAGAATCTGGCCCCCAAATCTAGGATTAAAGTGGAACAATGTGTGCTTGGCAGCGCCAGCAAGATGCACATTCGCTTATAGCCGTTTCCCGACCGGGAGGCGTTAAGATTTTAGAACTCGAGTAGTAAATCAAGCTGAGCACAAGCAGGAAAACTTCCAGTAGGTACTAAGAAAACAACGAACAGGTCTATAAAAGACTGGTAGACAGCAAGAATACAATCATCATTAGAAGTCGTTATTTCCGGCATAGTATTGCCGAGGACACAGTTACTGTAGGGGTGGTCATTCTGCCGGCAGTGCCGCGGCAGTGCCGGCAGAACCGATTTTGGCACTGCCAAAAACCACCCCCAACAGTTAGTGCGAGAACTTGAATCGTACGAGGAAAACTAGGCGCCAGCTTCTTTTGCTGCCTATTTTCAAACGAGCTCAGGTACCTTCCCAACAACAACCTCCCGGCTACTCAGCAAAACCCATATTTATCGCTTTCAAACATGCCTGATCCTATCCTGGATGGCCCTTATTCTGACCAAAGGAGCTGTCGCCTGCTTAAACTCCCCCTTGAGCTGCGCTTGCAGATATGGCAATATGTTTGCCATCGTGGCCAGTACTTCGGCCTGCCCATGGCCATGGAAGGGAGAAGATTGCAAAACGGTCTGATCCTGGTACGGAAACGTAAGCATCTTCTGTTAATGATTCCTCGTCCGACAATTAAAAGCTAACCACATGCAACTTCTAAGGTAACGGGCTTCCTCCAGTTCACTGGTATATGCTTAGGAGACACCTCTTCTACTGCGATGGAAATATCCTGGCGTTAAGAAGCATGCCCGAAAATGGCGTTGCATCCCTACTCTCTGTAGCGCAAACGTGTCGGACACTGTAAGAACAGAACCATTAAGCTCAATTTCTTCCTCACATTGGCAAAGTAGCAACTCACCAAGATAAAACAGGTATCGAGAAACCATCCCCTTATTATACGGTAACGATCACGTCTTCGCCTTTTCGCACAGATTGGGCCTCCTTACCTTCCTCTCCGTCACGCCCACCTCGCAACTCCAGTACATCCGTCACATCGTTGCGCGGTTGCAAGTTGAGCGCGGCAGCCGCTGGCGGGCCAGGCAGTACGTAAATCGCGAGTGGACCGCTGTGGCCGAGAAATTGCTCAGCCTTCCGCGATTGAGGACTCTGGAATTCCATGCGGATACTTTTTACTTGCGCGACTTACTCGCGGGCCAGAGGGACGAGCTGCAGGTAGAGTCCTTGGTTGAAATGTTGCGGCCGTTTTCGCGGAGGACAGGTGGGGATCGGTTCGTAGTGGACAGCGCGTGGACGTTCAGAGTGGATGCAGACGAACCCCATCCGATCGGATATCCTACGGCGCTGGTCGACGCACTGAAGGAGGAAGAGATTCCTTTTCAGGTGATGTACGAGTACTGCGAGGAAATGAAGGACTTTAAGATCGGAGGATGCTCGATTGGGCATATTCTAGATCTGCCCATGGAACCCAAAAAGTTATTAGGTTTATGAATGTAGGGTACGGGATACGGCGCTTACCCAGGGTGATTGTTTAAGCCAAGCGACTGCGTGTTGACTGGCTGTTGTCTTAATGCTTTCTGTTCAGTTGTTTCTCCACGTACGACCATAGGTCGCAGAATGCAGGGCTTCCCGTCCGCTCAGCCGTACTTAAGCTGCGAACCGGCCGATTAGTACTCAAGTGGGTGACCATTGGGGAATCCCGGCTGTTGTACGTTTTGCATTTTTGTTCCATGTCGGTCCGACCTTTTTTGGTGCATGCGTGGGCCGGAAAGAAGCCGACGGCTGGTGAACCCACTGAGGTCGTGAAAATGGTGGCATGTGCGGTGTACGTCGTGTGGGTGCCGGACACGCTGGGGCGGCGGAGGAGTCTTCTGTGGACGGCGGCTGTGTAGGTAAGTTTTTCTGTTCCTTGATCTGGGGGAGTGGTGCGGGGAAATTCCTTTCATCGAGGGGGTCGAAGGAAAACCTGATCGCTGGATAGGGTCTCGCGCTCTTGTCGTCGCCAAAGAGCATATTCGCCACGCTGGGTAAAGAGCGGATACGGGACGTACTTTTTCTACGGCGCGTGCTGTTTCAACATGGTGGGGTACGCGTACTTCTTCATGCCCGAGACGAAAGGTGAATAGGCTCGGTTCGAATTTCTGAGATGTGGATGGTATAAACGATGCGTTCATGTGCTGAAGTTTGCTTTTTTTCCGGCACAGGGTTGTCGCTGGAGCTCATGGACGATCTCTTCGAGCAGAACTCCACGCCACGGAAATTCGTGCCGGAACGGAGGAGTATAGGTCAGGTTGCAAGCGGTGATGAGCAAGACGGGAAGGATTTGAGGGACAAAGGAGCCGTGGAACATTTAGAAACAGTCTGAATTATGTTCAAGACACCGCAAAAGTCGAGAGACTGATATACTATTCGGTTTTTGCTTCTTCACGACGATATCCCTTCTAAATTTAGCAGCAGACTAAGATGAAATAAAGACCAGACCAAATTAGAAGTTTGGAACCGTACCCGGGTATACTGAAACTCATACTCTCATGCCACCTCTAGTGCCTCCTTTCCTACCTCCTCTTGTGCCTCCTCTGATAAAAAGTCTTCGAGAAGCTCCACAAGGTCAGCGTGTCCATTGGAAATGGCGTAGTCCAATGGAGTCCCCCCTTTCCTTGCTCTAGATTTCGGCTCAGAACCATGGCTTAAGAGGACTCTTGCGGGCTCCAGGTACCCGTTTTTCGCTGCCAGGTGAAGAGGCGTTTCGCCTTCATTGTTGCGTGCATCAACTTTTGCTCCGAGTTCGATAAGATAGGAGACTGTAGGTTCGGAGTTGGCCTCAGCTGCATGATGAAGTGGGGAATTTCCCTGTGTGCTTCTACAACTCCCTCCCGTAAAAACGGCTCCGCGCTTGTATAGGAGCTTGACAGTGTCCAGACTGCCATTATGAGCGGCTCTCGTTAGAGCTGTTTGTTCATTGTAGCCTTTAAGGTTTATTGAAGCCCCGTGGTCAAGCAATATCTCTACTACCCTGGTATGGCCATTTTGAGAGGCTAAATGAAGGGCAGCATAGCCAGTGTCGAGTTTTGCGTCAACAATCGCACCTGCTGAAAGGAGTAGTTCGACAGATGCTGCGTGACCCCTGGACGCAGCAAAATGTAGTGGTCTTTGATGACGGATTGTTGCTTCCGCATGGACATCGGCGCCATGTTTAATGAGCATGTCTATCACTGCAGAGTGCCCGTTCCGGGCACTGTCGTGAAGTGGCGTCCATCCTTCGTTGTCCCTGCTATTTACCTCTGCGCCTGCAGAAAGAAGCATTTTGACCACGTCAAGTTTTCCAGTCTCTGCTGATTTGGACAGTGGCGTATACCCCTTGGCTGTTTTGAGGCTCACGCCGGCTCCAGCACTGATGAGCTTCTCGACGCATGATGCATCGCGTGAGGCTGCCTGGTAGAGTGGAGTCATCAGGCCAGATTTCTCAGAAGTTCTCACGTTGAGGCCTGCTCCTGCATTAATGAGAAGCTCGATGGCATCAGAACGGGATCGCCTAGCCGCTTCGTGCAAAGCCGTATATCCGAAAGAATCTTGTAGATCCAGGTCCGGTCCCCTTCGAAGGAGGAACGATAAAACTGTCACATCCCCTTTATTGGCAGCCTTCATAATGGCAGTCTCCCCGGAATGGTCCGCAGTGTTGATGTTAACTCCCTTATCAAGAGCATCCTGAATGCTCTGAAGATCCCCCTTGTGCAAAGCTCCGAAGAAGGATGCCTTCAAAAAATTTAGGGATGGCGTGGCTTTTCTTCCAATAGGGGCTTTCACTAGGCTTGGAATGCTCAATCCGGAGATCTTTGTGGGCTCAACTTTAGAGGCTGACTCTGAAGAAGTGTGCGTCCGGGTAAGGGGACCCTGTGGAGCTTTCGTCGTTGTCTCATTCGATGCAGGTCCGTCATGGGTGCCCTCGACCGGTACCGGGGTTGCAGTGCTGGGCTTACTAATGATCGAATCTTCAAGGGAGATTGGAAGATCCTCATCGGCTGTGTGCAGGCCACCAAGAGGGACCTTTTGCATGTCTCCGGGACCCTGTGGTTCAATCTCTCTCTTGAATTGGTCCCCTCTCTCCAGGCTCATTGATGGCTGAGACGCATTGCAACAGTCACCTGTGAAGCCAGGCAAGCTCTCAGTCATCTCCAGTAGGAACGTAGCCGTCGGACGATGGCGTGGAACACTCTGGAGCATGGACTCGATCCAATCGAAAGCTTCCTCCTCTGAGGGCAGTCCCTCGCGGGCAAGACATTTACCCAGGAATGTTTCAAGCCCATCTTTGTTGAGAGCGTAAATTTGACTCTTTGTTCCATACTCTTCAAGGAATTTTTTCAGCTCCGAAACCGATGAACCCCTCAAAACCAAAAGAATCTCGGCAAAAACGCACCCAAGAGACCACATATCAGCTGCAGAATTGCGCGGTGCGTCTGTAAGCATTTCTGGGGCGCTGTACACCCTCGTCATAGCCGGAAATGTGTCTTGAGTCGTACTCTTGCCGGAATCTGCCCAGTCAAAGGCTATCCCAAAGTCTGTGTACAAAACGGTCTTTCCTTTCACCAGTATGTTCATGGGTTTAATGTCTTTGTGTCGAACCAGTCGCCGATGCATATACTCAAGGCCATTGGCCAAACAACCGAAGAATGATCGCAGAGTTGACAGCGCTTGTAGAGTTGGGTCCGCTGCGGTTGCGTCTAGAAATTCCTTCAGGTTGGAATCGGCGACAGGGCAGACTATAAAGGCGGCGTAGACGGGATCGGTGTAGCTTCCGACAAGCTTTACAACATGCTGATGCTGGAGGCGCTTCATGGCCAAGACCTCCTTTTCAAATATCTCCATTTTTCTGTGCATGCTCCTCCTGTCTGACCGCCTGATACGCTTGCGCGCATATACGGAGCCGGTAAGTGTGCTCTTCACTCGATCTACCACCCCGAATGTGCCCTCTCCCAGGATGCCTTGCGCTTCGAACGGAACGATGTCTTCGGAGCCGAAGTACTGGTGCTTGCCCTCTACACCAATTTCCAGGTCGACCGACTTCGTCAGCACGACACGTTGTCTATCCAGAAATGCTGATCGCACAGACTTATCAAGGGCGGCGGGTATGGTCTGGTTTCGAAATGGAAACCACAAGTCTGTGATTCCATTTTCAGTGAAGTATCCAAGCTTCTCCAAGTGTCCTATGGACCGCAGAACGATGTAGACTCTCGGGCTAGTTGAAGATGGTTCCAGAATTCTCAGCAGGCTCGAAATTTCGCAGATGGTGTGGTCCGAAAACTTTTCGTCGGGATTGGTGTTGCTTGCAAAGAGCGCGTCCAGCCGAGTTTCTGCTTCGGAGCGGGGCATGTCTCGATCAAGGACCTCGTAGTCATGACATGGCTGAGGCTTGCTGTCTGAATGATGTTCGAGCCCTCCTGCGATGGCAGCCATCTCGCGACAGGAGCTCTCGATGCGCGGCGCATCAGAAAGGAGATGAAGAAAATGACAACTTTGTGAAACTAGGCAGCTTCCAGCTATGAAGTGTTTTTGCTTACCTAACTCTTGGCGGGTGACGAGGCTGTCAAATGAGCATTGCGCGCAGGGTGGATCCCGTCCCGGTTGTTGACCCGGTGACGGGTCGTCACCGGCTTACTGATCGTCCCGTCCCGTTCCGTTCCGTCACTTGTCGTCCCGTCTTGTTATAAAGGCGTTCGTCACCGCTTGGTGACAATACGCTAAGCCTAATATAGTAGTATATCTTAGTGTTAAGCTTATAGAGGGGTGCTATAGGCCCGACTGAGCCAACGGAGCTGAACGTATTGGACTTGAAGCATTAGCGATTGCGCGCGAGACATATGTAGAATCATAAAAGCGAAGACCGGAAGTCCCTTTCGTAAAACCGTTCTATAGAACTAGGGACTTAGTATTAACTAGTAAACGTATTTCTAATAAAAGAAACAGCTACCTGGGCTAATGAGAAAAAGATGCATACGATGGGAGTCGAACAAGCATATTTTCACTACTTCTTTCTGTGGATAATAACACTGAATACGCCAATATTAACTCCGGCGTTTGCAGACCCGCCGTGTACCCTAGTGGCGGTTGAGAATGGGAAGGTCACAGTTTCGGTTTTGGAGGGAGGTGGTGGTGGTGATGGCGGCGGGGGACGACGGTGGTGAGGAAGGAGGAGAAGAAGAAAGGCTGGGGTATTGGGTTGCTATCATGTTGGACGTGTTACCGGGCTTCTGCGGTATGACGTGAAGGGGAAGAAGGAAAGCTTCATGATTTCACCCCAACGCCTTCTTCTTCTTCTTCTTCCCCAGGGAGAGTCCCTTGGTTTCCACGGAATCGGCAGCCTAACCTCCCAGCCTTCAACCGGCCTCCTCGCATGCACATCACTCGAAAACTTCAAGCTCTCCCCACCACCACCCCCACCATCCCCCCTCGCGACGCCCAACCTCACCGGAAACAACCACGCCTCCCAATCCCCACTACTAGGCCGACACAGCGCACTAATCCCCTTACTCCCCGTCAACACGCGCACCAACGCCCTCGGCGCACCACCATCATACCTCCTAAACCCATTCCCCACCAACCCCCCCAACACCACGCCCCCCCCCGGCGTAAACCCCACCCTCGACGCATTCGCCCCGCGCAACCTCCTCCCCTCCTCCCCTCCGCCCCGGCGCCATACCCAGCCGTCCGCACGACAAACACGTTCGCCGACTCCAGCCAGCCAATGCAGCAGCACGAACGCGGCGTGGGGTCGAGGTTCATTTGTAAGCATCGCCGATTTCATCTTCAAGCAAGTCAACTGGATGATTGAAGCCGACTACCGAGAATATTACTGTCTTCGTCTTCTACATCAAAATTTTACATAAAAGCTACGTACAGACTACTCATACACTCTCTATTGAAGTGCTTTGTAACTCAGGGGGCCATGGAAATCTCGAGGTAGCGTCAACAGCATATTGTTCTCTTCTGGCCAGCCTTGGGCGATGATGTACAAAATAATTAGCAGATCTGGTAAACTCGGTAAAGAGAGAGGGATTTAATAGTCGAAGCGGAAACTGCGAAAGAGAGGCGGCGTCATCGGTATGAAAGGAACAAGCTTGAAGATGTCTCGAAGTCTTTCACTATCTAGAGCAAGCGTTCGGATATCGGCAGTTGATGGAATGAAGGAGAAGGTGGTGGCGACCTTGGCGATTTATAAAGTCACAATTCCTAGAAGATGGGGCGATTTTATTCCATTCTTTGGAAAGAAAATCATTTTACATATCGCGGATACTGAGACTGGCCTTCCTTTATTTGGAGGTAAAATTGAATGGTCTGTTAAGACTTTATTCAATGGGAAATAGGCGGATCTCTCTGTAAAAGTGAGATTCGACTCCTAGCATTAAAGTTAGAAACCCAATTGCAACGAGCAAGTTCTACGTTACTTAGTACTAAGAATGAGGCAACCTTTTGCCTTGAGTTGAAAAATTAGGACGCTATTGAATCTCGTCTGCTTGCGGCCCGTCAGTCCTGATGTGTAACATTCCTGGCACATTTATCAAGGCCCGAAAAAGGGGATGCAATATCCTACATGCCGATAGCCTTTTGACGGTAAATTCGATCACGGCAGAATAAGAGTGCGTGAAGAAGTCGCAAAAAGCTGTCTCGTCCGGAGGCAGATCCGAGACTTCTCTCGCCTTCCTTTTTTGGTGCCGCCCGGAGGCCCATCCGACAACACTTCTCTCTACTTCCCTTCTTCAGTTCCATGGACTGGCAAAAGCTAAAGGCACTGGGACCACCCGGCCCTTCCTTTCCACGCGCCCTCTGGAGCAAACAACCAGACACCATCTCGCCCAACGCCTGGATCGACGGCGTGCGCGGGCTGGCCGCCCTCATCGTTACGCTCGACCACCTCTTCTGGCACCTCATCGGGCCCCTCTTCCAAGGCTGGAAGAGCTTTCCCGCCGACGCCCACTCCTCGATCCTCCAACTCCCCGGCCCCAGCATCATCTTCGGCGCGCGCGCCATGGTGCCCCTCTTCTTCGTCATCTCCGGCTACTGCATCTCGCTCTCGTCCATCCGCGCCCGCAGCAGCGCCGCCTCCACCAACCCCCAGTCCGCCCTCCTCACCACCCTCTCCACCTCCGTCTTCCGCCGCGCCCTCCGCCTCATGCTCCCCGTCTTCGCCATCGCCGCATTCTCCCAACTCGTCTACGCGCTGGGCGGCTACTCCGCCTGGCCCGAGCACTTCGACGCCGCGTCGCTCCCTGCCCCCTCTTCCTCCTCTTCCTCCTCCGATAGCCCCCCCTCCCCACTCGCCCACGCACGCTACCTCCTCGCCTACGCCGGCAGCCTCTTCGACCAAGTCCTGACGGGGACCCGCTGCCCGGGCACCGGCACGGCGGACTGCCCCGTCGGCTTGAACGGGCAGCTGTGGACGATCCCGCTCGAGCTGCGCGGCTCGTTCGTCGTCTACCTGTGCGTGCTGGGGCTGGCGCGCACGCGGGATAAGCCGCGGAAGTGCGTGTTGGCGGCGTTGGCGGGCGCGCTGCTGGTGTGGCGCGGGTGGTGGGAGGGGGCGACGTTTGTGGCTGGGCTGCTGATCGCGGAGGTGACGACGGCTGCCAGCAAGGGCGACGACGGCGACAACGGCAGCGGTGGCGGCGGCGGTGATGGGCCGGGCGTCGAGATGGAGCAGCGCAGGGAGGAGGAGGACGACGACGATTACGACGGCGAGGACGACGAGGACTTGATCCTGTTCTCGCCGGCTACCGAGCCGCCGGCCTGGCTGCCGCTGCCGCTGCGGTCGTCGCGGCCGTCGTCGTACGACAGGTGGTCGACCATTCGAGGGGCGGCGGAAGAATCAGGCAAGCGGCTCTGCATGCTGCGCAGGAACGGGAAGAATGTTCGTTCCGCCGCCTGCGCCCTCGTCGGCATCTGGCTGCTGTGCTTCCCGAACGACCCGGACATGCTCGGCGGCTACGGGCCGTGCTACACCTTCCTGATGTCACACCTGACACCGACACGCTGGTTCGTCGTCAGCGAGGGCGGCAGCGGCGGGGCGGCCCGCGCCGAGTTCTGCTGGCGCGCGGTGGGCGGCGTGGCGTTCGTGGCCGCCCTTGCAGGCAGCGGATCGACCGTGAGCGCGGTGCTGCGGCGGCCGTTCGTCAGTGCTGCAGCGCAGTACTTTGGGCGCATTTCGTTCATGCTGTATTTGGTGCATATTATGGTTATTCAGTGTATGTTGTACAGGGTGCAGGGGCCGCTGGTGGAGGTGCTGGGGGAGGAGAGGGGGTGGGCGGCGGGCGTGGTTGCGCGGTTGGTGCTGTTGCCGCCGATGTTTTGGATTGCGGAGGTGTTGGTGGAGGGGTTGGATAAGAGGTCGATTGGGTTGGCGAAGTGGCTGTCGCGGGCGTGGTCGGCCGAGGAGCGCTAGGCGCGTGCTGGCTGGGCTTGAGTGGGGTGAACATTCATTCTTAGATCTCATTGCTTGGCCTTAAAATCAAAACGAATTAGCAATAATTTTCAAAGTGTTAAAGATTTTATACACGTCGTCTGCGCTTATGATCTACATGGGTAATTAATGAACTATATATCTAACTTGAAATAAAAGTAACGTGTATAAACGCCTTTAGCTACAGTCAGCGGGCTTTATCTCTTTAGTATAGCGGTTAGTTTTAAAGCCTACTAACACGGTAATACAGGGTATATGTAAGCATAATCCGAGACACTTGAATGGGTTGCACATGTGGATCAATTTTCATTGGCGGAGAGAAACGTGGTGGGTGGATCAAAACTGGGGGCTAGGCTCCAGCGTCTGCGAACAAAAGGCGTTGCATCCCCGCCTCGCCGTCACATAAAACAACCATCACACTCCCACCATTTGAACAAATGCTCTATGGATCCTGTCAGTCTTACTGTAAACATCATCACGCTCATCGACACGGTTCAAAAAGTCATCAAGTTCCTAAATGAGATCAAAGATGCCCCATCCGATAGAGACAAGTTTTTGTTGGAGGCACAATCCTCTTGTATATTTCTCTTGCAATTACGAGATCGTTTGACAGCAAAAGACACCACCATTGACAAGCCCTGGTTTCGTCACTTCGCATCTCTGGTAGCAAAAGAAGGCATCCTCGATCAGTACCAGTCAAGTTTGGAAGAGGCTGCCGCAAGGCTGGAGAAGATTGTCAACAAGCGGCAATCCCATAGTTTTCGCTTAACCCTCGCTTGGAAGAGTGAGAAATCAGACATCGAGCGGATCTTCCAGCGGATTGAGCGTTGCAAATCAACAATCGCGATCGCTCTATCAAACGATACCTTGTAGGTTAATCGATAGACCACGCAGGGCCAGGCTGACATCTCTTGAAGCACAGTATCTATTTCGAGCAGTGAAGCGATTCGAAGCGTCAAAGACAACCAAGACAAAAGTGCGAGGAATCAGCACAAAAGGACGGTCTTCGACTGGGTCGAAAAGACAGCGACACGTTATGACGTTTTGCAACACGACTACATCAACCAAGCACAGGATGGAACCGGCGAATGGTTCTTAAATGCACAAAAATTCCAGCACTGGGCTCACGGAAGTGCCTCGACACTTTCCTGTCCAGGAATTCCCGGAGCAGGAAAGACCATCATGACTTCCATTGCGATGGATTATCTGCAATCCCACTTTGATCAAGCTGATCACAACGTTGCTGTTGTGTACTTCAACTACAACAGGAAGAATGAACAGAGTCATATCCAGCTCCTATTCTCCATTATGTGGCAATTTGTTCGCCAAAGGACAGAGATCCCTCCCTCCCTCGATGAATTCCACAAGAAGCATGAACGTAGCGGTCCGAACGTTAAAGACTTGATCAACTTGCTGGCAACTCTCATACAGGAGAGCACCGTTTCGTTTCTTCTAATGGATGCATTGGATGAATTCTTGGACGAGGACAATGGACGCTCCAAATTTCTTCATCACATTTCAGAATTGAGAAACACTGGTAAACTTCACATCATGATGACGTTTCGACCCAACACCGAGATCCCATCTGTTCTCAAAGGAGATTCCTCTCTCACCATCCACGCCACCGAAGAAGATCTCAAATCTTATATCCACCAGAGAGTCTCGCAAATGGACTCTTTGCCAGATTGTATCGACGAGGACGAGGATTTTGAAGTTCTACAAAAGAAAGTTGTTGACAAGATTACCCAAGCCTCCGATGGAATGTAATACTACTCGTTAAAGCCATTATCACATCACAATACATTGCTAACAAGATTTATTAGGTTTCTTCTAGCGAAACTTCACTCGGACTCACTCCAAGACGCTTTCACAATCGATGAAATAGAGGAGACACTTGAAAGTTTGTCCTCTGGAGAAACCGCCATCACAGATGCCTACAATTCTGCAATTGATAGAATTGACATGCAGCGTCCGAAACGCAAGCAGCTTGCCCACCAAGTCATCGCTTGGATTGTTTACAGCCACCGCCCGCTTTCGCCTATCGAGCTACAGACTGCCCTCGCAATCAAGCCAGGACACTTCAAGGATCCGAAACGAAACTTACCAGGCATTAAAATCGTTCTCGCCGTCTGTGCTGGACTAGTCGTGATTGACGAGGAGACTCGTGTTATCCGCCTCGTTCACTACACAACCCAGGAATACTTCAGCAAAGGCAAACTACGAAGCTGGCTACCAGGGACCGAGGTTGAAATTGCGCGATCTTGCATTACCTATCTTCTCATTCCAGACTTGTATGAGTCCGTCCTGCAGTATCACGAACAGTGGAGCCGTTAGCAATACCGTGGCAGGCCAGTTACTTATTCGTATCCCGAAATTCATGACAACCCCTACTACATAATACCTTCTGGCCGCACATCTGAACCATGGGAGTTCTGGTCTGATGTGCAGAAATGGCCTTTCTTCGTTTACGCCATCGAATACTGGGGCGACCACTGTCAGCCTTTTCAAGAAGCGCTAGAAGCAATGATCGTGACATTTTTCAGCAATCCACGGACCCTGGCACTGTACTGGACTCACCACACGGAATGGGGTATCAATTTCCACTCTTATGCTGGAAAGAGGACATATTTGGCCCAATTCCAACTGGAGAAACCAGGGCGTATTTCAATCGCTTCCCGGCTCGGACTTGATATGTATCTTGAAGAACTTTTGGTGCAAGGTCATACCTACGAAGCTTCGACGTGGATCTCCGCCAGTGACCAAAGGTTTCAGAGTCGCAGACATCTTTCCCCTGAATACCACCTAGCTGAGCAGCATCCACTTCTGCTTGTCAGCTATGGGGGGTATTATAGAGCGGCGACAATATTGCTGGACCATACATATACGACAGAAGAAAACTTATACCGTGCACTTCGTACGGCATGCTCCAGACGAAACGCAGAAGTTGTCGAACTACTGATTTCCCGCTGGCCGTCTAAAGAAATCGATCTGATGGAAATAGCGGAGTTTGACATCATAGACTCTGGAAAGCCCAAAGAGCTCCTTTTCTCCCAGAATCTGCAAAACAGTTTTAGATCTTTGAGAATCCTGGCAGGTCGGCGGGGTGCATCTTCATGGATTTCATTCCTTCTAAAGTGCGACTGGGACACTGATGTCGACGAGATGGGTAATGAGAGAAGAGTCGTCCTAGAAAGAGCTGCATCAGGAGGGTGTCTTGAGAACTTACAGTTGCTCCTGGCCCATCCGAAATTTGATCTCTCACTGGAAATTTTCGATTTCGATGGACCGAGGAATCTCTTCGGCTACACGCTTGTAGAAGCCGCTCATTCAGGACAGCATGAGACTGTCAATTTTCTTCTCAAAAACCGGCCCCAATTGAAGCCTAGGACAATGAAAGCGATTCTGGCAAAGGCGATTAAAAGTGCCCGAGCCACCGTCAGCATGACCAAATCTCTTCAGGAGAGATTCGGGGAACTTCGTTATGACGAACCTTCCAGGGGTAACCTCTGCAGGTGCCTCAACCTACTGCGGCAGATGTCGAGTTTACCAGGAAAAAATATTGGTGTCCAATACCATCGAGACTTGGTGTCTGACGTCAACGAAAAGATCCGCCAATTGCTTCATAACAATACCCGGATGGATCCAAATATGTGGTCCTGGGATGATCAGACACCTCTTTCGTACGCCGCAGCGGCTGAGGACAACAATGTTGCTGTTAAGCTGCTCTTACAGCATGCAGGAGTTGATGCAGACAGTAGAGATGGTTGTGGTTGGACTCCTCTCTCTCGAGCCGCAACCGTCAAAGAAAACAGCGCCACTGTAAGATTGCTCTTAGGTCATCCCGGCGTTAATCCGGACTCCTTGGACTTGTTTGTATTGACCCCGCTGTCTTGGGCAATCTTTGGAGGATGCGTTGAGTCTGCCCGTGCACTCCTGGACCGTACAAGGGTAAGCCGGAAAGAGTATAAGAGAGCAGCAGCAGTGCGTTTAGCACAGCTCTGGCTTGGTTGGAAACGTGAACTGGCCTCAACCAAGAGGTTAGATGTCAACTCTACGACTCAAGATGAGCGAGACCACGTCGTGCTCTCCAAGGCCCGAGATAACAATTACCGTGCTGTTGCACTTTTGCTCATGTCTGAAATTGAGCAGTTGTACCTCAAAGAATATTCTACTGCGGTCAGTAACGGAGCCCTGATCATGGCGCTATTGGAGGAATCCAATGAAGATACAAGCTGAGGGAAAATGAACGGGTAGGTACACGGAGATCATTGAGTCACCTGTGGCCGGTTCAATGCCCAATACTAATGTTCATTCGTTCTTTTGGAATCATTGTCTCTTCCATTTTCCGATTTCATAATTACCCGTCTCATAAGTGTTCTGAAGTTTGCTGTTTCTGAGCGCAATTGATGAGTTCGATCATTTCTGGCTCTTTATATTGCAATGAACTATGGTATTACGAGGCATTCTAGTTACCGACGCTCAAATGCTATCGAAAAATTGAACTGCCCCTGAAAGAAAATATCCTTGTCGTTTGTCAGAGCATATATCGACGGTTTTCAAAGGCGACAGAAGGAGGTCATATTGTTGGTCTATTTTCTACGGCTCATTTATGGAATGTGGATTATCCTTTGGGGACGAAGGAGAAAGCAGCCGTTAGTTACGAGTTCAGTTATTCATCATGTCAATTTTTTGAGTCGTATTCCATTGGACTACACAAGGCATATCTCTTGACGTTCTTGCTGATCGAAGCCAAAGTTGTCTTCATCCTCATTATCATAGAATAAACCAACCCGTTCGTACTCTGTTTCCTTGCTTTCTGAATCAACCTTACGCAGAAGCAGTCCAACTCTCAGTCTTTTCCCGAAGCGTTCAGTTGTATAGACCAACAAAACAGTGGCATGCTTCCACTCATCGTACTCCCACTCCTCTCGGCAGTCTATCCCACTGTAGGCCTGAAAACCCGTCTGATCCGATCTCACAGCAGCATCTTGATCAAAGTCCCTCCGGCCCCCTGAATGAGACCTCGCTTTCTTCTGGACCATCACCGGAACCACTTTCGCCCGCAACCTCAAATACGCTCTGCCATCATGCACTTTGGCCTTTTCCGGGTTCGCAAGACGACCGTATGGGTCATCCGGATTTGCTCGCGGGCAACTCGCCTCGAGTAGATCGATCTCGCTCTTAGAATCGGCGCTAAACGAGAAATACTGGGCCAGAAAGGTAACGGGCCCGTCGTACGCCGACCACGACCAGGACGGCGCACGATAGACGGGGGAGCGGTGCAACGGGTTTGCGGTCGACGAAGCTTCCCCGTACTTGAAAGCCCGACGGTGCCATAATAGTCCTGCTTCGAGGTCGTTTTCCCAGATGCCTGCGAGGTAGCGGTCGTTGCTCGTTCGCCCTTTTCTGCTGGCCAAAGCCGAGATTGCGGGAAGTTTGTCGAGGGGCTCGGTAAGTTCTCTCTGGGTGTAGTGTTGAACCCATGTGTACCATTGGAGGTACCCTTGGTTGTCGTGCTCGTCCTCATCGCCGTCCGCAAACCGGTCCAGAGGAGGGAATTCGCCAGACAAGCCTTCGAGGCGAGAGTGTGTCTTGCACGAAAAATGTATCCGGCCTTCACAGATGTAGATTTTGCGTGCCGGAAGGTAGCTCTCTTGGAATGTCCAACCGCGGGCTCTCCACCTGGAATCGTAGATGGCTTTGTTGGCATGTTTCCAAGGCTTTGTAACTGGAGATTCGATTTCGAATATGTCACTTGTGTACATCGTCGGTTCGATAAGATAAGAGCCCAAATTTGCCCCATTTCGGCTCAAGGGTACACGGATAGGTTGTGTGAATTCTCTGCGTGCCTTCAGAGCGCCTTCGAGAGGAGACTTCGTTGAAGCCAAGACGATAGTCAAGAAAGCCCCCATGTATATGTCTTTCATGCGAGCAGACTCTCTATTCCAGTCCTGCTGATTGCCCTGCACAATGCACAAAGAGTCGATCCATAGGTACCGGATTTCGGCTTCCCAGCAGAGTTCTATGGCGTCTTGAAAGCCTTGTGGCAAATTGGACCAATGGATGGCGTGGAGGTAGTTCGACCAGGGAATATTTTTGAGGTCCTCGCAGGTGTCCTGGTGAGCATGCTCGGGACAATAACAGCCTTCTGTAGTCTTGATGAAGCCAGCTGTGCCCCAGCAATAACTTAATGCTGCGTACTTGACAGTCTCTCCGTTCATATCACATGTTTCGACCAGACGAATCCTTTTGTCTTGCTTCGTGCCACTGATCTCAAGTAGCCTGGCGGGCAGTGCTCGTTCTTGCAGTTGTCCCTTATCCATGTTTTGAAATTTGGAACATTTTGAGTGTGCCGTTGAACATTGTTCCAAGTTTTGTTCGATGCTTTTTACGAGCCCAGGGCTAAACAAGTCCAAGTTTGATCTTGTTGGGACGTATTGTATTCTCAGATAGTCTCCGACAGGGCTGTCTGAGCACAGTCAATTTTTGTCCGATGATTGCATTGGAAAAAGCTCACTGGAATTTGCGAGGACCCTGAAGTATGCACAGTCGGCCCAAAAAATATCCTCGTCCGGATCTCTGAGTTTGCCATCTTCATACTCTGGATAGACCGTCCGATCCATTATGTCCCACTGCACCCTTATTGCTGCGAGTATTGCTGGGCCCTGCCCGGCCTCATCATACAAATACACAGCTCCAATATCATCAATTTCCAAAACGAGCTCTTTACCGTCTGGTTCCGGATGGTTTCCATTCGCGAAATTCCTTAAAACTGTGTCTTTGAGAATGCTACAGAAGCTACATGAAGGGAATAAGTCAGGCATTTCAGGAAATTCAGTCTCGAGGTGAAAAGGAAGGTCGTGGCAGTATTCCTCTCCGCTCGGGCCTGGTCCGTCCTGTGCAGGTAGAAGGTGAACAGTACCATCATCGTCCTTGCATTCGGTGTATCCATTGCGGCCTGCCTGAAATTCGAGAACACTACAACGCCCGCAGAGCTGGCTGGGTTGCTCTGAAATGTTATCCATGACGCTGTTCCGGTGTGTGGGCGCCCACCAAAGCCAGGAGGACGACCAAATTGAGGAAGATGAATGATTTTGGACGTTTGGTAGTTGCATGAAGCTCAGACTGTCTCTTCATCTGCGTCGGTGCGCTTTGTATGGAACACAGGCCACATGCATGGAGGAAGAACGCATCAAACAAGAGAAAATCTACCTGGACCCCACCTGCCGACGTGTCGCGCGATGATTGGCGCAGAATTCGAAATCTCCCGTACGTCACAAATGTCCTATATTCGATCGTGTAATCATCGCGTAGATTGCAGAGATCGTAAGCACGCACATACCGAGATATTGTAGCTTTTTTCCTTCTCAAAAAAATAGAAAACATATGTGGGCAGCAGCAGCTATCGTGCGGGCGAGAGTTTATCATGGATAGAGAAGCGAAAAACAATCGTAAGGAATATGGTCTCAAAACGGAGACAACTTTCAATTTATGAAAGTTATGTAGATCAGTTCCATGGTGTCACGGAAGATGAGAGATTTGAATACCAAACCCAAAGAAAAGCCAGAAGAACTCCAGACACCAGGCTAATTCGCTTAACTTTTATCAAGAAAAGCCGTGTCGTCATGATCAAGCAAAAAGAAAAGAAAAAGAAACAAGAAAAAAAATTAACATCATCATGAGAGAGCATCACCTTACCCAATATCGTCCCATCCGTAAAGCGCTCATCCTAGAGATACCAACGGCACCTCGAAAGCACGATAAATACCGAAGACCATCCGTAACCAACATCGCACACGCATTCCAAACGCGCTCGACCAACGCCTCATCACTCATCGTCCTCCTCGCCAATCTCCTCCGCCGCACTGGCATACTCCGTCTCATCGCCATCCCTCCCATCACCATCATCCACCATCCTGCCCGTCCCAAACCTCCTCTCCCCATCCCTCCCCTTCTTCCTCTCCGCCGCGCCCCCACCACGCCTCCCCGCACCGTCCCTCAGCCCCGCCGGCTTGATCTTCTTCGGCTTCATATTCTGCCACATCTTCAGCGTCATCGGGCGCGCACCGCAGCTATGCGCTTTGATCCAGCAGAGCTCCGCGCCGGCCATGTGGAACACAAACGCACTACTACCATCCTCACCCATCCTCCTCTTCTTCTCCCTCAGCTTCTTAGCGCGGATGTGGAACAGCGCCGACGCCTTGAGCATCTGCCAGTGCGACAGGGCGCCCGGCGGATCCTGTTTCGTCCAGCGGCGGATGACGGGGCTCTGCGCCGCGAACTGCGGAGTCCACTCATGGAAGCGGGGGAAGCAGCGTTCGACGGCGGCGTTGTAGCGGTCCGGGTCGTTCATGGCGTCGTCGAAATCGCCGCTGGCGCCGTTGCCGCCGCCGAAACTGGCGCCGAGGCCGCCGGAGAAGGAGGCGGATTTCTTGCGGTGCAGCTCGCCGATCCAGTCGTCCCAGATCTGAGAGATTTCGGTTGTGAGGGCTGCGAGCTCTTCAGCGATGACGGGGTCGTCCTTTGCTTCTTCCTGTTCGGCTAGGAACGGGGCTTCGAGGGTTGGGTCGTCGGTGGTGCTGGTGGCACGGAAGTGGTCTTCGAGGATTTGGAGAGTCTCGAAGGTGTGGGGCTGGAGGGTTTCGAAGTAGAGCTGGTCGAGGATGTTGTCTTTGTTGTACGAGCCGTGTTTCCTGGCGCTGTTGCTCCGCGCCAGGGCCCTCTTGGTCGATACCTTTTTTTCTTCGCGGTCGGCCTGCCTCGCTTCTTCGTATTTCGGCTTCTCTATCTTCGTCGGGATTTTGAAGGTTGCCTTGAACTTCTTGAAGTCGTCGTCGTCGAATTCGTAGCCGTTCTTCGAGTAGTCGACGAGCAGGTCGTGGAGGTCGACCAGGGCTTCCGCCTTCGCCGAAGTGAGGCTCTTTTCGTGGTACCAGACCTTCTCGTGCAGCTTGGTGGCTTGACCGAGAAGATTGGGCTTGCAGCGGAACTTGAAGCTTTCGCGGAGGAACTTCCCGACCGATCGTCGCTCGTCCAGCATTTCCCCTAGCTTCCTCCTGTCCACCTTAACACAGTACTTCTCAGGGACGGGATCTTCCAGCGGCGGCGGCGCGTTCTTGAACGGCTGGACGAGGTCCGGTTCCCAGGTTACCCAGAAGGTGTCGCCGTCGTAGTCACCGCCTTGTAGCTTTCCGGCGAGAGGAAAGCTACCTCTCGTTGGGAAGACGGCGACGTCTTTGAGATGAGCGAGCTCGATCTTAAAAGTAGCTCGTACTTTCTGGATGTCTGACCGTCTTAAGGCTGGATTACGAGCCACCAGGACATTGCGGTTGTCCAGAAAGTTTAAGCATTCACGAGATACCTCGTCCACGAAACTTTTGGTGAACTGAATATGGACCTCACCAGGAGCGAGAATGCCGTAAGGATCCGCCACTCCCTTGATATAAGTGCAACGAGGAAGCGGCACACGGACATCTTGTCGCATGAGACGAAGGCTCTTGGCCACAAGCCGCTGGGTGACATCGGTTAGGTAAGCGCATGAAGTGTCGAAGCCAGATTCGAGAAGTAGAGCGACCTTCTCTTGCAACTGCAAAGGCATCCCGCCTTGCCAGGTCATCTCGTCATCTTGTCGGTTGCGTTCCTCTGCTAGACTGTTTTGTTCGTTGACCCATTTTCTGAGGTGAACCGGGTTCTTGATCGCATTTAGCAACTTCTCGCGTTCCTTGTCAATGTGGCCCTTGAAAAGGTTCTTTAACGAGCTGGCAGGGACACCGCGGTCTTGCAAAATAGGGAAGAACGACAGATAGACACTTGAAGGCACTGCCGTACCCGTGGTAGAGTGCAAGTCGAAGGTAAATCTGCATGGGTCGAAGTCACTCTCGATGTCGTCCTCATGCGGCTTGAACTTTCTCTGGCTGTCAGACACTTCAATCCATATTGAGGAGTGGTACGGATCAGCAGTGTCAAGACATGTGCTAAGCATCCACATGCCTTTAGCGCCGCCAATACGTCCCTGAAAAGTACTTGGAATGGGCCCTTCTACCCCTTCCCAGATTAAACGTGCAGCTCCAACAGAGATACGAGAGCAGCCATCGTTCATGACACGATTCGTTTTCTCATCTCTGGGCCAATCAAGGGAGTTATCATCGAACTGGCGGTCTTCGTGCTCATTATTCGCCTTGATATCGGCCACGTGTCTGACTTGCTTTGGGGTAAATGTCAAGGTTGAGAGGGTTGTCGTCAGACCAAGACTTATCCTCGAGAAAACCTTGAGGTACGGTTGATCGCAGTTCAGATCCAGAGGCATGAACCAGTTGACTAGGTCGTAGACAGACATCCTATAACGCGTACCGGACCTGATCTTCCTCTTTTTCGTCGGATCAATATCACGTCCATGGGTAGCGAAGAGAATGACTCGATATCCACGTAGTTGCTCCTGCTGACGAAACATGGTTTTTTTCGTTGCTTTGATCGGCTCCACATGGATCGGTTGCCACACTCTGCCCAGAAAAGTCCCACACGTACGGCCGAGCCATTCTTCAAATCTCTCTTTGATAGCCGGAATCTGACCCTTTAGATGGGCTGGCACCTGGTCACCTCGAAATACCGGCGTTTCAAGATAGAGGAAACGGTCGCCACCAAAGGCTCGCTGAAAGCGGCATGATGCTGCTTCAAGCTGGAGCGGTTTAAGTCTGGTCTTGAAGATTGGGCCTTCTCTCGTACTTGTGAAAGAGAGCGTTGCCTTGAGAGTGATGTTCTCGAAGGCTTTGAGGGTATTATTCTCAACCTTTAGTTCAGCAGCAGCCCACGCCTTTTCGGAGCCTCGCTTGAGATCGTCGAAAACATCACTGAGTGCATCGTGGTGCCGAAAGTAGTCCCACAAACAAGAGTATTCGCCCCATTCCTCGTTATACCCCCGTGGGAGAAGCTGGTCAGGATCGTCAATCCCTGCGTCGAGGGCGACGCGTAAAAATTCCCACCGGTACTTGAAGTCTTTGGCCAATAGCCTCTCGCTAACTTCAGGAACGAATAAGCCTCCTCTTGGCAGAGCCTTCACTTGATGGTGCTCCATATCTCCGCCGGGACGGATAGGGCCCTGCGATAAATCAACGGTAGACATCCGAATAAGTTCTTCAAGAGGAATATTCGGACGAAAACGAGACTCCTCCTCCTCCGCCGCCGCCCCGCTCGCCCCCTCTCCCACATCGTCAAAAGCGGTGTTCCACTCGTCGGAGCCCAATGTACCATACGTTCCTGGGCTGTGAAATTCCTCCTGAGCTTTTTGGGGTTGAGACGGGATGGTGGTGGCAAACGACGTGTTTGCAGTTCTTGTCCTGTCTCCATTTTGTGAGAACATGGAATCTGTTCTCGTGGATGTGAAGGAAGTGGTAGCCGTCATGGATGTTGCTGTTGATTGCCGTCTGGGCGAGGACGACCTTGATCCAGTCTGCCTTCCTCTCGGCGGATCGGGAACAGCGAACGAAGCTACAGATGCTCGGTTCCTTTCAGATGAAGTCCGCGGTTCTTTGGGTGATGGCTCGCTTTCGGTAGATCCGTCCGAAAGTCTCTTCCCCCGGCGCGAGCCACGCTGACTGTGGCTCGATTGCCTACGTACGCTCGCCTGCAGGGAGGGCGACGGGGGTGCTTCACCTTGTTCTTCATCGTCGGCAGCAGTGGGAGTATTTGGCTGCGTCGCCACGAACGTATCATCTAGAGGCAATTCCCTGGCGCTGTAGTAGGGAACGCTCTCATTCACAGCTCGAGCCTCTGTAGAATGTTCTGTCGTTAAATCTGAGAAGTCAGCCTGCAGTTAAGGCAGCTTTCCCGTAGAGGCGCTTGCTTGTCGGAAATGTCCAACGCCAAGCTCAAGAAGAGATAGCCAAATTGATAGCGCTTGAGCTCTGGAGCCCGGTTCTCTCGGTAATAAGAGTGAGAGAAAGCAAATGGAACATAAACATACGGGGAGGGTTAAAGATGGTGGTCGCGCCGGAACGTGGAAGTGAAGCACTAGATGACGCTACTTGCTCTAGCCTGCGCTGGAGAGGGGTGCGGCTGGCATAAGCTTCAGCCTTCGTGTTTGCTCGCTTTAAGCCATCGTCAAGAAGGCGACGCAGGTAAGGTAGACGATCCTTGGGGGCCTTCTGGTGTGCATTGGCATTGAATTCCTTCAGCGCTTTATCCAAATGGTCGGCACCCTTGAAGTACAGAAGCTTGAGTTTCTGAGAACACTGGTACTGGCCACTCGGTTCTCTGGCACGGCTGTGGCTTGGCGACCACGTTTTATCGTCGCGTGGAGTAAGGCCGAGGCGCCAATGCAGCTCAAGATTTTCAAAAATCGAATTGATCCGATCGTGAGGGCGACCGCTAGGCGTATGAGGTGATGCGTCGACGGGACGCACGTAAGGCCGAGCAGGCCGGCGCTGCTGCATAGTCTCTCCGGTGAGTCTTCCGGACGTGGTACTGAAATCTGAGCGGTGAATCGGGTTGGCGCGGGTGGCACGAAAGTCGAGGGTCACAGCGGAGGAACAGAAGACAATTGAACACTAGCGGAAGGAAAATGCGGAGTGAAGAGGGGAGGAGCCCACGGGGAGATGAGACAATGGGGGCGGGCGGCAGCAGCTGGAATATGATAAGGTGACAAGGCAGCGCGTGGCGCGGGGTGACGGGCTTTCCCTCGCGGCTCGGCTCGCAAAACGCCAAGTCACGTGGTGCAGCATACCCCAGCCCTGAGCCCTACCCGCAGCTACTTGCCGCATCTGGGCCTCTCCAGACGGTCGGAATCCTGCAATTGCTTCCCCGCCACGCCGGTTGCTCGCATTCTGCTGCTTTTGCTGCAAGGTATCGATCACGGGGTGCACAATTGCCAAGGGTACTGGCGCCGGACCATGCAAGGACCCGTTTTCGCTCGTCGGCTGCAGCCTCCGTCACATTGCTTTTTCGACTGGCAGATTGTTGACATGATTCGATTTTTTTGGGCTGATGCGCCGCGAGGGATATTCATCATGCATTTGAGTCGTCGTGAAAACCAAAAGAAAATCCAGCTGCCCCTCTACTACTTCAACCCAATTTACACCTTCATCTCGGTGAGACCGTGCTTCCAGATGGTCACGTAGGGGGTGACACCGTCCTCGCGGTAGTTGAGGAGGACGACCCTGGAGCAACAACGTCAGTACACACATCACTTCACGCTGCGGGGAACTGCTACTCACATTCCATCGGGGTCCATGGACTCGCCAATGAAGAACTCGTAGTCCTTGAAGTTGGCGATGATCTTCTTGGCGTAGCCAGAGGCCTTGGTCTCGAAGTCCTTAACCTCCTCGTCGCTGGCGCCCTTGTTCTTGAGGCCCTCCTTGACCTTCTTCATGTAGCCTGGAGCACGGGTCAGCGATGTGTCTGCGCTTGCAGAAAAAAAAAAACATACCCTTCAGGTAGGTGAGGTAGGACTTCTTGTCGAAGGAGGTCTCGTTGAGACGGAAAGAGTGGACGACGTCGAGGACGGTCTGGGCCGAGTCCTCAACATCATCACCACCCTCCTCAGCAGAGGGGTTGGCACCGATATCTGCCCAAGCCGTCAGCGATTGTCCGCCACGTTGCGAATCCTCCTGGACTGACCGATGTTGTCGTTGCCGATGGTGATCTTCTTGCAGTCGGCCTCGTAGACGGTGCCGTCGACCTCCTTCAGATCGTAGGAGTCGGAGATGAGCTCGTCATCGGTGATGAGGTCCTGGCTGGGGCGTCAGCTGGGTTGATCTGAGCATCTCGCGGTTGTCTTGTGTGGTCATTCGAGGCGGCGCATCGCTCGAGGCACATGGGGCCACGATCGTAATACCCCGCACACGGCCCTTTCAGGCGGCCAGACGATGGAGCGGAGCGGGCGCACCTTGTAAATGATCATTTTGGCGGTTGGTGTGAAGCTGAGGAGAGGTGGAGGAAGAGGCGGCGAAGTTCTTTGTGGCGGTCTAATTCGCGATGATTGACGGGCGGAGAAGATTTGGCTGGATGGTGGGGTTCGGTTTTTCCTTCAGCGGGCACTGACGCCGCTAACACGTTTCCGGTTGGCCTGGGCCTCAGCGTCGCGCAATCTCCGTATTCGCCACAGGCGCCGCCAGCTCGCCGCCTACCATGCTGAGTGGTCTGCAGAACGGGTGACAGCGTACGACAACAATTACTACTTCCTTCGCGCGAGCCGCCTCCTGTCCGCCTCTCCCCTCTCCCTGTTCCGACTGTCCTTTCGATATCTTGCTGCGACGCCCGCGCAGCTCCCACAGCCTCTGCCGGCATTCCGCGCTTTCCGCATCTTTGGACGCTGAGGCCCCTAGACACCGCCGGCGCCGCGCTGCGTAGCTTTCTTCTGCCGCGTCCATCCGCTCTCTCTCCTTCACCACCACTCCGCCTCGTCCACGCCCGAACGCCATGGAGAACGCGACCGTAGCCAGCGGGCTGCCCCCGCTGCCCGATTACACTCTCTATCCGCTCGCGCCCGTCGTTCCCGGCATTCCGGACAAGTACTTGACGCTGGCCCTGCCCATCATTGCCTACTGGAGCGTGTCCATGGTCTTCCACCTCATCGATATTTGGGACCTCTTTCCGCAATACCGCCTGCATACTCCGGTCGAGCTCACCCAGCGGAACCATGTCTCGCGCTACGAAGTTTTCCGCGACGTCGTCCTCCAACACTTCATCCAGACTGTTGCCGGAATCGCCATGGCGTGGTACGATCCCGATCCGACCTTCGGAAAGGAAGACTACGACGTGGCTGTGTGGGCACAGAGGATCAGGTTCGCCGAGAGGGCAATTCCTTACATTCTCGGTGCAATTGGTTTCAACGCGTCCGCCTTCGCTAAGGACCTGTCAGAGTCTCGCCCCATGCTTGCTGGCGTTCTCGCTGGTGGCAGGTACCCCTGGTTGACTCAAGAGATTGTCTCTGGTGACCAGCTCGTCACCGCGCCCGCCTTCGCTTCTTGGGAGCTTTCCCTTGCCAAGTTCATCTACTGGATCGGCATTCCCGCCATTCAGTTCCTTGTGGCTGTTTTGATCGTCGACACTTGGCAGTACTTCTGGCACCGCGCCATGCACCTGAACAAGTGGCTGTACAGTAAGTCTGATTCCAGTGCCAGCCACGCATTCACAGCTAACCCAGGAATCAGCGACCTTCCACTCCCGCCACCACCGTCTATACGTCCCTTACGCATACGGCGCTCTCTACAACCACCCCGTTGAGGGCTTTCTCCTGGACACTCTTGGCGCCGGAATTGCCTACCTCGTCACTGGCATGAGCATCCGCCAGTCCATGTGGTTCTTCACCGGTTCCACTATCAAGACCGTCGACGACCACTGCGGCTACGCCTTCCCCCTGGATCCCCTCCAGTTCATCACCTCGAACAACGCCCTGTACCACGATATCCACCACCAAAGCTGGGGCATCAAGACCAACTTCTCGCAGCCCTTCTTCACCTTCTGGGACAAGCTTTTGGGTACCATGTGGACCGGTGGCGACGTCACGCACAAGTATGAGCGCGCCCGCAAGGCCGCTGAGAAGAAGGCCGAGATCAACGTCCTGAAGCCGAACTTCCTTCCCTCTGAGCTGCAGCCCAGCAGTGCGTCTGCCTCGGAGCCCACGTCCGAAGTCGAGAGCGCCAAGGAGCAGCCGCAGCCCGCCCTCAGGCGGAGCCCGCGCAAGAAGGACCCCAGCGCGTCGCAGCAGACTGCGAACCTGAAGGGCCTCAGGGACCGCGTCAACAGCAACCTCCAGGGCAAGAGCCCTAACGTTCTCGGCGTCGAAAGTAGCCACTAGGCCGGACTTCGAGGTCCGAAAGCCTAGGGCGGCACGAATTAGCTGCATAATGTCTATTTAATCGGCTGTTCTCTTCGGTTGGTTAGGCTGTTTTTCGCAATGACCTTTGCTTCACCTTCTTCAAACTGTATAATTCCAGCCTTTCTCATGTCCGGAGTGGCTTTCCGCTTTTTCCACTGCAGCGATGGGGGCGTACACCTGAATGCTTTTTGGGTTCTTTTTTTCCCTTTTAATACCCCCTCTGGAAGCCGGGGCTCCTTTCGTGTTCTTTAGAGCTTCCTTAAATGTATAAGCTACGTTCGCTTTTAGGTTTGGGATGGAATTGTCTGTTAGGGCACTATTAGGATTATGTGATACGTAGGTGATGGAAGGAAATGGGATGCTGGTATACAAATATCGAGCTTATGAATGCTCCATTGTGGCACACGAATACCAAGGGTGCGAACACTACTGACCACGCACAGACTCCTACAATTCCTTCCGTGCAGCTCCTGGCCTCGAAGACGAAACATGCGGTTGCCACGCTATGCGAAGCTATTACCGGGGTGGTCTAGATCTTCGGAGCCGTCGCCGCTGGGGTAGGGAGAAGGCCGATTTCGGCGATCCTAGCTGCCGCAGAACCCTTTACATGCTTCCGTTAGAGCCTTGGTGCCATGTACAATTGTCGAACTAATAAGTATTTGATTGTGGCGGTGAGGGATGAACATTTTGAAAGCGCGACAGAACCATTGGCATTCAGTTGGTTTTCTTGGTGGGGTTTCTTGGTGTTACAGCGCAACAAAGAGCCTGCCACCAAAGCCGGGGTGTTGCATAAGCTGTGTATGACTACCTTTGCATGGTTGCACATCAGCCCCGCCTTTTCGAACCTCACGCTCAGCTGAGATCGCCCGGTCTTATGTATTTAGCCACGACAAAACTTCCCCGCACTGCCTCCGTCCATTCAAATACGTAGCAACCTACACCAAACCCTGATTTTCTTCCCCTCACACATCGAAAATGTCAGTAATTCGACCAGGTTCCCAACAGAAAGGAGCTTCTGTCAATGACGAGCATACCCGCAACTGCACAGAAGGCAAAACTTTAGATACGAAAACGTGCTCAAGATGCAAGAATGTCGACCTTGAAAGTGTATTTTCCGGTTCCTATGATATCGATCTCTCTCCATTTGCGAATCTCCCGTTCAACGAATCATGCCAGCTGTGTCGGTTACTGAACGCAGTCTTCCCTACACCATTCGATTCCACGAAGAAGATCCCTTGGCTTCACTCATGCTACCAATCCGGCTTTGAAATGTCCGAAGGGACCGATATCGCCATACAAAAAACATGTTTACGCGTACGATGGGTACCAAAAGGTGGTACATGGGACGATATTGAGAGGCCGCCGCGCTCAGATGCCGGATGCATCTTGAGAATACGAAATCCAAGCAATGTTACGGCATTACAGAGACCTGAAATTGACTTTTCGATGCTGAAAAGTTGGATCAAAGAGTGTTGCGAAACCCACACGACTACTTACCACAAGCCGGATCAATTGAAGCATATCCCCGGCATGAGGATCATAGATGTTCGGACACGTGCCGTAGTGCCCGCCACGACGGAATTCGACTATGCAGCACTTTCATATGTCTGGGGGCCAAATCAAACTCCGGAGATCGTCGACCTTCCAGATTCAGCCCCTAAAGTGATCGAAGACGCCCTTGAAGTGGCTACGAAGCTGGATATTCCGTATCTCTGGGTCGATAGGTACTGTATCGACCAGCACAACAAGGAGGAGAAACATGCCCAGATCAGCAAGATGCATTTTATCTATCGCAACGCCAGGGTCACGCTCGTTGCCGCCGCCGGCACCGGGTCCGAGCACGGCATTCCCGGCGTGAGAGGTATCCCACGGCCTCCCCAACCACACGTCATTCGGGGAGAAGATTTGTTCGTCACCAAACTACCCCGTCCATTGACTGCGATTCAGTATTCCACCTGGGGATCCAGGGGATGGACATACCAAGAGGCCGTGCTATCCACACGGATTCTCGCATTCACCGATTCTCAAATATATTTTGAGTGCCACTGCGAAGAACGGTGTGAGGCCATCGACGAGCCTTTAGCACGGCTAGGGAAGAACCAACCCATCAGCCTCCACCACCGCAGTTCTCGCGGCCTCGCCAGCGTTGCCTCATCCAACGGCCAGGCATATCTCAAAATCCGAAGCCACATATCAGAAGTTGCTCGGCGAGATTTCTCCTACGACGAGGACAGGGTCGATGCTCTCCGGGGAATATTCGGAGACATGGAGGAGTCAGGCAGTTTGAGCGGTCATTTGTGGGGTGTTCCGATTTTGATTCTGGGAAGACACCTACTGTGCCCTCGGACGGCGGGGTTCCTTACGGGACTGTGCTGGGATTCCAAGCGGCCGACAGAACGTTGTCTTGAGTTTCCGAGTTGGAGTTGGGCAGGATGGAAAGACGCATCCTACTGTCGTCTGAGCAGGAAAAGCTACGTATCGGGTACGCAAATAGGGGTTTGCTTCGGTACATCCGTGAAGATATGGGTTGAGCTCCAAGATGGTTCATTAGTTGATATCGAGGATTACCAAGATCAGCTCGTGATCAACAGGAAAATGTCTCTGCTTTCGCACTTCATTCACATCGAAGCTTTAACGGTCAAGTGCAGGTTCAAATGTTTTACTGACGGTATGCAAGCAGAGAGATGTTGGTATTATTCAAATGGTCTTCTTTCTCTGACCCAGGACGAGGTCACGTTACCCGGACTTTCAGAACGGTTGGCTTCAGACTCTTGGGATGTTCTGCTTTTTAAAAGTGAGTATGGTGGCTTCCAATGTTTGGTTATTGATTGGATTCAAGATCATGCACAACGGCTGGGGACTTTTTATCTTCAATATCTCCCATCAGCTGCAGAAAAGCGCACCATCAGACTAGGATAAAGACCCAAAGACGCAAGATAGAGGTTACATAGGGCACAAGTACAAACGAAGTGCTACTTACTCTCACGCATGCCCCTTTTTGAGGGTCATGACGATCTTGGTTTTTGGAAAAAATGTAAAGCGAAGTTTCACCATTCAGGGTATACAAAAAGGGATGAAATCATACCATTCTTGAACCTACGAAGGTCGTTTTGCAACTACGTCAGGCGCGTGAAACATATGACGAAAATAACAGATTTCATATTAACAATGCTTCACAAGGCCCAATTTCCTGCAAGGAGGGCATCGGTGCAGAGATTTATTAGAGTGAACAGGACTGGAAGTAAGGTTCGGTGAAATATTTTCCATGCAGTTCTCATACCGGGCCTCCTTGATTCCAACATTCCTCGCTGCTTTAGAACCCACGTTAGAATACGTCATTCCTAGTTCTCAAGGGCGCAAATATCTATAAATGATTTCATCATCGAGTCAAGTAAGTCCAGTCACTTTCTTTTTCCACTGACATTCGTGAGCCACAATGGATCCTACGACAGCTACTCAATCAATCCCCGACACCGTCCTGAATGACGTGACAACACTGCAATCGTTTCTGAAAGAATATGCAAACCTTCCCGAGAAAACCTCTTCTACTATTTACGCCAACCTCGAAGGAATCAAACTCGGCCGGAAAGGCTCAATATCCATAATCTCTTTGTTCGTGCCTTCTCTGGGCAGGGTGTATCACGTCGACCTGATATCCCTCGGCGATGCAGTTCTCTCAACGGAGCCAGCCTCAGGAACATCGTTGAAAACTATTCTCGAGTCTCCAGCCATCAAGAAAATGTTCTTCGACGTCCGAAACGACTCAGACGCACTATTCGCCCACCACCAGATCTCACTCCGAGGGGTAATCGACGTCCAGCTCATGGAGTTGGCAACGAGAACCTACTACCGACGACACCTCGCCAGCCTGGCGAAGTGCGTTGAAGGCAACAGTGCAGTTGCACCGGCCACGAAAGAACACTGGCGCTCCGTCGCGCAAATCTTCGACCTGCGCCGCCGATCCGAGGAGCTCTCCGGCCGCCACATCATCAACATCCGCCCCATCGATCCTCTCGTGCTCGAGTTCTGTAAGCTCCGAGTCGTTCTGCTGCCCCACCTGTGGCGCGTCTATTCGAACAAACTTCGAGCAGGCAGCGAGCTGTTCTGGAGATCTAAAATCACGTTTGAGACAGAAGAACGGGTGAAGCTCGCCAGATCCGCTACCTACGATGGCGATTCGAAGAACAAAGTGCTCGGGCCTTGGGACTGGTATGGTAATGAGTTGGATGAGGCGATCTGGGCTTGGAATGATGATTTGCTCGATGATATAAGGATTGGCGATGCCGAGACAAGGCCAAAGTACGAGAGCGTACTTTTTAACAAAAGTGAAGCCGATGCATTGTCGTTTTGCAACGGTGGTTGTTGAGAAAGAATGTGGACGTACGCAAAAGATCGTGTCAGTGAAAGCTGTGCTGGCTCATTTGTATGGAGCTTTTTTACAAATAATATGAGCCTTAAATCTCTGTCTGTTCATGGTGAGAATTCGTGGCATAGAGAGGATGGTAAGCGCATGCAAATTAAGAGCTATCTCTTTCGGGACATGATTTAGTGACACTGCAAGGAACGATGCGAAGGAAAGCTTCACAATTCAAGGCCAAGCCTTGGGGGCCGGGCAGGATTTTCTTTCCGATGCACTTAGTTCCCACGCTAATAAATTTAGGTTTGAGATGCGCGCCTATCGCGTCTTTAGAGGTCGTGGGGGCGGAAGGAATTGGTCCTTCGCACGTCCTCTCCGCCCCGCGCTTCCGCCTTGCGTATCGCCCATAGGCACCAACACGCTTGGCGCCGTGGCGCTCAGGGTACATCCTAGACGGAAATACTTTCTGACCATCCTGCGCCACGTTCATTTCGGTTGCTGCCTGAAATGCAGAGATGTGGTAAGCAGTGTGATGCCGCTCAGAAACAATATAGCACAAGTTTGCCTAGCACAAAGGTTTCTTGGGTATTTCTATCCATCATCGATAATCTGACACCTCGGACGCCTCTTTTGCGAACATGCCGCCGTCCCGGGAAGCCACAGGTGGCTTCGAGTATTTCGCTCTGAACGACCGCCAAAGACCAGTAATTCCATCGAAGGCCGGGATCGAAGAAGAGTCTACATCCCAAGAACAATCTACGACGGAGCGAGTACCCTTGGCCGGGCAAATATATGATCCTCCGGTGGGCATCAAATCAGAAGAAAATGGCCATCACCCGCCTCGGAAGCGTACAGGACCGGGTGTCCGTAGTTGGACGGACCGTTTTTGGTTAATGGAGATGTTGAGCTGCCTCATTGCTATTGCGGCGTTCGCTGCAATCGTCATCACTTTGGTTATCCACCAGGACCGACCTCTTCCTCAATGGCCGCATCTGATCACAATAAACACTCTGATTGCCCTTTTCACATCCATACTCAAGGCCTCAATGATCATGCCCGTTGCAGAAGGTATCAGCGAACTTAAATGGATCTGGTTCCACAAGCCGAGGACACTTGCAGATATGGATAAACTGGACTTCGCCAGTAGAGGACCTTGGGGATCACTGTGCTTACTGCTTAGCATGAACTGGAAGTATGCTTTTTTCCAGAAGTACCTAGGGATCCCAAACTGACTGGTCCATTTGCAGTTACCTCGCCGCGCTCGGTGCCATTATCACCATAGTAGCCATGGCCGTTGATCCCTTCTCCCAACAAATCCTGCAATACTACACCTGCCTTGAGCCACTGCACAGTGCTACCACGAGCATTCCAGGGACCAACAACTATACTGGAAATGCATTTCACTCAGGTGCGGCTTTACACGAAATCGATGCCGACATGTCGATAGCGATATACACGGGACTTCTGAGTCCACCCGTCAACTCTTCGTCCAGTATGACCATATCGTGCTTAACGGGGAACTGCACATACCCTTCGGACAACGGGGCAACCTTTTCAACACTGGCCATTTCTCACTCATGCGAGGATATTTCCAACCTGATATTGAACGTCACCGATAACTCCAGCTCCGTTGCTCAGACACCGGGTGGAGCTCAGATTACCCTACCAAACGACGGCAGAGTAATGAATACCATCTCTACCTATGGTGACGATATTATTTACGGGTTTGAAAGCCTGATGCTTGAAGAGAGCGGAAAGCACTTCGCGTTCAATTGTTCACTGTTCCCGTCCATCAACACTTACGGCTCCAGCGTTAAGGATTCGATCTACAACGAAACCCTCCTGTCTTCCGTGAGGATCCACAGATTTCCCTACGAGGAGACGGAAGTGGGGAACCCATCTGCCCAGCCTTTATTCTCAGCGACGGGCAACTCAACGCTGCGTAACGGGACACGGTACGAATGCATTCCATCCGACCACAGAACGGACACCAACACCTCTCCTGTCGATGCCGCCGGGTTCTCCGCCGGGTTCCTCGCCACGTCCCTCTGGGATGGCAAAACCAACTTTACCTGGTACCCCGTGGACTGCGTCTGGGCAATGGAGTGGAGCGGTGCGAATGCTATCCAGATCTTTCTCACTTCGCTGTTCTCGGAATCAAGCTTTTCGGGATCAAATTTGACGATATCTGGGAGCGACTACAGCCACACGATGGGACAGACCTGGCTAAAACTGCTCTTTCATAACGGACATGCGGACATGAACTCTGTCAACAAGTATATGAGCTCCCTTGCCATATCGATGAGCGCTGCCGTCCGTCAACATGGCGACACTCTGAGTAGCGACTTTGTGCAAGGCACAGTGTTGAGTTCACAGACATGCATTCGCGTTCGCTGGGCCTGGATCAGTCTACCGGCGGCACTGCTTCTCCTGACGATTATTTTCTTGGCTTTGACGGTGATCCAGACGGCCAGGAAGAGTTGGCAAGGAACATGGAAGTCATCAGCAATTGGTCTTCTGTTCCACGGGTTTGATGCAGATACGAGGAAAGCTTTTGGCACTGGAGTGGACAGAAGTGAGCTGAACAAGATATCGGAGCATGTCCAGGTGCAGTTGCAGTATGACGGAGGTTGGACTTTCTCGGAGAAGAAGTGATACCATGACTAAGTAGGGCTTTCATTAACATCTATTTACGAACATACAAGAAAGATCAATGAATTTAAATGGAACTTACAAGGATTTATCAATGAAAAATTAATCTCATCTCTGTCGAGATACAGAAGTACAATGCTGCAATGCATTTCATGGAGCCTAATCTTCTAACAATTTCTCATGTACTATTTATTTCAAAGCGGCATATCCAGCGTTAATTTCAAATTTCGTAAAAAAAAAAACCCCCCCATGACTATTGTTATTCTCCTCCACGAGATGTTGGAGCCGCTCTGCTCAATAATGCAATAGGCGTCCGTTGGAATTCGCTTGAATCAATGTTATATCTTGTAAAGTAATCAGGAACAAGCTTCCAGGTGTTTGGTTAACAAAAAAGTGGATTGTCTAATATGAATCCGCGCTATCTTTCAGAAATACCGCAATGCGGCTGAAACCCAGGATTATGTAAAGTGCCAATATTCCAGTACTCCGGATGAAAGGCGGGGCGTTGCGCAGATGCGGAACGGTCTAGGCCGTCCCAATCTGCGTTGTGGCATAAGCACGCGCCCGTGTGATGCAGTGACAGGCCAATCACTACCCCTGTACTGTACACTCCCAGCTTATTAACGAATTCAATGCCCACGGTGAGAGGTGGTTGTAGGCCGCAGTCGCATGACTGTTGAGGCTGATGGTCCGATGGCCTACACTGTGGCCGTGCTCACTCTCTTTGGATTCGTTCCCTACGAGCGAAATAGAGATGCAGTCATGCAGTGTTCCCGAAGAGGTAGGACCCAAAAATCATCGGCGATTATAGCAACGCAAAGGAGAACTCTCATTTGCCTATCCAGCACAGGCCACATAAAGTAAAGGAGACACTTCCCTCAGAATTCGAGAGAAGAGCCCGAACCCAAGGGAGTGGCCACTCGTCGAGAAAGTGGTGACGAACAACTCATATGCGGCTCGTAAGCAGTTCTGCGATTATCGCCCCAAATATGCCAGCTTCAACGACTCCGCCACATTATATTCTGTCAGAGGATCCCTCAGCCTCAGTTCCGAGATGCGTGTTGTCGTTTTCGGTAGGAAAGTCTGACTTATGACGCCCAGTAAAGCGGTTCCGGGAGCCTAAGCAGGCAGGCAATGTGGCGTGTGAAAGGCCCTGAAGGTGCATCCAGCGTATCCCAAGTCTTGATTTCGCAATGCAATGCATTACTCAACATGGGCGTAGGGCTAAGCCACGGAGGCCGCTGGCGAGGGCCCTGGTCGTTAGCGGAGAGGACGCCACATTCCCCCACCAGCCTCGTTTGCCTAGGTGCAGACTCCAGAAACCGGTGACGTCTGTAGATGAGAGCTGTATTTATAGGAAAGAATCGCAGTGAATTGTGGAAGCCAGGCCGCTCTTCATTTCACGTGCTCATCCCCGGCTAACAACAGCTTCAAGCTTCCATTTGCAGAGGTCTTTTGCTTGTGCATTCTTCCGAACTCAAGATCATTCGCGTTTTCCAAAATCATTCTGTACTGCCAGTATGGCTATAGAGAATCCTTTCCTCAGGGTCGGTTTGACATGTCTAATATGGACTTTGCTCCTCCTACTCGGATCACTTCAGGTGGCAAATCTGGTCATCCAGATCATATTTGCGACAAATTACAACTCAAACATCGACAGAGACAGCCTCGAATTTGCACTCTACAAGAACAGTCGTTTCCAGAACTGTTCGTCTCACAGCCCGCCACCCAACATCGACTGTAGCGTCATCAACGGCCAGCTGTCACAAAGCAAGATATACAAAGACTACATCAACCAGGGCCAAAACTACCTGAACCAGCTAAACTACTACAACGACGAAAGCAAAGCCGACAGCGGCGTCAAACACACCTGGTGCAACCTCGCCAGCTGCCTCAACGGCTTCCGCGTCATCCCCTCGACACCACGCGACTCCGCCTTCACCTTCACCGGCATCGAGCAGTGGGCAAACCTCAACCTCATAGCCATCACCGCCCTCTGGGCCCTCCGCACCGAATTCTTCAAAAGCAAAGAAAAATGCCCGTACAACTGCAAGGGCATGCGGGTGTGGGACTGGCCCCCCATCGCGTACGCCACCGTCCAGTCCGGCTTATGGTGCTACTCGTTCGTCACCCTCGCCTCGGATCCACACGGTGCTAGCCCCATGTCCGTCATCTCCTGGGTCACGCCGTGGATCTACGCGTACGGCACGCAGTACCACCCGCTCGCGTGCGCGTTCGCCGATCATCCGCGCCGGAAGAAGGTCGTGCTGGCCACGCTGGTCGCGGCGACGGCGGCGCAGTGGATCGCGAGCTGCTACGTCTTCAGCCTGGAGTACTACGCCCTCGCGACCGGGATCAGCCACGACCCGAGCCGCCGATACGACTGCGTGGCGGAGTGGATGGAGGCTGTGCCGGGCGCCGCGCCGCAGTGCTCGCCCGAGCAGGTGTGCGGCAGGGACTGGCTGTTCAAGGACCCGGGGCTGCAGTCGTACGTGGATGTGTCGAGTGCCGTTTACCTCGCTGCGTTTGCGGTCTGGAGCGGCGGTCTGGTGCTGCCGTTTTTCGCGTTCGGGATCGGATGGCTTGGGGATGGAGTGCTTACGTGCCGCTGGGGCTCGATGCGCGATGGGGTTTTCCTTTCGATTGTGCGCTTCTTCAGGCCGATTTGGTTCATCGCGCCGATTGCTGGGGCGATCGTCTACTTTGGGATTAATCTCCTTGTTCGATTGGGTAAGTCTTGGGATGAGTTGGATCGTGAGGCTGGCGTCATGTATGATGTGGACTGTCGGGTTGCGCACGTCGCTCTGAGCCCGTGGAAGCAGTACCTTGATGTGGACGATGGCAGGGTATTGCGGATTGTGGCATCGTGGTTCAATGCCTGAGGCACTCTGATCTTGACTTTTACCCCTTGGCTGTCTGACTTGGTTGAATCTATTCAAACTGTTATCTCATATGTAGCTTTCGGTATATACCTTTTCATAGGGCTAACGGATTGCCTATTGCTTGCTCCGTTTGCTTGGTTCGGTCCTTTGTTGCTACCAAGCCATTATTCTTTCCCGATTAGGTTTAGTGTGGCTCGTCTGGCAATGGAATATACCATTAATGATCGGCCTTCCTATGTTCCTCCTAGTCATCAGATAGCAAAAAACAGATACAAAAAGCGACAGGCCACGACGATGGATGATAGAGATTCCGACAACATAGTAGTAGTAGTAGTGCCGCCGAGACTAACGGCAGAGGGTAAGAATACAGCGGGATAGCGGCGAACGCATGAACATCGGACCGGCGAGAACATTTGTTTCGTCGCAACGCGTCCTCTGCGAATCTCCATCATCTGCGCACGCTACGCGTGACGGCTCTACAAACAATCCGAGCTTAGTCTGTTGCAACTGGATTCGCTCAAGGCAGCTCGGAAAATGCTGCTCCCGCCTGTCCAGGACCCTTTCTCGTCTCCACCGCCGCCGTAGCCAGGTGGACGAAATGGTGGGAGAACGACGACTTGGATTCTCTCGGCACACAGCTTGAATTCCCACTCTCATTCGAAGCCGAAGTCGATGGCGCAAGAGATTATGCAGCAATCCGACTGCGTATGGTGCTTCCATTCGAGGAGTACGACACGATGAAGCCCGTGCACGTCATAATCCCTCCGCAGAACATCACAAACGTGCGTGTGCAGCGTGTCCGCAGTGCCGATCCCATCGTCCGCCACGCACTATGGCCCGGCAGGCCGATAGCCTCTATTCCGGACTACAGCGTCGTGGTCATCCACATTTCCAAGGGACCGCCCGCTCTGGTGGTCGGCCCCTCGGACGGAATGACGCCCCAATTCGACCGTGCGGAGCTCGTTCTGAACCGCTTCCAATGGATGGCCGACTCGCACACTTACAAGATCTACGTGCCTCGCGATGCTTTCACGGATGATGAGCTGCGCACCTTGCGTCGTACCCTGAACAGCGATGCGTACGAGCTGAACCCGGATGAACTCACCGACCCTTCCTACGAAGGCTACAGAGTCATCAGTGGGCCCCGGAACAAGGTGCTTGCCGACAGTGATCCGCCAACCTCGTCGGACGAAAGTGCCTCTTCCCAATCTTCACCACCACTCTCTCCATTCCGAGTGCCTAATGGTCGTCGCTGTAAGCCATCTTGCTCGTATTCCCCCCATTTGCCCGCTCATACTAACGCACAGCTAGTAAGAATACCTGCGACAAACAAGAGGAAGAGACCTGCCACGGATCAAGCTTCTCGCTCGGATGACCTGCATCCAAGCATCGCCGACCACCTGCAGCAACTTGAGGAGCGGCTGACGCAGAGGATGGACGCACAGTGCGAGGAGAAGGTCCAACGCATGCTCGCTGAGAGCAAAGACGCCATCCTTTCTGAGGTCGACGCCCGGTTGGATGCGCGCTTGGCCGAGATTCGGGCGGATATTGCCAACAAGCCGTACGAACCGAGAGAAGGAGGAGCAGCGGATCTGGACAGGGAGCTGGAGCTTAAGATTGAAGCCCGCCTTCCGAGCCTGAAAGATGAGCTTCGCGAAGTGGTGTGTGACAATGTGAAAGCGCGGCTGATAAATGCTCTGAGCCGTGGAAACTCTGCTAGCTAAATGAGAAGAGCGATGTTAGAATAGGAAGCATGATTGGAGCTTTGCGAGGCGAGTAACGAGGCCATCGAGGCGGGAGAAAAATTGTTTAGAAACTACACTAGAGACCAGACAGTAACACCACACCTCCATCTAGATTCCAATTCAATAGCGCCATTTCTGCGCGGTTGGCTGTAAAGCGTCATTCAAATCGGGCCTACCCAAGTGGACGGACGATATGGCACTTAGGACTTCCACTAATTAAATACGCTTAGCAGTTACAACAATTTCGTAGTTCAAATTACTACAAATTGCGAACTAAAATTATAAGTAAATAAAATAAGCCTTTGAGATTCTATACAATATAAGCGATAGAAGAGAAGCGCGTATTAGTCTTAAAATAGTCTAAAAGAGTAGACTATTGTGCTAAGAATTACGTATATACGGCATAGTAAAGAGTTATTAGAGTAGATATACTATCTAAAGATTTATCTAATAACCCGAAGATCGACTTAATAAGAATCCCTATCTAATCCCCATTAGTCACGCGTAGTTTACCTAGCCTATAAACTAGTATTAAATTAGCTCGAAGTTCAGATTTTTCTCAAATTAAGAATGAAAATGATTTAAACTACGAAACTTACTTGATATAAACCCTGATGACATCCAGCACTCAGATGTTAGAAAAGATCCGATAAGAGAAGACTGTTGACCACTAGCTAAGTCGATTTTTTCCAACCAAACCAGAGGAGTCCAACCGTTATTATCTTTGGCGTCAGGGCGAAATCCCTCGCTTACCAGCCCCGCAACTTTCTCAATAGATCCGCTGATAGCCGCATAGTGAAGTGCTGTGGCACCGAATTGATCTCGCGCGGTAATGTCCACATCGCTATTAAGCAAAGTACGCAATGTCTCCCATGAACCATTCTCGGCCGCGAAATGGAGTGGTGGTGGTGGATCTAATGGGAACTTCATCGCACAAAACTTTGCTCCCGAACGGACGAGAAGTCTGACAATGTCTGGGAAGCAGTGATAGATCGCTAAGTGAAGTGGAGTGACCATTCTTTTAAATGGTGACTCCCCCGTAAATCCCTTTACTGCGTAAACGAGAGAAGCCGGCAAGTATTGATGATATTCTTCGACAGACTCTTCATCTTGACTTTGTTCGAGAGCGCGAATGTGTCTCTCCTCAACATACCAGTTGACGTCCGCGCCTTTCTGAATCAAAAGGACGGCTATCTCTAAGCTGCCGCGCGCAACTGCCAAGTGTAGTACCGGTTGGATCGTTTTTTGCAACAGAGATCGAATACTCTCGAAAGAATTGGACGGGCGCATTATTAGGGTCTCTTTTACTTTGTCTGAATCGCCTGCGAGAACCGATTCAGTAAGCCTTCGTGCGAATAAGTAGTTCTGTAGTCCTTGTCTGGAGGCTCGGGGAGACAGATCTCCGATTTCCGTGAAAGGACATTCACTCCTGTCGGTGCAAGCCATGTTCCCACGGAGGTGGATCGTTAGAGACTTCGCCACATCTCGATGACCATTTGCAACAGCTGCTGCAATGGCGTCCAAACCGAAATGGTTGAGTCTACGATCAACTCCTGCTTTGTGAAAGAGCGTAGCGGTCATAAGCTTACCCTTTGCTGCAGCAAGGATGAGTGGCGTGTTGCCGTCAGCGTCGCTCATTTCAACGTAGAAGTCTTGATCTGCTGCGCGCATTTTGAGAGCTGTGATGAGGTCTAAGTCGCCATGCTCAGCGGCGAGGTGAAAGGCGTTTTTAAATGACCTCCGGCACCTGACCATTAAGATGTCATCATGGAGGTCCCAAACACTAGATTCCATGTCTGACTTGGCGGGGTGGTAACAAGATGCAATGAGGAATCTAAAGTCTCTTTCGTAGATCATGGTGAAGCCGCCGGACAAATTCCAATTTATTGTCTCCCAGCTTGGTGTCTCCCAGTTGGGCTCGTAGAGCTTGTAGATTATGTTTAGCGCATCTACACTGCTGGCCTCAAAGGCAAAATGGGCGAACGGAGACTTCGACATTGCGTGAAGAACCATGTATCGAGTTGTATCACGGTACCGATAAGGGTCAAGCCGATGGACAATTTTTTGAATCGCGACGTGGCTGCTGGACTTCAGCGCAGCTTTGAACTCACCAACAAGGAGCTGAATGTGGTGGTACGGATCTTCGGCATCTAGAGGATCGATCGAATGGTCAAGAACTTGTCTGACAAACCAACTGAAATCTTCGTCGGGTATTTTTCCGCGTGGGACCTTCACCCCTTGCACGTGATGTACGCTGTGGGGAATGGGAATCTCAAGCATATCGAACAATGAAGTCGGCTTTATTTTCATGAAGAGTTTTAGGATGGAAATGCGGTGCTTGGATATCACATGAAGAAGCGCAAGCTTCACCGAGATTTCGCATCCTTCTTCTGTGTGGTCTAGAAGTAGGCGCACCACTTGTTCATGGCCATTCAGGCACGCAATAGACAGTGGACTTCCATACACGCCGCCCATCAAATGGGCTTGTGCGCCGTTTTCGAGAAGGGTTTTGACGATGTCGCTGTTCCCAATCTCCGAAGCTTTGTACAACGCCGTTGGTGTCGCAAATTTCCCGCTCGCTAGGCGCTCAAATCCTGGTGGACGAAAGTCATACGGCGAGGGGTTCCAAGTTTCCCGATACTCCAGACTAATACCAGGTGTTGCAGCTAGTTTTTCGATTGAACGACTCAGACCTCTGGTAGTTGCGGTAAGCAATGCAGGTACCGCTGCTCGGGCCTCGTCCGGTTTCGACTCGGATTTTCTCCGCTTGAGATACTCGATGTGGGCGACTTCACTTGCCATCTCCTTGAAAGCCTCCGGTGAATAAAGGAATCTCCACGTCCGATATGTCTTGATGTTACTCAGAAGCTCGACAATTGTTGCTCTTGTCGTCTCATTTTGCTCAGCAACGTCTGCATATTCCCACCATTGCTTCGATGCCCACAGCGCGAATGGTAGCCTTCTATTGACTTCCCAGACCGGAAGACTACAAGGCAAGCTTAGTAGATAGCATAAGCTCACATTGGCAACTTCCGCTTTCGCAATCGACTCCTGCAGGTGTTGTTCTGTTATAGCCTCGGCCACCTCTGATGTGATGTAGTCTCTGACGGACTTGTGGGCTAACTTCAACTCTCTGGAGGTGACTAACTGCGTGTGATCATGACCAAAAAGGTCTGATTTGGACTTGAGGTCTTCAGGAATTGGAGCCACATCGTAGTATTCCACTGAATCTACAGCAATCAGGCTTGAACAGTATCTTGTGATTTCCTCCGCAGCAGGTAGTCTGTTGATTGGATTAAAGGCTGGTCGAACTGAAACATCGGTCGCAAGCGCGTCAATGGCTTCTTCAGCCCTCATCGGTCGGCTTGAATAAGCGAGAAGCTGAAGTAGTCTCAAAGCGTTTCGCTTTTGCGGCTTCGGGATCCTGCTAAGGATTTGATCATAAAGGTTCTCGAGTGACGCCGGTAGAGAAAGCAGAGCTGTCTCCAGCGCCTGGTGGTCAATGCAGTCCTCTAAACTGTCGAGCTGGCATGAGACCCATTGAAACCTATCAGTTGCACTTGTCAGTAATTAGAAATACTTGAACATAAGAGAAAGTTAACTAACATGCCATCTGCCTCCTCCGTCAAGGTTCTCGAGATCCTTTGCTGTACGGCCGGACATGACGACCACCTTCTTAAACGGCAATCACTCTGGACGGCATCTTCCACGTATGCCTGTATATCAACCTGGGTTGCTTTGCGATGGATGTGATAAATCATATCGATGTCGCGTAGCTCAGCCTCAATGTCTTGCTCGCTCCAACTGGTCACTAGTATTCGAAGATTGGTGTTGGAGCGTTGGATCATGTCCTTCATCCAATGGCAAATTTTCAGCTTCTCACCCTTGTCGGCTTCATCCAAGCCATCTAGAACAACGTAGACATTCCTGACTTGGCTGGCTCCTTGCTTCAAGGAATTATTCAAAATGTCGATGCTTGGTCTGTCACCTCCGAACCTATATTCGGCACGGAGTAAATTTTCTCTGATGCCCGCATCGGAGAGTTGCAGCTGGTGGACGAGAGAACACACCATGCCCGCTAAGTTTCGTTTTTCTTCGTTGTTGAAGTCGAAGTAAAAGTAGACAACCATAGTAATTGGGTCTCCCGCGATTTCTTCTCGAAGTTTTTCGATGACGGCTGAGCTGAGAATTGTTTTGCCGCATCCAGCGATGCCGTGCACCCAAAGAAAGGCATGCCCTTTGCACTTCCATTGTTCGAATATTGTGTCACTGAGAAACCACTGACAGGTGTTTTTGTAGCGCTTTTCGACAGCCTTGGCATGGTTGACTGCTGGGTTTGGTGGACACAGCCAATTCTGCAGTCTGGTCTCTTCGCTGCGTTGGTTCGCATCTTCAGCCAAGTCCTGTATTCTGGTGATCTGATGCGCAACTTCTAGTATTCAGTATACGAAAACATCATCCAAGGAAGATTTACGAACATTTTTCGATAACATCGATGGCAGCGTCCGCAATCTCTATGTCCTTCTCAGGAATGATACCCAACAGTTCCTTGCCAAATGCAGCCGCAGTAGCAGCTGCGTAACGTTGCCATCGATCGTTCTTGTGAGAATCGGAATAGTCGCTAATGCCTCTAATGACGAGGCATGGAAAACTGTTCATCAGCCCTGCAGCCTCCATCTCATAACAGATACATTCATCGGGGATGTGTTTCAAGAGTTCCTCTCTCCCTGCGGCATCCTTGACAAGTGTATTTCCGGAGGCGATGACACCAAAGTGGAAAACTGGCTCGGTCGTCCCTCGTACCTCCCGCTTGACCTCTTCTTCTCCCAAGCAATTATCGCAATTTTTTCCCGGGGCATGTCCGTAGTTTGCATTGAAGAGACGGTCGTTTTCAAAACCCTGGTGTCTGTACCCAGGATTTGTCGGCCGAGGCTGAAACATGTAAGGATTCCGACTTTCCATCTCGGCCAGAATACTAGGGACTTTGGACGGCCTTTGTTCGTACTGTGACTTCAGATTCGACAGCGCATAGAGGAGAATGTCCGGTGGAGCGTTGAGAAAGTCTTTGCGTTCGCGGTGGCCTTGACTCAGTTTGACTAGGTCGTATTGGATGACTCCTCCAGTGCTGCCGCTCGGCTCACTGATGACTACGTCTCCCAGTCGAATGTCGGGTCCATCTGCGCGGGGTATTGCACCTCCAATGCCAACCAGCAAGCCGAACCTGATTCCACGAAAGGTCGATAACATCGAGGTTGCAGCCGTCGCAGCCGAGTTTGTGCCGTACATCCCAGCCTTGAGCGATGCGATGACAACATTGTGTTTCCCAATACTGCCCCACGAATAGGAGAGTGTGTCGTTGCAAGACTGACTGAAGTTGCGGGGTTGTTCGTGTTTTTCATCGAGGAGAGCTTCGGCGGCGGCTCGTTCGATCGCAAGTGGAGCGATCCACCCGACTGTATAGCGCAAAGGGCTGTCGAGGGATTTGTAGTTTTCCATTCATAAAAGGTTGTGGCTACGACAGACTGAGAGACAAGGCAGCCGATTTGGATGCAAACGTCCTGCGGGGAAGTGTGCGTTGTGGACTTGCGACGTGTAGAAATCGTGAGGGAACAAGGAACAAGAAATGATCGGGAAGCTCGCCTCTCAGCCTCGTCAGTGCTACGTAATCAATTTTACAATGGTTTGACTGATATGCATGTCAGATTGTGTGTGAAGATGTGATAGGATAACTCCTAATCCGTCGCCTGGCCATTCCAGCCGAAGGCGACGATTCACGAATAGCAGGGCCCTAGAGTGCGGCGTAAATAAGCCTTCACAATTTTTATTGGAGGGACGGCACACACGAGTAGTAGAAGCTGTCATCTGGATAAGAATATACAATTGTTAACTTTGCATTAACATCCTGACCTAGCTTCACTATTCATAATGTGAGCGAAAGCTAAATTCAAGCTAGTCTTTGCCTACAGTACCACTCTGTATACACCAGTAGAAGGCAATATAATTTAAATCCTACCGTATCCGACAAATGGTAAGCCTGTTAACTTCGCCTATCAAGGGCATGGAACGCCAGCGTTCTCCCTTTCTGAACACCGGTCTGCATTCTTCTTGTACGGCTGATCAGGGTATACATCTCACCATTCCCGTGTAGAAAAAGGCAGATAGTCAGTCCTACGAGGTCTAATAAAGTGTACCCTGGGGCCCAGGTGACGAGGCCGAAGGGAATGCTCTTTGCTATATGTGAATTTTAGGTGAACAAGCTCACATTCTTTGCATATCGATACATTGCTATATATGTATGTTTACTGATCCGCACCAACATACCATCGTATCCTTAGACTGATGAATCCGAGTCTGAATCCGAATCCGAGTCCTTCTCTTTCCTAGACTTTCGTCGCTCACGTACTTCATCAGAACCCGAGTCCCCGTCATACCGCTTCCTGTCATCTCGGGAATTTCGCTTCCGGCCTTTTCCCCTTCCCTGGTCCCCATAATCTAAGTTTCTCCGTCGGCCATAGCTGGATGGCCTTTGCTTCGTTGATGCGCCTCCATAATATGGTTCATCCCCCCAGAAGTCGTTGCGGTCAAAATTCCTTTTGGCTCTCCCAGCATCATCCATTCCGTGAACATTCTTCAAGTAGTCGTCGAAATCGAAGGTTGCGTTCTTCACCGTCTCAAACTCACCGGGACCCAAGACACCGTGTTCTTTTGGTCGGAATTTCGCAATCGAAGTAGCAGTCTGGCATGCATTGTGGATTTGTCGTCCATTCCAGGGCCGGAAATCCCGACTTCTGAGTTCCTCCATCAGCTCCTTCACCCACTGCATTATCTCTTCTTTTTGAACTACTAGAGTGTCTTGGTTTGTCCTCTGAATTCGGTCCAGGTTCACCTTCCAGATTTTCTTGGTCTGTTTTCGGTCCAGAGGAGGGTAGTACAAAGAGAGATGGATCCTTGATGTGAAGGCATCGTCGAAAGTACCGACCTTGTTAGTCGTAAGAAAAAGAATCCCGGAATAGTACTCCAGGATACGCAGAAACACAGATACTACGGCATTGCGGGCCATGTCGCTCTTGTTGCGTGTCTGCAGGAACACATCTGCTTCGTCCAACAGCAACACACAGCCCCACCGGTGGGCAAGTTGGAAGTTTTCCTCAAGATTCGCTTCGACGGTCTTTGCATCCTCGCCAATATCACCTAGCAGGTTGAAAGTAAGCAAGACAGCGTATTCAAATATACCAAGGCTACAGCTTACCACATGTGATTGAGAACAGTGGTCTTAACGTGTACTCAGCGACACATTCAGCAGTGCTCGTCTTACCGACACCAGGAACACCGTGGAGTAGAATAATGACCCCCTTTCCTTTTCCACGTACAAGATCCGTCCCATGTATGGCTGACGCGTCGTTGGACATAGAAATGCTGGGCTTTGATCCGCGGGCATGAGTTCTGACCATACCCTCAACGAGATCCTTGTAGTCTGTCGGTAGGATCAGGTCATTGAAGTTCTGCGCTCTTTGCTTTACTGGGGAGGTTCTGTCCATGTCGAGTTGGTCTAAGAAGATTCTTGAATCAGCTTGACGGTGCTTTTCCATAATGGAGGAAGATACTCACGCCATTTTCGGCTCCGCAACACATATCCGAAAACTCGACTTGGCAGAAGGCAGAGCAAGTCATGCTTAACTTTGCCTTTCGGATCCCGAATCAGTCTCCAAGTATCTGAGTTCTCGGCAATGAATGCCTCCATGCGTTGGCGGTCGACCTTTCTGTCGTCGTATATGTGACTGTTTCGTCTCTTGCTTTCGGACCTGCAATTGTAACACGAGCATGTGTTCATCTCTGCAACTTCTCGAACATCCGCCTCTTCTGGTCTCCTGAGCCCAAGAACTGGCCTTTTCTCAATATTTTTCTCCCAGTATAGACTCAAGTCAATTATCACCCGACTGTCAATCTAAAGCAGTGTCAGTGATGTTATGTTATCATTTTGCTTGAAGAAAACTGACCTGTTCGCGGTTTTCGCCGACGCTGAAACCGATGTACTCACGATGAGGAACCTCTTGCGAGTCCAATAGATCGAGGTACCTTTTCCCTCGTTTGACCAAGTAATCCTCCACGGGGAGCTCCGTATTCTCCACTGTGTCAATCACGGTCCTTGCATACTCTAGAGGGAGAAACTCAAGACTAGAAATAGCCTGAGATCCAGTATAGGGCATGATTGTAACTTGGTGGTTAGCTGGACCGAGTTCCTCCCCGTTGAAGTCCAAATAGATACAATCGATGACGAAGGGACTTGTGATTTCGGTTTCGGCTGTGGGAGAAGACCAAGGAAAAGCTGGCTCGTCCGATTCCAGATCTTCGAGATTTTTTGTGAGGAGTGATCTACCTCCACTCACTGCGAGGACTTGGTAGGCTTGCTTTGTTTCGGAATGATAGATCTTATCACCCGGTGCGAAGAGAAACCAAAGGTCCTTGAAATCAACTGTTTCCGCCTCACGAGACCTGAGACGACGGAAGATGGCCCGGTATTGCTTCAACTCCACATCCGTAAACCTCAACATAGCGTCCAAGTGCTCAGCCATGGCATGTGAGACTTCCAAAGCTGCCCCAGGATCCGAATTTGGTGGATGAACGGATGAATTTGAGGTTCCCTGATCTTCATATACCCCATTCCCCTCCGGATTCTCCTCATATGGTGTTTCTGCATCCACTGCTTCGTTCAGACTTGCTTTTGATGAATTTGAGGCGGGTTTCGGCACTGGGCCATACATGGGATACTCGAGCCGGTTGCGTATGTTGGTCAAAAGTTCTCGAAGAGCCTCCTCGTAGCAGATGAAGAGCTTGAAAGGTCTGAGGAAGACTGAGTTGTCCGATGGGGCGGTCGCCTCGCCAAACATGGATTTGAAGATCACATGGAGATGGCCTGAATTGAGGCGGATCCGCTCGACGTCAACCCTGTTGTCGGAAGGAATTGAGATTTCCGACTTCCCGAACTGGCGCCGCAAAAAATATGGTACCTGATAACTGAGAAATGATCGGGGTTTTTCCACCAGAATCTCCACCACGTGATAGGGGGCTTCTGAATGATAAGGATCAACCCACTGATTCCACGTGCGGCGCGCAACTCCAGGAATATAGTCAAGGCAAGGACCGTACACCGGGGCGGCCACCTCCTCCGCCTCTTTCTCATCATCGCTCTCCATGTATTCTTCTGTCAGTTGTGGATTTTGCAATCCTTTGAATACCCGCAATTTACTCTTCATCTCTCCCTTCTCCCTCTTGAGCTTTTCCACCTCTTCAGCCAGGGAGACTAGTTGGTTCTCAAGTGCTTCGATATACTTATGACGCTGAAGGACCGGTACGCGAGCTTTTGACCGAAGATCCCCAAACACATCGAAATGCATACAAAGGAAGCGGTCCCTCTCTTCTTTCTGACTATAGCCAGAAAATAGCGTTTTTCGATGTCTTCGACGGATCGATGATGCGGTCTCTTCTGGATCGTCTCCAGACATCGCGTCTGAGTCACTTTCAAGCTCCGCAGTATATACAAGGTCAACCGAATTTCCTCCAATGATATTTTTTCGTGAGGGGCGACGGGGCTTATCGTTGTCATCGTTGGTCGGCGGTAGATGTGCAGATTTCACATTCGCGTCCCCATCAAGGAATCGAGCTTCCTTCGTTTCATCGTTTGCGAGTCTGATCGGGTCGGCAGAGGGAGAGCCGTTGCTCGGTATAGCACCTCCATTCTGAGTATGTTCGCTGCCAGGCAACGGTTTCTCGCTGGAAGGTTGATTGCCATCCTGGAGGTCAGGCTCGTCTAAATGCATATTTCGAGGCCTAGAGTTTAGGTCACGAGAATCAGCATAAACCCTCATGTTATTCGATTGCCATACAGAGCTTACCAGAGCTCCAACAATATCGGAAGAAAGATTTGTCGGAGTGTCAGCGGTGGATGCACCGCTGGGGTGCCTGGTTTTCCTTGATGAAGTAAGGCTGTCTTCTGCACAATCTCGTTCCCTGCGACTCCTCGGCTTAAAATAATACTTTCTTTCGGGCTGGCTAACTTCATATGGTTAGATCTGACTCGACCTCTGGCCCTAGGCATCAACTTATCTGTAGCCAATCTTAGGGAATGTTTCAGCGACTTTCCTCCCATGACTGCGGGGTTATGGAGCGTCGGACAGTCAACGCGCAGGTTTTTTCTTTTACATCGGAGGCTAGCTAACTCTAGAACTGACCAAGCAAAGTTTGCGGAAAGATTTCCCGCTTTGAGCGGTAACTGCGGCAATTATGCAAGCTACAGAAAGCTAAGTCACCAGGGTGCCATGTCGGTGCCATGTCGGTGCCATGTTGAGCTCACCGTACCATACATTGTGCAGGAAGTGTTCTAGTATATGTAGCCCTGGGAAAGAATGTTTCATACAAACAGAGATCTGATGCTAGCGGTCGGTCGTATAAGAAGCTGTTATATCCAAACGTTATGTATACTTTCCTCCTGCAGCTGATTGTTAACGTAAGCGAAAGCAGAGATTCGAACAAGAGCAGGTCGGGGTGTAACAGGCCAAATTGCTTAGCTTCTTCTGTTCTTGGTTAGCCGGCAGATCTATGAGACACGAAAAAAAAACAAATTCACGTTAGCCACCGATCGCAGGAGGGCAGTGTGGAAGGACTCAGAACAGGGGGCGACTGCCCTTACAGACGATGTGACAGCACAACTTGAAACCACCTGATGGACATTAGGCTCGGCTTCCCTTCGAATCTCCACTTTGATCCATCGCAGTTCCCTTTGCGGAAGGTGCCATAGCATTCAGCTCGCCCCTTCGTGGAGTTGAATTTTAGCGCGGGAATTGTTACGAGGGAGCCTGTCTTTGATGCAGTAATATGATAGGCTAGAATTGCAGTTTTCCATGAAAAAGCAAATTCGCTCTGGCTCGCTCTGGCAACCGGACGCAGAACCCCCCTTGTACGTGTGACATAAATTTACTCTTCTATGTGCAAATACAATTTAGGCTCCTGCATCTTGAGGATATAGTGACGCAGGGTCATTTTCATCCGAGATCTTCGCGCTTACTGTGGGCTGTAAAACGCCTCTGCAGTAAATATGTTCGATTTATTTTTGTTTTTCTTTGGAGCTGAAATCAAACGAAGCCCCACACTCCACAACTCCGAAAGAGAATGCGGCTAAAGCAGCTCCGTCTGCAGACCCTAATGTGGGTGGCCCCCATATTTACCAATATAGCCCCCACTCCAGCGCATGCTTCATAGACAGAGTAAGGAAGCTTTTCCGCAAAGCACTTGGATATTACAGGTTGGCCCCACCTCCGACAATGCAATGCTGGCAATCCCCACAGCACATGGCTTAGAGCAATCTATCCAATAAACGACTATTCCTGGGTCTCCTCGGCAATCTGGAGTTTACGATCAGAAAAAATTTTCAGCGCAGGCTGTCTATCGCGCTCGCTACGTTATCCGGGATGCCCTCAACGGATAGCAATAAGCGCGGTATATATCTTCACTGGTTCTGGTACTAAAACAATGGTGCTCAGGCGAAAATCAACCAACATAGCTTAATACCTGGCTGTATTGATAGTAGCACCACTGTTGTCTCTTTTTCAAGTCAACCCAACTCGGAGCATCATCGGTACTTCTCTTGCAGCAAGTCTGTAGAGTCGAAGACTTCATAAGCCGGACTAAGTACTTCCTTTCCAAATGAAGAAGACGAGAAGGATTTTCGGTCTCAAAAAGCATGCTACCAATGAATTCGTTGAGGAGAGACTACCGAACGTCGATTCCACCCTCCAAAGCCTGCCTCCTGCCCACTTTAGTGATGCTGTGGGGCAGTATCTCTCGGATGACCTACCCGTGGTTGACGATCTCGAAGGCACGGATAGAATGCGAACGGAAGCAAGGTTGTTCCAGGACGCCTTCAAGGACTTCGAGCACGGGCTCGGCTACGAGACGGAATTCTCCAAGCAGAAAGTCATGACGTGGGATGATGTATTGCGCATTGCTGAGTCCGAAGCCGAAGCGTACAAGCAAAAGGGTGACGGCGAAGGATTAAAAGCAAATATACGGGGTCTATTCAGGAAATTCCACAAATTCAGAGTACCCGTAGAGACTTGCATCAAGCTTCTCCCTTCAATATCTTGGGAAACCTCTCTTGTGTGCGGCGGCCTTACAGTCATACTTCAGGTATGTTAATCTCTTTTTTCATTCACAGCAACCAAGCAAGTCAGCTAAGTTTTTTTTCCTAGGCCGCATCGAAGCTGGGGAAGATGAGGGAAGACACATACACTGCGATGGAAGAAGTTCCACGCGCCATCGCCCGCTCTAGTGACCTCATCGCTATCTATGCGCTTTCGAAGCGCCGAAAGATGCTGGAAGAGCATGTGTCACAGCTGTTTGTTTCGATCCTCAAATTTCTGCGAAATACTCTTGGCTGGTATGCGCAGAACGCCGCACAGAAATTCGTTGGTGCCTTATTCCGTCTCGATGATTATGGCAAAACAGTCACCGCAAGCATTGATGATTTCAAAGATTTGATAAACGCTGTCAATGAAGAAGCAAAGATGAATGAACATCAGACCATTGCAGATATTAGACAAGAGGTCCAAGGGTTCAAGGAATGGGGTATGCAAGTGAAGAATGACATCTTCAAACACCTACGTGTGTTCGAGATTGAACAGCAGAATTGTACGTGGGTTTCAGATCTAAGCTTTGTTCAGAAACTAACAAAGGGCCTGCATCTAGACCGGGAAGCTCAGCAGAATTTGCTGAAAGAATCCCGTGAGCTGAAAAAGAGAGAGCGGCTGATTGCAGAAAAAGAAAAAAGTAAGCTGATGAGCAAGCACCCTGTTGTTCATCTCAGCCACACTAAACATGACGCCATTTCAGGTATCCTCCTCGATCATCTTGTCTATTCGCACGACCAAACCAACCAAGACTTGCATGATTCACTCGCCATTGGGCACACATTCGCTCTCGATGTCCAGGACCGCACAGCATGGATACTACAGTCTCCCGAGCTCACTGATTGGCTCTGCTCACCGCGTCTCTCCTTGCTCGAAATTAATGCGGGCGAAGATCGGCACGAAACCGGCAACTCCTCCGCATCTTTCTTCTCTGCACTGCTTATCCGCGCGTTGCTTGCATCTGGCCAGTCGACCGTGCTGTACTGGTTTTGTGGGCAGCATATCCTGGAGGGCTGGTCGGAGATGACACAAGCCTTGATTGGACAGCTGATTGAAAACGGCAACGAGAGAATCCAAATTCCAGCATCACCTCAGATTCGAGCGTTGGACGATCTCGATGAGCCAGAAAGACTTCTCAAGCTACTGCGTAAATGCGTCAAGCAAGAGCTGCAGCACTCTCCTGTATGCGTTATTATCGACTCTGTGTCCTTCTATGAAGATCGCCGACGGAGGTATTGGACGCACAAAGTGATTGAAGAGCTTGAAAGTCTGGACAGGTACCTTGAGAAGGAGAAATCGAGCCTCAAGATTCTGTTGACTAGCCCTGTTCGGAGCGACTTTAGTAGCGGCCATCGAGAATCATCAGTCGAGGTCCTCGACGTACCGGATGTCATAGACGGCTGTCTCCAGGGATTGAATGAGGAATCACTGATGAATGATATTGAGGAACATACGAGTAACATGTATTATTAGGTTGGTTTTGTTATTCAAAAGAATCTATCACAGATCAGCTTTTCCACCTGTGACAGTATTAGAGTATCTCTTCTCGTTGCGAACTTGAAGCATTGCCGAGCACCACCGCCGGAGGCCCTTATCGTAGCTTATCTATTGGTCAAAATTTGTCGGACCTTGCAGATTGCATTATGTATACCCTGAACGTGGGCTTGACAACTAGAGAAGATAAGCTTGTTTCGACGCTTGTTTTCTCTAAAAAGGTACATCAGTGTACGTAGATTATAAAAGAGATGTGAGTGATTGTTAAAAACACAAAACGTACAACAGCCGGGATTCCCCAATGGTCACCCACTTGAGTACTAATCGGCCGGTTCGCAGCTTAAGTACGGCTGAGCGGACGGGAAGCCCTGCATTCTGCGACCTATGGTCGTACGTGAAAGATCATGTTGTTAACTGCAATTATAACTCTAGTCAACAAGCAGTCGCCCAGCTATCTGATAGTACCTCGCAATAAAAATGGAGCATGACATTCACATAAATCATTTTCTAAAAATCCAGTCCTTAAGACCCAGCCGTTGCAAAACCAAATGAGAGCCCTATCGATGAACCAGTCTAGTCTCCATTTCCCGTACATTTGGCAGTTTTACCATCATTTTATGGATCATCCCTCTTCTTCAAGGCGGCCTGATCCTTCCGGATTAGCAAGTAGTTCCTCGAATATGGGAGGCGGTGCCTTCAACCTCGGGTGAGACAGTTCTGCTAAGTCAATTACAGCGAGTCGGTCTCTCCCTTGGGTGATTGGCACGTCTTTGTCGCAGTCCAGCCAAGAGCCAAGTCCAAGTTCCTCATGGGCCATGCGTTGTAGCTGGAGGGTCTCATTAACTGTCCATTCGAGACGAGCATAGACGTCGAGGTTGCGGCGACGTTGTATCCAGCGAGCTAATGGTTCAATTGTATAGGATGATATAATTATCAATCCACCGAGGATGAAGATAGATGCAAGTCCGAAAACTGAGAAATTAATGTAAGCGGTGCTGAGGATCATCTGTATGTCGTTTAGTAACTTCAACGCTATAATACCTCTTTAATACGTACCTGGCTTTTGCATAGTCTTTTCTGTCGGCTGTTAGATGGAGGAACTATATATTTGCGCATTTCGGGATCGGTAGACCCGGTTGCCACTTCGATACACCGTTGTTGTATCGTGGCCATTGATATATTGAACCATCTTTCGACATCCAACTGCCATTGGTTATTGGCGATCCGCCCTTGAAATATTCCTCTTGCAGCGTTCGACTCTAAAGCTTGCGTGTGCAATTGAGTTGTTACTGAACCAATGTCGAAGGCGCCTACGGCGGACCAGCTGTACGACCACTTTACCGCGTCGCGGTCTGCCTCATCTGGCCAAAGTGCCCTCATATGTCGTTTGCTATCAGAGGTGGAAAAGTATGGTGAGCAATCATTGCCTTGGGCCAAGTTTGGATTGCAAAGCTGATGCTGTAAAACGCATCCAAGTGGAGATGCAGGCTCATCGCTGACATACACCTCTGCACCCATGATGCCGTCGTTATGAGGAGCAAGGATATTGGTCGAGTACCATGGGTCGCCTGAATTCCCGATAAAACTAACCTCATTTGTGGAAAGGAAAGTTATGAACACACTCGCATCCTTCTTTTCCAATTCCTCGATGGGCATGAGTACCGCAGGGTAGTAGTCCAGGGACCCGTTCACGATGTCGTATTTGACAGTACTAGTGGAATATAGAATTAGTCAACGTCGTTTTCAAAAAACTAACAGTATTTCATTATGTACATACTCAAGGTTGAAGCCCATAGTCTCAGGCCTGTAACTCGAAGGTTGATCAGTCGGATAATCGTACGTATAATTCGAAATTTCGCCCTGCTTCCCGTAGAAGTACCGCATCATCGACTGTCCCCGGTCATCCTTCATTTTCTGACGATAGCCCTCTGTCACCAGAGGTGCACAGTGTATCAAGCGTCGGTAGAGGAAGCGTTCGCTTTCGGGTGTGTTGAGACCAAGGTCTTTACGGCTGTCGATGAACCCGCTGTCAATGTGAAGATTAGAGCTCTAGCTTTTGCAGATTTTGTAATCGAAAGGACAAGCAGCTTCCCGGGAAATCTTCGATGCGATGGCCGCACTGACGTACTGTCCGCAGCCAGATCTATTTATTCCGTGGACATAACATTGTTGTACATAATCAGCACCAGCGGCGAGAACTCGGAACTGATAAATGGTGTAAACCGGAGATAAGACGGTCGTGTTCATGGAATGTGGAGTTTTTCCACAACTGTTACCCTGGAGCAGCACTTCTTTTCCAGTAAGAGTCGAAATCCGAGATGAAAAGGTACTGGCCACAGCAAATGCTGCGAGTATAATCAACGTGAGAGCAATAGGCGGTAGCATTCGACGAGAAGGGCTCTTGCCGGTTTTGTACCAAGCTTGGAAGACTTGGCAAAGGCTCCAAAGGCCGGCCGCACCGTTTGCTGAGTTTCGAAGGATCGCCTGTCGCTGATGGTATAGTCCGTCGCGAGATGCTTCTTTCGAATAGCCATGATGCATAACAAAACAGCAGATTCTCCAGAAGCTGGTACCAACGATAGTTACAAACAGAGAGATAAAAGCGATCAGAAAGCTTCCTTGAGCGCGTGTCGTCGTCAAGGTAGCGCCAAGCGTCTTTCCGCGATCCCAGTTTGTCCATACTCCCATGTAGACAGCGTAGGAGTTCAGATTGTCTTGGTTCGATAAGGAAGACATAGCTGACTGGTAAGAAGGGTATAAGGTTGATCGAACTTGACTTGAGATTTTTCGATGTTCGAAGTCACTCGCATTCTGCGTTTCTTGGTGTTGTAAGTAGATGATTCTAGGTCCTAAAGCATCCTTAAATAATACTGTTGAGAGCCTCGAAACATCCATCACAACCCAAAAATAGGTATCTTTTAGGTAGTACAAGGAGTCCCTTACTTGAGTAGCTGAACGTAAGGCTCGTTGCCTGCTCGTTGCCTGCTCTGCAGCCTTGTCGTCTGTTCTGCAGCCTCGTCATCATTTGATTCCTTGTTCTCCTCTTCTGTCCGGCAGCGGACTCGCTCATTGGTTAGAAAATCGTGTACAGATGAAGGAATATCCGCAAGGTTGAAAGAAAATTACAGGCTCAATTATCGGGGCCGGGCCGTTGCAGAGAAGTCTAGAATCAGGCTATATTCGCAGATCAATCGCCACTGGTATACCAGAATGGGTTCTAGCTGGATGCTTTGCTTTATTTACGGTATGTAGCACCTTGTGGGGTGCATGAATCTATTTTCTACGGTGTTCCATGGAAGTACGTAATGTTACACAATTAACTGCCTTTTGTAACACCCACAGGAACCTCTAGTCCTCATAGCATATTCGTGTATCTGTTACATGTCAGCGTCCAAAAAAAGACTGCATTTGATAAATGTCACCTGCCGCTTATGGACTCACCTCCTTTTCCAACAGCCGTAGCTGACCGGCTCTGCAGTTCCACCCCCACGGCCCACAGCTGATCTTCTCACCGAGGAAACCTCATCACCGTCGTTCGGTCCGCATGCTGTGAAATTCTGAGAACCTGTTCGTACAGAGGGCTATAGTGCCTACTTTGTCGACACGGAAGTGGCATGGTCAGAATAGGTGGCGTAATATCAGAGGCGGGGAGTACCACGTCCTTATCAAATGGGGGCGATTGTCAATTAAGGGCTGTGGAACGTACTAGCCTTTTTTCGGCCTGCCACTATCCTCATCGCCGCTCCTACAATCGGGACTGTGCGGATATATACGTAGGTGAATAAGGTGGAGAGGGAGATGTTCGCCTGTAAAGCTGAGTCTGAGAGGGAGCGCGTACGGGCTAGACAACACGGTGAGCTCATTATGAGGAATGAGGAGTAGCACAGCGCAAGCGACGATGTTCAATCTTTTTGCAGCACCACATGAACTTGGAACAGAGAGAGTGGATATTTCAAAGAACATTTCTGAAGCTAGAGGTGACGGGATCAACGGGATAGAAATCTCGTCAAATGAGATCGATGGAGAGACGACCGCGGGCTATGAGTCAGCTGCTGAATCGAAACTGGCGGAGTTGAGGCATTCGAATAGTCCTTTTCAAAGAGCCGTAGAGGAGAGGTGATATGGAATGCGCTCCTAAGCCTTAGGCATAGGGAGAAGAGGTCGTATCTGATACATCGAATTGAATATTGAGCCTTTTGGTGTTTAGGAGAATCTGGCATCAATGGCGGGTACCACCAACGGCAGTGAGCGGAGGCAGTGAAGACTAGCAGCAGCCGCGCTCCTTATCGTATATCGATTCAACCAAAAGTGCTTCGTTGGGACTGGCTCCTAAAGTGGAACATGGTGACCGTAGATCGTGTCGCGGCTTGGACACCCGGGCCTCGGCACAGTGGGTTCCGAAAAATCTGAGCTATCGTGACTAATTTCCATCAGAACCTAAGCTCCACTTACGTGGGTAGTTGAAGCTCGCATCTGGACGTAAATGTGAAATTATTAAATTTACATCTACGTCCAGATGGTAGCTTCAACTCCCCACGTAGGATGAATAATTTCATTGTGAGTCAAAAGATAGATTTGAATTTCTTTGAAGGGTCGAGTTTGTTGGGTGTAGAGTTTTCGAGGCAAATATGGGTCAGGTTTGGTAATTCGTAATTGTCCCAGAGATTTACTACTCACCGCCGATGACGTCACGTTGTCTGTTGCTTATCGATAGTCACTGCTTGCTGCGCCGCAATCCGTAAAACCTCTTGATAGTAATCCGACATCTTGCTTTCAACTGGTTCAATGAATATCACAAGCGGCTCACTGTCCGAATGATCAGATCCCCGCACTTCCACGTATCGTTGTCCCAGCACACATCTCTCCGACAATACCGCAATGTTCCCCAGAGTGGACCATGTGAATCGATGGCTCCCCCATGACCCGGGACGGATAGTTTCGGCGCGCCCATTACGCCGCGGCGGGAGAAGAGGTAAACAGATGATGAAGAAGCTTTACAAACTGTGAGCTAATGATTCAGGTGACGAGCCCCTCTTCAAATGGACGCGCAACCGGTACGTGGCCGGCGAAGCAGACTTCATGGCACGGCATCGAGTCGAGTTTAACGTAGATGCCCTCGGACGCGCCGCTTCCCGAGTTTCGGATAACTCGCCCTTTCAGAGCATCACCAAAATATCAGAGGATCACTACCACAAGTGCTACGAGCTCCTGATGGGAAATGGAAAACAACTGATCGCCAAGATACCGCTGCCGCATGTCAGCATCCCGCACCTGACTTGCGCGAACCAAGTAGCCACAGTGGACTTCGTGAGTACTGATACCTACATCTGCATGGATATTTATCACGCTGACTAGTGCCAAAGGCTCGATCTACTTTGAAGTTGCCTGCTCCAAAAGTGCTGGACTGGAACTCTCGCCTGGGCTCTGAGAACCCCGTCGGCGCCGAATATATCCTCATGCAGAAGCTTCCTGGCGTCCCCTTTGACACCGTCAATGACAGCGAGGAGTTCGGCAGACACCACGTGCTTGCGCTTGCAAAACAGATTTTCGAGCTTGAGAAGTCTCTTCTGGGAATGACTTTCCGTAACATCGGCTCAATATACTACAAAGGCGATGTCACCTCCCCCAAAGATTTTGTCTATTCCACACCAGAAGGAGAGGAAATCAATGATTCAAGGTTCGTGATTGGACCACTCATGGGACCTCAGTGGGTGTCGAATGGCAGGTGTACATTGGAATGCGACCGTGGCCCTTGTGAGTTTACCTGAGGAACTCAAGTATGCTCTGTTCCTCGCTAACCAACGAGGGTACAGGGACCAGCGCTGTCGAGTACCTCAAGGCTATCGTCAAGCGAGAGCTGCAAGCAGTGGATACCGCGCCGCAGCTTCCGCTGTCTTTCGAATCGATCCTCGGCTCGCGCACCTACAGGCCTACGGCTGCGAAGAAGCACCTCGCCGGCAAAATGTGTCTGCAGCTGATTGAGCATATCATTCCAACTCCTCCTTCCCCGATCTCGCAGTACCGTCTGTGGCACAACCTTCTTTCCGACGACAGGATTCTGGTCGACGTCAACGACCCTGGCAAAATCACCGGCATCACCGGATGGCACAATGCGCCGATCGCTCCTCTCTTCAAGCAGAAAATATGGCCTGGATTTTGGGGCTGGGATCGCAAAGCTGGTGCCGAATATGGATACGAGGAAAGCTCGATCATGAGAGGCGAAGACGACGAGCCCTTTTGCGAGAAGGACATATGGCACGAGCTGGCCAGAGAGATATTGCACCTGCACCAAAAACCTGATATCCTTCATGCAGACAGATATGGGTCCACCACCGCTGGTGCCTACATGGAAGAGGCGGAGAATCTTTTCGAGAAGGACGAAGTGATCATGGCGTACGAAGTTATCGGCTTGCAGAAGCTGTGGAAGAGAGGATTCCGGCACGTGCAGAAGAAGAGCAGGGGTGCTCCCTTTCCGGTTAAGCTTACACACAGACACGTTAGAAGGCTGCGCAGAGACAAGGAAATATGGGGGCATGGATATGCCCTTGAAAATCGCGTGAAGTGGCGTGTGGGCTCGCTGTGGCCCATGGACGGCGCAATCGACCATGAAAGTTACGGAGAGACGAAGGACAAGCTGGCCGAGTGCAAGAAGCACTTTGTGGACAGCGGCGAGATCTATGAGAAAGATTGGCCATATGACAGCTAATATGTGCATATTGCTCTGTGGCAATAACCTGATTGGCATGTGTAAAATATTTGTAGTTTAGAACTCTCCCCTCTTCCGCGACTTATAGATAGCTCTCCCCTCGGCTTGCACCGACCCTTCTCGCGATCCCGGTTCGAACGACTACTATTACCGTCAGCCTCCAGCTCCCCTCCTTCCTTCCCATAAAAACCCACCACTTCCGAAATCGCCATCGCCGCATCCTGCATCCGCGCGTCCGCGTGCTCCAGCAATCCAAATCCAGCAGATGCCCGCCGTCGTCGAGCCAGCCACCACCACCACCACGACGCGCCGTCCAACCCTCGCACCGCCGTACGCGCGCCATCCAGCTAACACAGTTCTCCACCTCCCCATTCTCCCTCTACCACGCGCCCCTTACTCGACAAAGGCAGCGCCGCGAGGAAGCGTTCAGCCCCTTCCGGCATGCGCGCGCCCGGCACCCTTCCTCAACCCGCACGGCGCGGCGGCGAGGGAGGGGAGGGACGTGGTCGGATGCCGGCAGAGCGAGTCATGGGTGGGGCTGACATCGATGACGGTGAAGCAGTGGACGATGCTGTGGTGCGGGTTGGTCGAGGGAGTGGAGATGTTCGTGATGATACTTTAGTGGGAGCTGAAGCGGGAGCACGGTGGAAAAGTGCGTTCCGTGGACAACGGGCGTTGGAGCAAGCCCGATATGGCAGAGAGAAATTTGAGCATTGATGGCGTCGTGGATTAGGGGTTAAGACTTGTAGACAACGTGATGGAGAGAGGCCCGGATAAGCATAAAGGATCTATTACTTTACTTAAAAATGGTTGTAACGGGTTAATCTGGGGATAGGTTTTATGGTAGTTGTACCTGCATGTAATTCTATTAATTATTCTTCCATGGTTTGTTTATCACGAATGCACATGCATACTGGATCTTCGTCATTACCAGATGGGTTATTCCTGAGGTTTGGCGGCCTTTGAGCGAGCTGTCGAGGGGGGATGCTGATCTCCTGGCTGATCGAGCTTTGACCACAAGACACGTTCGGCTTCCAGCTCATCATCGTACCTCGCCAGCGCATTTTCCAAAAGGTCGTACCAATCCGGTATGTCACATGGGCGGTAATGAGCCTTGGTGAATTCCCAGTACTCGGGATACCAGCCAGCGAAGGCCCAGCCAATGATCGCGGTGATGTGACCGTTGTCAACCATGATATTACGCATGCTGAGATCGGCGTGGGTGAAGAGAGTCTGGTATTTCTTTACGTGGCATTCAATAACGTTGGGACCGAAAGTATCGGATGCCTTGTCGAGGGAGATATGGCCGCGGAGCAAGGAGTGGAAGTCGGAATGTGTGCTGTACGGACCGAATGGGGCCGATCCTACGCGTGCGTCACGTAGTTTGTTGTGTTGCTTTGCGGACGCAACGAGGTCGGCCGCGGGCGCGGGTAAGGCTCGTAGTTCTTTGACGTAACCGGCGAGGCTGTTTACCAGTTGGTGTTTCTGCTCCACGCTCAAGTCGTTCCATACGTGTTCCAGGTTCTTTCCCTTGACGCGCTCCATTTCGATGTAGAAGCCGGATTCGATGCGGTGTGTGTGGAAGACGGCGGGCACCGGGATTGACGTGTTGTTGCGGACGAATTCCATGGCTTCGGCCTCGGATTCCTGGCAGGGGCCTTTGATGATCCTGCGGGATCCTATCTTGACTAGTCCGGGAGCAAGCTCGCCGTAGATTTTTCGTGCGAGCCATAGTCGCAGGGCGAAAAGGAGAGTAGCCATGGTAGTGCAAAATGGATGGAGAAAATAATGGCAATACGCAGCCTTCTGCGGGCTTGCACGCTTTCAGGGTGGCAACAAATGCCGAAGTGTTGATGAGGGGTGTTGTTGGCGTGGGTGGAACATCGTGAAGAACTTAAACGTTGTGGTGTTGGTGTTGGTGTTGGGAAATGTACAGCGCACAGCGCACACCCCCCTGCCCCACTGCCACCAATTAGCGACTATAGCCGAGCTTTATCCCGCCCTATTCCTCTAGCTCCCGCGACTGTAAACCAACTCACTGCAATACACCCACAACCCCAAATCCTGTCGCCTTTCTCACTCCCGACTTTGCTCACCTGCACAACCATGCAGAAGCTCTTGCTGCGCTCACTGCCTCCCCTTTTTGGGTCGTTGAAATGACAGCGACCGCCTGCGCTTTTCACATTGCGACCGACCTGCTCTTCTGGAGATTGCTAATAATAAGGCTCACGGACATCTAGCTCACAGGGAAAACAACCCCTCCACAACCACCGAACCGCCAAGATGAAGCAATGCCGCAACGAGAATGACTTCCGATGCCGTCAATTCGGAGAGCCACGTCCGCAAAATGAGATTCCTACGTGAAGACTTTCCCACCGTCCTGCAGGACAACTCGAATCGAATCAATTCGCCTCCGCCTCTATCCATCTTCTCCGCATCAGCCACGGCGGGAAGCCCGTCCACGTCAACCGCTTCTACCAGACCTACATCGCCGACCCGTACCACGTGAACACCTCAACGCCACCCGCTAGCCCAGCCTCACCGCGTTCGCGAAGCACCTTGGTCGCGAGTGTGTGTGTAGGATCGAGGAGAAAGACGGCGGGGTTCTGGATTGTGTGGATCGACGCCAGTGTCGGGGTCTTGCGGCGGAGAGAAACGATCGGGAAGGGCTGGTAGAAATTGTCTGAGGTGAAGCGCGAGCAGGGGCTGCTGGAGGACTAGATCGTGAAGGCGCCCGAGCAAGAGATTGCGAAGGCCCGCAATCAAGAGGCAGCAAGCGCAGGTGATGACCGTCCAGCCGCTGCTGAGGAGCATCCGCCGGCGGCGGCCCCGATGTTGTTCAAGGTTGGTAGCGCCCGGCAGAACCCGAGCAGGAACGAGGGACGTCCGAGGCCTGCTAGTAATGTTTTTCATCCGCGAAAGCGGCTGGGGAAGGCAATTGGCCCGGGTGCCGATATAGAGAGTAATAAGGATCAGGGCGCTTTCGAGGCAGACTCGGAAGACAGGCGGAAGAAGGTTCGTGTCGCATAGCAGACTCTGAAAACTGTTACGCTTTACTGCAATCTGCGACCTATGGTAGTACGTACTGAATTAGGTTGCCACTTTATATGCAAACATACCACCAAGAACCAGAATATCTCCTGCATCAGTGACTAGGGCTAAACACGCAATATTCCACTAAAGATTTGATCAAGTAATGTTTGAAAGCAAAACATTCAAATGCCCCAGAATCATCTCATGTCATGAGTAGTTGGAGCTATCATCCGGACGTGTATGTAGAATCTGCCCATAGTTTTTCTGATAACCACTTTCCAAAAAGTAAAGCATAAAGGGCAAAGCAGAAGGAAACGAAACAGTGCAAGCGTTCTTATAGCGTCTTTCAGGATTAATGAATGTGCTTTGCGTTGGTATCGTCCTATCGTACGTTGTGCGTACTCATGTAGAGTCCTCTAAACCCAACTCCCACAATGGACGCGGTGCCATACTGGGGCGGCCACCAAGCCCCCCCCCCCCCCCCCCCCCTCTCAGAGATGCTAACGAATTATTGTGTCCTTCCAATATCCACCGCCATATATCCTCCTTCTTTTCGCATTCATTTCCTCATGACTGTCACACATGGTTAGAAGGGAGGAGAAAGCGTTCTATTCGAACTCTACGGATCCGTGCATATACGATCCATCATCCACCTCTGGTTCTTTGCAATTTTGGGAATCCTCCAAAGCCTCCAATGCCCATTGCCTGTATTCTTCCATATTGGGGTCTTCTTGTGGCAGTGATAACTGAAGACCAGGTGTATCGGTCCAGTGCGTTTCCACCACTTGCCGGTATGTGTCCCTAACCATAGTGTTTCCCGGTAGCTGTGACCAGTCATCCCCGGATAAATAAATGACTTTATTATTCCGAAACAGCCACTCTATTATAGCGTGTTGCTCTTCTTGAACTGCCCGAAAAAGTGGGGTTCTTCCTGCATCATCCTCACAATTGACATCGATTCCGGCCTTGCTGATGAGGAAAGATGCAACCTCAATGTTTCCTCGCGCACAAGCATCATGCAGAGGAGTGCTTATAGGACCAAAAACTTCCTTGATGAAGTCTCCGTGTTTTTGACTCGAGATCTTTCTGAAGATGGAATCTGCGTACTCGTGTTCATCTTTGAATTTATATCCCTGTCCCCAGTCTTCGTATGAGCTGCTCGGCCACAGTGCGTTGTATACATCGGCTCCTGTAGGGGCTGGCGAACGACTCGAGTTCCCATCGCGATTCTGAACCAATAAACGACACAATTCTTTGTTGCGCCATCGGATTGCGACCGAAAGTAACGTCCCTAACAAAGGGTCTGCGATTTGGTGATTTGCTTGGTGGTTCAGAAGTATACGGCACGTCTCCAGTTGTCCCTTGCAGGCTGCCGAAAACAGAGGACTTGGCCGAAAGCCCTGGGGACCATCCACATCAACTCCAACGTCGAGCAGTTTCTTCAGCGTTCTGTTCAGTCCATGCTTGGCAGCTTCGTGCGTAATGGTGGTTGTCTCAACAATACCGTAAAGATCAATCTCCTTAATTTCAAAGACCTGGTTATATGAGAGGATCCGAAGCGCGAACTCCTCGTGATTCATTCCGACGGCTATCGACAAAGGTGTCCACCCCCTGCCGTCCTCAGCATGAAGGTAATGGCTATTGTCGCGTTTGATTACCGATTCCAGGATGCTTGTATTCCCGACGAACGCAGCCAAATGTAACAAAGTCGAACCGCTATTTCCTGGCCAGTGGAATTGTTGCACAGATTTGTTATTGGAGGAAAATGGGCAGTCGTAACTCACATACCCGAAGTTGTTCCAGTAGCAATTGTGCCATTCTGTGGGCATCTGAGACTTCAATGGCCATTGAAACAGATCAAGAAACTCCTCTGGATCGACTTTCTTCTGATCGGTCTTCCAGAAATGATAACCCAAGTTCGATAATGAGTAATCCAGAAACTGAATTAAACCCACGTCTTTCACTACTCTTTGTTTCAGAACCCCTTCCAGGAAGAGAATTTTGACGCTCGTCTTGAATATCTGGTAATGCGCGTCTGTAGGAGGAAATCCGACTAGAGGGCCCTGCAGCTGCCGTAGACCTTTTTCTAGGAGATACTCCCGAACGGTTTGGTGAATTGGCTCCAGAACGTCAACATTCCCATAAGACAAAGAATACTGCGAACGGAACTCTACCAGCCCCCTCGAAAGGGTTCTGACGGCTCGCCTGACACGATCTTCATCTTCTATGAATTGCAATCCTTCTAAATATTTCTCCACAGGTGTTTCTTGCATTTGCTCGTCGATATCGAGAACGCATCGGACTTGTTTGAGGGTAAAGGGTCCGTTGGCGAATAACATCCACTGGAAAAGCTCCAAAGCTTTTCTCTGGTTTTTTCGTTCCTGGCACTGGTCGGGCCAAGACAGCAGACTGTTGTACAAATCTTCGAGCTGCCTTGGAATGCGTTGAATTCTCCGAAGTATTGTCTCCACTTTTTGTCCTTCGAATTGAAGATCCAAGGCTTGATTGGTAACGAGATTTGCCCATTGGAAAACGCCTTCGGCTTTGTGCAGGATTTTTTTCTCGAGATCGCTTGCGTGACGGCCAAAAGGCTTCAAGCGCTTCTGAACAAAAATTTTGATGTCTTTCCGGTTTTCAGTCTCCATAGTAATAGTCTGGCCGTCCTCCAGAGTAAGAATCGGATAGTGCCTGCATGAGAAACATATCTTGAGAACACCGCCAGCTTTCTTCACAGCGACCAAAGTCTCTTGAAATTGCTCAATGAGCTTGCGAGCATTCTCTTCCCCAGACTCGTCGAGTGCGTCCACAAGGATGCAGATGTGACGCTCCGCCGAGATTGCCGGGACTACCTTCGCGAAATAGCGATGAAGCTCGTCCACAGACCATTTCCAAAGTCCTCCCTGAGCGTCCTGGTAGGATTTGTATTTTTTGTTCAGCTCTGGAAGATAATCTGGTGACTGATACAAGATCTGGTTGAGTAAAGCCTTGTATAAGGAGAGAAGTGTTGTTAAGGACTCTTTGTCTCCAGATCTACTATTGAAGAAGAATGTCGCCAACGTCTGCCCTTGTGGTTTGCGTTCTTCCAAGAAGTTGAAGATGTGCTTCATCATAGTAGACTTGCCAGTTCCTGGATTTCCGCGGATCCAGAGAAGCTGCCTTGGGTCCCTGTTCCAATTCTGAAAGACGTCGTGCGAAAAGATCCAATCGCAAGTGCCTTCTACGCTTATAACGCCATCTTTGTGCCAGTCTTGACCGGGAAAAGCCAGTGATTTTAGACAGTCTTGGGATTGTATTAGTATGATGTTTGATTATGTGTGCTAGCCACGGCTCACCTTTATCACCCTTAGAAAGTGGTGCTGTGTTGCCTATTAAACGATGTCAATACTACCCCAAGAGGGGACATATAACAAAGTTCATCACACCTCGCATTAATGGGATCGAGCCATCATTCAGCTGTCTTACGTAACTAAGAACAGCCCGGTAGTTCAAATCGTCCACGTTGTTGAACTTGACCATATCGGAGTGCTCACGATCAATCGGGTGATATTGATGACTCCCAACGGTGGCTGAGGCGAAGTCCACTAGTAAAGCTTTGGGGCCTTGCATTTTCCATACTCCATTTTCCTGTGTTGCGTGTTAGTTGGGACCGCCGACTTCAGCCAGATAACGCACACTTACGTCGCATGCAGTACGAGACAGTTTTGTCTCGTAAAATCCCAAAATTTGAACACGACTGGACCTGAAAACCGCCCAAAATTGTTCTTGGTGGCATCGTAACAATGCAGAGTTCCTTCCCAAAGTTTCAAGGAAGCTACGATTGGGCTGATCGCCGACCATTGGCACCAAAGATTCTATCGCCATGCCAAGATTCGGGACGCCGAAGAAGAAAAAGCCATAAGTAGCTTCTACGATTCTGGTGTACATGGGTTCCTTCATGTGCAAAAACGCCTATTTATGCGAAGAGTGAATAATTGTAAGTACATGTTTCGGGAGATAGAAGTGAGGGTGCTGAAGGAGCATACTACCAACCTCTTTGATCACCAAGCCTCCTAGGCTATGCCCTACAAATAAAAGAGGTCTTGGACGAGAATCGGCCTGCACATTTAGTATTAGCCCTTCCATCATTTCCGTCGTGGCAGCAGCCGCCATGATCTGCGAATTGAATTTTCGCTCATGTCGTGGGCAGATGAAGCTATCTTCTGGATGTAAACGTCTAATTAATCATGAAACTTTTACGTCCGGATGATAACTTCATCTACCTACATCTGTCGGTTTTTTTTTTCTGTGAAAAGAAAAAAGGAAATGAGAAGAATCGATGCGGCGCGTACATAACTCATGCAGGGATGAGAACTTACATTGGCTGATTGGAAGAAGTCATTCAAAGCGGCGCGAAGACATATGCCAACATCAGTGAGGTTCTTAATGGATAAGCTTCCTTGCAACTGTGTGTCGTAGCCGTAAGTAAAGATCCTGGTATTTGGTAGATCCTTTGGCAACCCATCTCGGAGCCACATCCATGAGCCTCCTCGCTGTTTGAAGGATCCGAAGGCGTGGCCATTAAGCCCTGAGATGGCTATAATGCTGGTTTCATTGTTAGTAGAAACTCGACAAAGATAGTTCCCACGGAAGTAGAAGCATTGCGTTGAATGGAGAAGTGCACGGGGGCACTGAGGAATCATACAATGCGAGACCCCTAAGCTCTCGTGATCTCGTAAGGAATGCGGTAGGAGAATGAGCAATATCCACTTACTCTCTCGTACATTCAGAATCTTCCCCGTCATGTAGCGGGGTGAAGCCGTAGAAATGTGTGTCCAGATGCAGATCAACTATGCCCCCCTCACGCAGATCCAAACCCAGAGGCCACTCTTTCCCATTGTCCTTATTTGTATTGATTATTGACAAGACTCTACTTGCTTCCGGTAGAGTGACAGTTGCAACCTTCTCGCCAATCCGGTGCGGGCTCTGCGCTAGCGAGCCGACTTCGACGGGGAATCCATCGGTTTCGCCCAAGGCTTTTCTCAAAAGATCTGGAATATCGCTTCGTTGGAATCGATCTGGCACCCCTCGCAATCTGTATACCGTATCTGGTCGGAAGGCGCTGGGCCTTGGTTCAGCTGCTGGCCTCGTAGCTTGGTGGTCCTTTGGCACGGACATAGTTGATGGACGCGGTCATGTAAGACCTAGTTTTCGTGTCATGGCGCTCAAACCGAGGGTCTCTGCTGTTAGAATGATGGTCGAGCGGGTTGGGTTTGTCAAAGCCTTGCGGCGTGCGGAGGTGCGACTTGTCAGCCCCCAATGTCAGCCCCCAAGATAAGGCTATGTGATGGGCGCGTTTCCCACCAATCACTTTCAAGTAACTTCTGACTATCGCCCATGCATTTTGCAGGCTGAGAAGCAGCTTGAGATTCTCATGGGCACTCGATTAAAAGCTTCAGTGGAGATGAGGGCTCATGTCGTGGGCCGTTGAAGCTATCATCGGGACGTAAATGTTGCGTAAACAACTTTACATTCTCGTCCGGACGATAGCTTCCAATACGCACGTATGTTTCGACCTTGTTATTCTCCGCATTAGCCTTCGGCTGCAATACCTCGTATATTTGCCGATCTGCGGCTTACCAAAAGCAAGCTCGACATACCAAGTGGAGAAATCAACCAGGAAAACACATACATGTAACTTTCTCACACATATCACCCTCTCATCTTTGCTCCGCATCAGTTGGGAAAAGACATTCAACCTTTTCTCATTGTACTTCGATGTCACTACGCTGAACCCCCATCACAAGACGAAAGGGAAACAGTGGGAAAAGATCCCACACTACCTAAGCAAGCAATATAGAACACACCCCTGCCATTAACTCCATCTATTGATCCCGAAATGCGACTTGAGGAAAGTAAAACAAAAAGAGAAAAGAAGAAGAAAAAGGTCCATCGATACAACCATGGACTGAGAAACAAGAAGGAACCTGGGCACTCGACGCTAGTAATGCTAATCAGAGAATAAAAAACAAGTAGAAAAAAAAGAGGAGAGAGAAGCAGAAAAAAAAAAGCCGAGCAGATGCAAGACACACAAAAACCCAAGTTCAGGTTCCAGCCCTTTTCCTCTGTTATGATTTCCTTTCCCCTTTTCCTCCAAGTAGGAGGAAAACAAAAGATGCAAGAATGCAAAAAAAGTAGAGGGAAGAGGGAAAACAAAAAACAAGACGAAAAGAAAAAAGAAATGGGACTAACAGATATTATCTACACGAATACACTTGCTTTTGTTTTGTTTCTTCTCTTCTTTCCTTTTTCAATTACCCCGTCCATTCCTTTTCATCGGACCGAACCTTCCCTCTTTATCCATTTCATTGACTTTCGCAACTTTAGCGGTTAGAAACACCACCCAAAAAGCGCCATTGCCATCGTATATTTTCTCTCTCCACCCCGTAATGAAAACACCCCTCCAGCCTTTTGCAAGAACGTGTCGGTAATGCCTTGACGTCATCGTTCCGTATTACTTCTGCCATTAATAACACCACACACACTCACACACGTGAAGAAAGCCGACTGATCGATTTAGATGATCGCTGAAGACGAGGCGGCGCCGTTCTCCCTGGTCGCGGCGATGGCGGCCTGCAGACCGACGATGCGCAGGCTCTTGCCGCGGCGCGGCTTGCCGGCCATGAGGGCGGCCGTGGGCTGCATCTGGTCCTCCCAGCAGCGGAAGACGGCCTTCATGTCGCGCGGCACGCCCTCAAGGACGACGGTCGAGACGGGAATGAAGGGCCTGTCCTGAAGCGACGCGGCCAGGATACCGTATTCCTGGGCGAACATGAGGGCGGTGCTGAAGGCGTGCGACTGGCCGCGGGAAAGAGCGCCGACAATGCTGTTTGAAGAGAGCTTTTGTTTAATAAAGTGGTTTCCATGGTGGGGGGTTCAAGGGGGTAAACTTACATGTAAATCTCGAAGAAGGCATCGAGAACGTAAATGTTCTCAGCCTCGAGGTCCATCTGGCTGAACGGCGCAATCTCCACCACATCCGCCGTCATGTTCGGCTTCGGTACACCACTAGCGGCAGGACCGGAATTGTTCTGCGGGGGAGATGACTCTGTTGGTGATGAAGGTCCTTGGGTACTTGTGGTGCTCGCCGCCGAAACTCGCCGCACGAAGGAAACGGGCCATAATGAGCTCACCTGGAAGCTACCGCCGGTTTGCACCGGCTTCTCGTCAATGCGGAACAAACGAACGCCATACTTCTCGTGCTTGGCCTTAAGCCTCCAGTGGTCCGCCGAACGCGGCACCTTCTTCTCCTTGCCGTTCTCGGGTTTAGGGAAGACCTCAAGGAATGCGGCAGGCTCCAGGCCCTCTTCGACCTCCTCAATCTCGGGCGTCAGGCCAAGATCCATGCCGATGAGACGGGCGCATCCGAGCTCTTCAGCGGTACATCCCTTGCCCTTCCACAGGAAAATCTTTCCAGAGAGAAGTCCAGTACGAGATGAAACGAGGTACGGGAAGCCTGAGCAAAGGTTGTTGATCGACAGCTCGACTTCATCGAAGGCCATGTGGCCCAAATGCTGGCGGCCGCAAAGCATATACTGCTTGGAGTGATCGGTGCGACTTCCTTTCCTGGTAACGAGGATTCCTCCAACGGCCTGGAAGAAGTTGGGGCATTCCTTGCCCTGTCGGATGATGAGGAGCTTGCCGCCCACATCGCGCGCAGCCTTACGCGCGAACAGCTGGGCATCTTCGACCGCCGGCTCCGGCACAGCAGAGCCAGTCCAAAGGTAAACCTCGGTGTGCTTTGCACCATTCGAAGATGCAAACGCATGGTTGCAGAGGTACATCGAGTTGTCAAAGAGAATATGCTCCTCCTGAGGTGGGATGGGCGTCAGCTTGCCGTCTCCCGAAATCTCCTGGATCTCCTTCTTCAAGGTCTTGACCCTATCTCCACTAAGCGGGCTCTTGGTAAGAGCACTGTGCGCGTCAACGTCCAGCTTGCCGGAAGTGACCGGGGCGTCATCGAAGAATTCCGCAAAGAGCTGCCCGGCCTCGGATTGCTGGGGAATAGGCGACTCCTGAGAAGGCTTGCGGATCGAGGAGATAGAGTCCTTCTTCACTGGCTTTGGAGGAGGAGCTCCGGCGGAGGTCGGAGGAGACATGGGGGTCTTGGTCGGCGGCGCTGGAAGCTCCTTGCTAATCCTGACGCTAGGAGTAGGAACGTAGCTCTCCTTGTTGTTGGTCAGAGCGGCAATTCCAAGGCCGATGGGCTTGGGCTCCTCTGGCTTTACCAGACCAGCATTCTCCATGGCCTCTTGCTCATCCTTCCTCGTGGGAAGCTTGATGGGCGACTTCACTTTGGGTGTATCAGGAGAAGCAGATTCGGGCTGGCGCCCCCACATTGCAGCGGCGTTCTTAACCGAAGCGCTTTTGGTCTCAGGCTGATCTTTAGCGGGAGTCGGAGGCTTTGCTTCTTCTTCAGCAGCAGGAGTCTGTGGCAGCGGCTTCTGCGGCTTGGGAGACTCAACGGTCGGAGTGCTCGGGTTTGACCCGGACGGGCTCGTGGGAGACTTGATATCCTTGCTCAACCGGGATGCACCAGAGAAGAGGGGCTTTGGGGAACCAGGCTGCGAGGGGCCAGCTTGATCACCCCCTTGCTTGAGGGCAGCGATTCTCTTCGCGATATCCGACTTGGCGCTGGTATCCGACTTAGCCGGGGCATCTGGCTTGGTGGGTGACCCCGGCTTGGCAGTGGTCTCTTCCTTTGACGGACTGCTGGGCTTGATGGGTGACTCAGCCTTGGGTGAGGGAGCTTTGATCTCAGGCTCCTTCTTGGAAGGGCTTTCGGGCTTGACTGGCGACTCGACCTTCGTGGGAGAAGCAGCCTTGATCTCGGGCTCCTTCTTGGGAAGGCTGGCCGGCTTGACTGGCAACTCGATCTTTGTGGGGGGAGCGGGCTTAATCTCGGGTTCCTTCTTGGGAAGACTTGCCCGCTTGACTGGCAACTCGACCTTCGCGGGAGAAGCGGGCTTGATCTCGGGCTCCTTCATGGGAGGGCTGGCCGGCTTGACTGGCAACTCGATCTTTGTGGGGGGAGCGGGCTTAATCTCGGGTTCCTTCTTGGGAAGACTTGCCCGCTTGACTGGCGACTCGACCTTCGTGGGAGAAGCGGGCTTGGCTGGAGCAGCTTCTTCGGTAGGAGTCTCGACCTTCTTGGGCGAATCGGTCTTGGTTTCCTCGGACAAGTTCAGCTCCATCGTGGACTGCTGAGAGTCGAATTTGCCGGAGGCTTTCTTGGACATTTCCGACGGTTTCGGGGTAGACGGCTCAGGTGGAGGAGATTTTCGCTGCTCGAATTTAGCGGAGATTCTCCTTGCGAGGTCTGGACTCTTCACACCTGGCGACGGCGGCGTAGCGGGCTGCTCGAATTTCGCGGAGATACGCCTCGACAACTCGGGGCTCTTGGCGGGGACTGGAGGCTCCGTGGGGCTGTCGAGCTTAGCCGACACCCTCCTCGATACCTCAGCTGACTTGGCGGGGGCGACTGGCTTGGGCTTCGACTCTAGAGGTGGCGAAGCAGGCTTGGACTCTTCAGGCTTCTCGGTCTTGGTGGGAGAGCTCGGTAAAACGTCTTGGTCCTTGACGAGAGCAACGTTTGCAACAACTGAAGCTTTCCGGACAGGCTGTGGGGATGCGATCTCTGCAGCAGGTTCCGCGGGAGGAGTAGTTGCAGTTTTAGGAGCCCTTCTCTTCGGCCCACGAGCGCGGCCCTTGGTCATATGTGTAAGCTCCTTGGTAGATCCTGCATCCGGTTCCACGGCAGGGCTTGCCGCAGCAGCCGAACCAGAATCCCTTGCACCAGGGGAAGGCCCGCCGCGAGCAAGCATAGCAGCTAGGTTAGGGTTGAAGCGATCGGCTAGCTTTCCGGATGCCCTGCTTGAAAGTTTGCCCGCAGGCTCATCGGTTGCGCTTGAAGCAGGCTTGGAGGAGTCCGTGGCGTTGAAACGATCTGCAAGCTTTCCAGGAACTTTGGCGGTCGGCTTGGATGGCGAAGATGCATCGCTCTGCGGCGACTGTGGTGACTTCGGCGCTCCGCCTGCTCCAGGGAAGCGATCAGCAAGCTTCCCTACAGGCTTCAGGCTGGGCCTGCCTGGTATCGGGGCAGGCTTTGAGGCGTCAGGCAGGTTATTGAATCGATCCGCCAGTGCCAGCTTCCCCGGAAGCTTTCCGACTGGCTTTGCCGGAGCGTCAGCATCCTTTGGGGCCGTATCCGGTTTGGATGAAATAGTGGCCTTCCTTTCGCGCATGCTCCTCAACTTCGCGAGGGCTTCGTTGGCTGGAGGTGCTTCCTTTGCTGGCGAAGCGGGTTTTGCCGAAGGCTCATCTTTAATGGGAGAAGCCGGTTTGACTGGAGGCTCATCCTTCGTGGGTGAAGCTGGTTTGGCAGGGGCCTCTTCTTTGACAGGTGAAGTCGGTTTGGCCGGTGACTCCTCCTTTACGGGCGAAGAAGGTTTTGCGGGAGGCTCTTCCTTTACGGGCGAAGAAGGTTTGGCGGGAGGCTCTTCCTTCGCGGGCGAAACAGGCTTTTCCGAAGCTTCCGGTGCTTCGGTCGACTGCTTAGGCTCTGCGGGAGGCGGCTCCTCCTTTGTTGGCGAGGTCGGAAACTTGGAGACGCTTCCGTTGCGGCCAAGGAGCTTGCGCTTCTCCAGAGCCTCCGCAATAGGCTCTGCGGGCTTCGCGAGAGACCCCGTTCTGACGTGCAAACCCCCGCTCTCTTCCGCCTTCATCTGAATGGATTGCCTCTGCTTGACAAGGCTGTCCCTGAACTCATCCTTCTTCACGCGCGGAGCCGGGCCACCGGTAATGTTGAGGCCATCCTTGCCTCGGTTGATATTCTCCTTAAACGTGTCCGGAGCGACGAACTTCTCGGTGTGCGTCTTCCTGAGCTTGCCGAATACATTTTGGAACTCCAACTCTTCCTTCTTCACGCTCTCAGACTGGCGTTGGCGGTGCTTCAATGCGGAGCGGAAGTCTGGCTTCGACTCCTCAGGCTTGGATGCAGGGGGGTTAGCCCCGCGGAGGCCGGGCGATTTGGCACCAACGGCCGGCTTCTCGGCCTTGTCGGCGGGGCTTCCCAACGTTGGGCTGGCAGCAGAGTCCTTCGCCGTCTCCATTTTGGGAGATGACAGGGTGTCTGGCTGTCCTTTGGGCGTAGATGCTATGTGTCCGGCCGATTCAGGAGCAGGAAGTTGTTCACGGTCGGTAATTTTCTCGGGCGGACCCTGACCCAAATCGGGCGATTGCGCAACGGCCCCCTGTGCAGATCCTCGTGATTCTGGTCTGCGGAGAGCGTCGCGGCTGGGGAATTTGGTAGGGCTAGTTGGAGTGGCTGGTGCATCTGTATCAGTTTTCTCAGGCTTGGAGAGATCTACACTCGCTTTCTGAGCTTTAATCCTGTTGATCTCTGCCATCCAACTCGGCTGCTCAGGCTGGGGTTTCGGCTTAGGCGATTCAGGTTTGGTACTCAAAGCACTTTCAAGCCAACTTGACTTTGTAGGGCTACGGCTCCACCTCTTGGACGGGCTTGCAGGGGAGTTGGGGCCTGAGCGGTTCTCTCCAAGCTGTGTGATGGAGCCGACCGACTTTCCTCTGCTGTGGCGGAAGGCCTTGTTCGGCCTTGTGAATGACTCCTCAGCGCCCTCACCTTTCTCCGTCGTGTTGCTGTGACTTGAGCTGGGTCGCTCAATAGAGTGGCCACGGGAACGCGGCTTTGTGTCCAGCTTCGGTGTGCTTACACCGCCGAACGCACCAGTGCCAGCAGTGGAATTCTGTCTGCTAAGACTTCCAGAGGTTTGCACGCTCCATCTTTTGTTCACGCTGTCCGAACGTCTCATCATTGCACTCTGCACAAATCCTCCCATTCCCTTGGTCGGGGACGGCGTGCGCTCCGGCAACATTCGTCCCATGGACGGCGACATGGCCGTATTCCGCTCGGATGGGCCGTGCTCGGTGTCGTCGGGCTCGGAGGGGGGAGGGCGGAACCGCTGCGACTCGAGCATGGGCAGCGGGGACTTGATCTCAGACGCACTGTAGCCGGATACTGACGTGTCGCGAGATAATCTGTTGCTAGAAACAGCGCTATCGCGCACGGAGCTCGCTCTGGACGGCGAGCTGGAGCGCACGCTCTCGGCGTGTGGACTCGCCGGGCGTTCAGCGGCGGTGTCGCGCGACATGCCGGGCAGCTGTCGCTTGTCCGATATCGAGGCGGTGTCGTCGTCCTCGCGGCTGCGGCGGTTTGCGGGCGAGCCAATGCCGCGGTCGGGGGTTTGCCTGAACCACGCGGGATCCTTGGAGCCCAGCGACTGTGCGATTTGTGACCTCGAGGCGGTGTCGTCGGCGGGGGTCGAGGGCTCGGGCGCCAGGACGGGCGAGCGCGATGCGCTGTTCTCGGCAGCGATCAGGCTGAGCGGTCTGCGGCTGCTGGTCGAGGTTGGGCGGCGCTGCTGCCAGGACATGGTGTTGGACCTGGTGGGCGTCGAGGGCGTTGAGGTTTCGTCGACAGGCGACTCGGACGTTGGGCCGGTCAGGCGCTGCAGCGCATCGTTGTGGGCGTCCATGGTCGGCGAGGACGGGTCGAGGTGCAGGCTGCTGCGCGGCGTGCTCTTGACGGAGACGGGCGGCGAGGACTTCTCGGGCGATAGCGAGCGTTGACGTTCTGCGGTGGGATGTCAGTTTGGGGCGCAGCGTCGCCCAAACATAAACAAGGCACGCGGAAAATAGTACACACCAGCTCGCCGGGCGGCACGCTCAGCCCGACCTTGCAGAATTTGTTCCTCTAGTAAACGATTGCGCTCCTGGTCTTCCCTGTCCCGCTTCTCGCCAAGCTCGCGGATGTGTTCCACGAAGGATGACGGACTGATGGGATCATCGTGCGGCGGCGAAGCTTCATCGCGGCCAGACATGGTGTGGCTTCGGGGCGGGAGAGGGGGTGGCAGCCCGTATCTGTCCAACCTCTGGCGGCGGGGATGTTGGTGACAAGAACGGCTTGCTGGGCCAAAATCTAAATAGACCAGTCCGCTTCGGCTGCCCAGCGCAACAGCCCTAGCAAGCATATATATTCTTTGCTACCTACTACTGCACGCCTGATGCACCGCGCCGCCGTCCGTGTGGGCCGCGAGGCGCATTCCTGGGCCCCGCTGGCACGCTGCCCGCCGCTCCACCCTCAGGCAGCGTGCCCGGCGCGGCGTCAGTGTTGTGGTGCTTAGCCGCGCCGTCGCGCTGCCTGGCGGCGCTAGGCCGCTTCGGCGATAAGGTTGACAGCGGCCATGCAGCTCCTTGCAGCTCTCCCGCGGCCTCAGAACAGGAACAGGCGGTCCCTGGCGTCTTGGATTACCCAGCGCAGCCCCTCCTCCAGATTCTGCCCTGTCATGGCGCTGCACGCCATGATGGTCCACTTGTGCGTGGTGATGCTGTCGAGCATCAGCCCCTGCGTCGCCGTTAGCCAGTGCGGTTAGCTGTCAGGCCCAACGACCTGGCCCGTACGCCCAAACAAACCCACCTGACGTATCTCGTCATCACTCATCGACCCGGGAACATCGCTCTTATTCTTGAAAACAAGCAGGCTCGCCCCCATCAGACGCTGCCGCGAGTCAGTGCGCGCAGTGAAAAAAAGCGTTGCGGGAACATGCCTCCTCCAGGAGCAGCCCCTTCAGCTCGCGCCGGCAATCGTCGATGCGCTCGCGGTCCGTCGAGTCGACGACCCATATAAGCGTGTCCGTTTTCTCAAAGTAGTTCTTCCAGTACGTGCGCAGCGTCTTCTGACCGCCGACATCCCCTATGTGCGACACGTGGTGCTCAGCACGACCGCGGCTGCTGCAGGGAGGCGGCTCTTACATATATTGAGTTTGTAACTTGGCGGTCAACGGCGCTGTGGCTCAGGCTAGGGCGGCAGCAACTTACCCCTCGTACTCGATCGTCTTGATGATGAAGCCGAGTGTCGGGCTGACGCTGTTGACATCCTCGTTCATGATTTTCTTAACGATGGTCGTCTTGCCGGCATTGTCGAGGCCCCTGTGAGCAGTCAGCCGAAGCAGGGAGGCCTCCTGATCTGAAACGTGGCTCCGCTCCCTACAGCATCAATATACGCATCTCCTTGTCCTTCAGTCGGGCTTTTCTCAGAATTGACAACATCGTGGCTTGCTTGGATGGGGTGGGAAAACGCTGGTGGGAGCTGCTGTTTGCGCAGCGCCAGACGAGCGCGGGCAACTGCCTTCGCTTCCGCGCTAACCCAAAATGGCACCACACATCAGTTGACGGCAACTTCACCTTCCCGTGCGCCTTCCCTTTTCCTGTCTTCCGATAACCTCGTGGCAAGCTCCAGCGCGGCTTTTTGACTCTTCCTGCGTGCTCAACAAAGCCTTCCTCGGAAAGACGACACGGCCGAAGCTCTGGTCCGGACACCTCGTGCAAGATCCGGGAGACAGCTTCATCCGACGAGCTCCTTCCAGTTTCCTCGAGCAGCTGTTAGAACGGGAAGCACGCGGAGCTTGTTCGGCACTTTGGGTAAGCAGCCGCGCAGCCCGCAGCGTCTACAAATCAATCACTGACCATCGCGCTCAGCCCTTCTTCCGCTTACACAACCCTTCGTCTGAGTAGTCGCGACGCAGCAGCGTACGAGGTTAGTGTCAAGCCAGCCTCCGCATTCAGTTGTGCTCTATTGAGTGCTACTTTTGTCAGATACATCCACCCGGTGGCTAATATCATGGATCCTGAAAAGACCGAAAGTATCCGCTCCTGGATCGCAAAGACGGGACAGGCATCACCGGCGCAAAGAGGCGACAACGTCATCGCCTTGAGCAACCTCAGGGCCCACTTGAGTGTCGTCGACGCGCCTTTCTCCAACACCAGCCCGAGCCGTGCGACTCGTTCAACATTTCACTCAACCCACGCACCCTCGGCTCCCAAATTCGACTTTCGTCCTCACCGTGAGGGTGTCCTCATTGACCTGCGCACTTCGAGTGAGATTGACAGAGACGAATCTGAGGCACGCGCGCGTCACTCTCCAAGTAGACTTTCAGTACCCGTTCCACGTCCTGCATCCCCCAACTACAATCACCAACCCACCCCTTCATTCGGCCGTCAACCTCGCAGGTTCAATCATAACAACCGCAGACGCGTACCCGCAAAAGGTCGTCAAAACAAGATGGCTGAAAGCAAGCCACAATCCCTTCCTCCTCACATGCGCAATCGTCCCGCGCAGGCCATCTACGTTCCACCTCATATGCGGAAGGCTCCTCAAAACGCAGCCGAGAGCCATGAAGGCGGCGTTTCTCTGAATGACAACGTGGCTTTCGACAACGGTGTCACATTCAATGATGGCGCAGCGGGTACTGGTGGTGTTGGCCCTCGCGTAGGCGAAGATGCACAAAGGTATCTTTCGCACCTCCACCTTGATCATGCACAATAAGCTTATTCTTGCAGCTCTACGCAACCCACAACCGCTCCTCCTAGTGCGGCAACGGCTCCAGCTCAGCCTCCGGAGCAGGTACAGCAAACTAACGAATCGACCAACGCCTGGGGCCAAACCCCTCCGCCTACGGCTCCACAGGACACGATGGACAACCGCCATTCGCAAAAGCAAGACAACACCTACATCAAGTCCAAGCGTAACAGCAAGTGGGCTACCAACAAAGAGATCCGAGAGAGGGTTATGAAAGACTCTAACGAGCATATTGGTGCTTGGGGCTCCAATGGCTCTGATACCGGTTTCAACTCCAACCCAGGCGCCGACCCTCAGCACGACATCAAGAAGCTGGTAGACTGGGAAGGCAACTGGCTCCCCGGTCCCACCGATTGGGAATCTCGCCGCAGCTTCCACCACCATAACTTCAACGAAGAGATGATGCGCTTCGTATATGGCTCCATCGACAAGGACGCCACCGTTGACGTCCGCAATGAGCCAAGCTTTTTGAGCATCCCTAATGGTGAAGTTGCGCCTAGTGCTTGGGCTTCTATTCGCATTGAGGGTACATCGCTCCAGGAGTGGTGGAGCAATCACGTTGGAAGCTCTCTGGCAGAGCCTGACAGCAAGGCTTGGTGGAGGGATTACATCTCCGAAGAGTCTAGCCTTCTAGTTCCCTACCACGTCCCCGAGGCAAAGGTTGACCCTGCCGACACTGAGGGCCAGATTCTTTACGTTCATGATCTCGGTTCTGGACATGCCTCTGATAAGTTGATGGAGCGGAGGAACAAGAAGAAGGCTGACAGAGAGAGGCGAAACGCACGCGAGCGCGAGCAGCATGCTGCACTCGCCGCGGAGATGAAGCCTGCCACTTTCCAGATGCCTGAGAAGATCAAGCCGAAGATCAGCTTGTACATCCGCCCCGCACTCGCCGCCGATGCGCATCAGATCGCCGGGATCTACAACCACTACGTTGATGAGAGCATCCGATCTGCCGAAGTGATGCCCCTCTCGGCCTTGAGCCTTTCTCAGCGAATCGCCGATGAGACTGCAAGCGGCATGCCTTGGCTTGTTGCATGCCAGAAGGGCAGGAAGGCAGGACGAGGCTACACCAATGGTACCGACGCTATGGTTCTCGGTTTTGCTTGCGCTTCGGACTTCCTCAGTCGTCAGAGCATGTACGCTTTCACTGCAGAAGCCGAAATCTACGTTCATCACAATTACGTTCGGCACAGGATCGGCAGTTGCCTGATGGATAGACTTCTTTACGTCCTCGATCCCCTCTACGATTCGCCTGGAGGTTACCAATTCACTGGAACCGGTCCGTTCGCTGAGCACGGTGGCTCAAGGGTCATCGGCTCTGTCATCATGAACGTTCCATTCGACAAGAAGGATCCCGCGGACTTGAAGGGTGTTGTCAACTTTCTCGGCAAGTTCGGTCTCAAGAAGGAGGCTGAGCTGGCTAACATCGGCGTGAAGCAAGAGATGCATGTCAGCTTGGCTGTGTTCCGGTACACAACCGGCAACACGATCGATCCCAAGTCTGCTATCTTGAGGTAGACTATTCTGGAGAGCCTCCCAACGCCGACCGGGCCAAAACGGGGAAGTGGAGTATCGAATCGGAACGCGCATTCATGAGAGGGCTGTCCGTTGAACGAACGCGGCGGTCCTCTGCGAGTTCGCCTCATTCTCTTTGCGATACCTGCACCCTCCCTCTTTGACATTCTGTGCGGACCTTTTCAGTTTGTCTTTTCTTTTCTCCTGCGGACTGCGATGCGTAATACTGCACTTCATAAAAAAAGGTGAAACAAAAAAGTCACAACACAAAGATCTTCTACTTTCCTTTCTTCTCAGATCCAGGATCATGGATCATAGCTCCAATTCAGTCTACGATTGCATCTGCAATCCTCATCAGCTGACAACCATGCAAACCACTCGGCGGACTTTTCGATTTGTACTGTCCTCCCTCAAATCCCCCAGAGATGCACCTATGGACGATCTGGAAGGGTGGTAGTCATTGCAAAGTTAGCCTTTTGCTGGGGATAAATGGTGTCTTCTTTTCCTTTTCGCTTGCGTGTAAAGTAGAGTAGAAACACTTTACCCGCGATTGCTCAGCCTGCGAGAGCGCTCAATGAAAGTTCAAAACATACTGGACAAGGGTGTTCGTGGTGATTTTGTGTTGTGCTACATTTGCTGAATAAAAAAAACAAGTGTGAACCACCCCGGCAGTACATAAACAAAATCTCCTTGTCCCTTTGACACCGCGGAGAAGATAACAAGCAATAGCCAGTGATAAACTAAACACAAGTAAACATCCGCTTCTCTCATATACAGGGTGGTGATCCGTCTGCCCTTGTAGCGAATGCAAAGCAGAATCAACCCCATGTTTCCTTCTCAATCGGGCTCCATGTGCTGGGTGAAAGTGTTCGTCCTCCGTCCTCGTTGCTTCATGCACGTACTCCCTCTTCGAATACTCGCCATCGGCCCCCTCACGCCAGACCATCGGAGCTGGTGGACACTCCTCCGACGTTGGTGTTGAGAAAAATAAAGCGGTCAATGGATTGCAGAGAACGGCACCTTCTGCAGAAACCTTTCACATTTCCTGTATATCGGCTGCTTGCATGCAGGAGGCATCTACGCAAACTGAAATAACAGTAGCGATTTTGCAGGTCTTTAGCCTTGGGAAAACGCTCGTTTCCATCCGCCGTCATGAGAAGGCGGTAGGCCACTTCAATTGGATAGCATCGTACGCAGCTAATTCCTTGATATCATCATCTTTCATATTCATCCTATCTTTTAACGACATAAGGGCGAAAAGGAAAACCTAGTAAGTCTGGCAAGAAGAAATGATAAAAGGGAAAAGAAGAGACCAAACAGTGCATCGCGCCTCCACACGGCGAAAATGGCACCGAGTCTCAGTCTCTCACTCTCAGACCAAAGAGGAGGAAAAAGGGAAAAAGAAAGTTACCACCAAAAATCAACGCCCCAGGCCTCCATGCAGGCATCATCATCCATCACATGTTGCTTTTCCTTTTGAATTTTTTTTTTTTGCCCCTTACTCCCTCCAAATCGGCGCCACCGTCTCAACTGCCCTCTCCACGACGGCCCTCACGCGGTCCCTCAGCACGCCATTGGCACACTCAACATCCAGACTCTCGAGCCACACGCGCGCCACCATCTTGTCAACCTTGATCGAGATGCCGGGCACGGGAATGCCGAGGGCGTGCAGGCGCTTGAGCTCAGCCTGCTCCTCCGGCGAGAAGGACTCCGTCTCCTCTCCCGCAACTCCGGCAGCGATAGAGACCGTCTTTGCAGGCGGCTCGGAAGGGTCGACGACAGCAGCTGCGGGGTTGTCGGGCAGCTTGGGGTGGGCGAGGGGCGTGATGTTTGCGGCGCCGAACTGGGCCTCGAGGAACATGCAGAGGCGGTCGAAGCGAGTGCGGGGGTCGGAGGCGGCATGGGGGTTGTGGTGGTTGTGATGATGGTTGTGCGAGTGCTTCGAGGCCGACTGCTTGACGGCGGCCGGGCTGCTCTCGACCGAGAACAGGACGGCGAGCACGGCGTCGGCGATGCCGTCGTTGATCATGTTGCCCTCCCACTCGACCTCGACGCGGCCGCCGCCCTGGCAGTGCACGGCCACGCAGTCCATGATGACGAAGCTCGTCGTCGATCGATCTACCTCCTCGTCTGCTTCGTCCATCGCGATTTCGTCGTCGTCGGCTTTGTGCTCGCCGTTGCCGTTCGCTTCCGCCTTGCCGTTAATGGCTGCGTCTTTGCCGCTGACTTGCTTGATGGCGCCGAAGGTGCCTTCTAGCGCCCAGCGGATGAGGTCGATGCCTGCGGCGCTTAATGTAAGGTGTTGGCGACAGGCGATGGTAGTCGTTGTCAAGCCAGCGTACTCGCGCAGGTCTTCGGGCGCCATGAGCGACATCTTAAAGTCGTTTTGCACCAACACTCCGCTGATCAGTTGGGGTTGCTGTTCTTCCTCATCCTCATCCTCTGCTTCGCCGTCTGCGCCATCTTCGCGCTTCAGGCGCTGTGGCATCGGCGGCGGTATTTGAGCAAGCTTGCCGACTACCTTGGCAATCTTGTCCGCTTTGAAGGGAATACGGAGCTCCTCGCAGTTTGCAGGGCTGAAGACCTTGACGGGCTGCTTCTTGTCGGCGTTCAAGGAGAGAAGCTTGGACTTCAGACGCATCATGTTGTGCTTCTCGCCGTGTACGAGAATCTAGGAACTGATTCAGCTCTTGAACTTTCATTATATTTAGCGAGCATATACTTACCACTACTGGTGCAGAGACTTCTTCGATGAATTCCCTGTTTTCTGTACCGTCGACGTGGGCTGCAAAACTGAACTCTTGAACACTGCATCTTCTGGGAAGTAAGATCGGCTCTCCTTCCCTAGCCGGACCTCTTCTTGCGGCATTGCCTCTTGTCATGACCGCTGGGATCTGCTCAGGCTCATGCAAGATCATCTTACCCATTGTGCCCTCAACGGAGTAACCAGTCATGATTACACCGTTGCGCTGGTCGGGTGCCCACCTCTCTAGAAGCTCACGGCTGACGCCGTTCTGCATCATACCAGGGGATGCCAGCATGACGCAGCTGCCCACATCGTCGAAACGCTCAAGCGACTTGAGTGAACGAACATATTTAAAATCCCAAGGACCAGCCTTTGACGCGTCGCCATTCCTCTCTGCTTCCTCCATGCGCTCTCGGAACAGTCTCTTGATATTGTCGTTCATGGCGTAAACGTATGTCTGATATACCACCATACACTTACGGGCGATGTTGGAAGCGTAATAGATGGGGATCTTCTGGAACTCCGGGTGCTTTCCCCAGTACTCATCCAGAATGAGTAGCAGCTCTTGTGCACGTCCAAGGGCGAAGACCGGAAGAAGTGCGCGACCGCCACGGTTTATAATCCCAGTGATTGATTTCATCAGAGCAGCCTCACGCTCTAGCCGGGGAATGTGCGATGCAATACCGAAGGTACTCTCGGTAATAAGCACGTCAACCTTGACGTTCTTGGGGACCTCGGCAGAGATCAAGTGTCGATCCTCTTCGCGCGAATAGTCTCCAGTGAACAGGATCTTCAGGCCCGCGATTTCGATCAGGAACATGGCTGCACCGAGAACGTGGCCAGCAGGATAAGGTGTGATGCGAATGGAAGAGATAGTATGTGTTGTGTAGTAGTCGATAGCCTCGATCTGCGGGAAGGTTGAAAGGTGGTCGGCTTCAGTGTAGAGCTGGATGCGAGACTCCGAAGAAGACGAGATGTTCCCAACACGGACACTGTCCTGGATAAGCCACTTGTAGATTGCCTTGGTCGGGTGCGTCATGAAGACGCGGCCTTTGAAGTTCGTCTTGGACAGCACGTAGGGGAGGGAGGCAGCATGGTCGATGTGGAAACTATCGGTGTCGTTAGCGAAACGTTCTTCCTTTGGCGCATGGCGTATGTGTGGATGCTATGTACATGGAGGGGATGAGTTCAGTGCGAGCGGGTTTCGTCACCACAGCAAAGCGATTCGGGAGGCGCAAGAATAGAGTTTTATTGATGCTCATATACAATGGTGGCGATACAAGATATGCAGGCGGAATACCACACATCGCAGAACTCATGCCCAGTACAGGTTCCCTTCACGATGGATGGCGCCCTTGAGAGCAGGCTCCAAGCCTCTGCATCGCATTACAGAGCACGGTTCGAGTGTTGTTTGGGCCATTCCAAGCAAAGGTGGTATAAAGTCAGACGCTGAACAAAAGAACTGGATGCTTACTGGCTGATCAACAATACGTCGACGGTGCTTAGGTCGAACTCGTCGTAGAATGGCAACGCGGCAAGACCATCGTATGCCGGGTGCATGCCAGCGTCAAGCTACGTTGTTATTAGTGCGCCATTCAAGCCAGGAATGTAGGCTGCGCGTACCATGACCGTCTTGCCCTTGTACTGTATGATGTGACTCGACCGGCCGACCTCATTGCCACCACCCAAGCAGTAGAAGAGAAGCTCGTCGGAAGGATCGACGGGCTCATCGCTGCCGGGAGCCATGGCAGCGGCCTTGCGTTTTGCGGCCATGATGGTGAAGTATGCGGCGGCGGGCGGGTGGACGGGTGGTCGGCAGACGGGTTCGCGCAACGGCACGCTAGGTTAGTCGGAAGCTGATGCGCGCGGACAGCAGCAGCAGCAAGACGCGCGCAGGGTCATAAAGGGAGCAGATGTTTGGTGAGAGTTGGTGAGGATGGTGAAGTTGGCGCGGCAGCTCGCACTTGCATGGACGGGAGCTCGACGCGCGCCGGATCAATAAAGGGCCGCAGCTCTTTCCTGCAGTGCAGACGCGCCGCCCGCCAACCTTCCCAAGGCCGCTCCATCATCGCCGCGCCCCATCGCATCCGCCGCTCCGCCCACCGCACCCTTCGCCGCCCGTCCTCCACCACACCCCCGGCGCTTCCGCGACCTGCGCCACGCTGCGGACCCCCTACACGACCATCCAAGCGACACTCCCGCGCATGATCGACGCCGCGCGATCGGGCTAGGTGACGGAGATTCACCCGGGCTGCTAGCAGCAGGACCGCATTCCCAGATCCCAGCACCAGCTTCGGCGCATCCGTCACCATGGCTCAACAATACCCTCCCATGCACCCGCCGCCTCAGCCGCCCCAGCGGCCCTACTCGCCCTACCCGCCGACCGCGAGCTCGCCCGTTCAAATGTCTCCCGGCGGCATGGGCGTGCCACCCGCAAACAAGCGTCCGAGACTGTCCCCGAACCCTGGCTCTCCGTACACGCCCTACCACAACTCGCCCTACTCTTCCATGCCGAATACTCCTGCCCCGCAGCACACGCCACTTCCCTTCAATCAACCACAGCCTCCGGAGCCGAGCAGTTTTGATGCGTCGCGTGGAGCACCCGGCTCGATGGGCCCGCCCCAGCGTCCGGCAGATAAGCAGGAGAAACCGGAGAAAGAGAAGGCAACCGACATCAATGACCTGAGTGATGTCATTGGCGCCTCGGGCATTGACTTGCGTGAGGAAGAGAACTATTTGGCTCAGACATACCAGAACCAGCACCAGGCTAGCTCTTTCAATACGTCATTCTCGCAGTCGCCCGCTACACAATCGCCAAACAACAGCTTCAATGCTCTTTCGCAAGGCAGCTTTGGCAATTACCCTGCATTCCAAGGCACCGGTCCGGTCAACCAACCCGCCGTCTCCCAGAAGACTATCGAGGAAGAACTGTTCGAGAAGCACAAGGCAGCCGCGCGATCGCTGGCTGAAAAGTCCCAGCAGGAGCTCAACGATCCCTTCTGCCGTGGTAACAACATCAGGCAGAAGATCGGTCGCCACACTTACGACCAAGGAGTGAAGTTCAACGTGGACGGCTTATACGACAGAATCAGCAAGGATCAGCCGCAGAGAGTGAATGGCACACAGGCTACTGGGCCCGATGGCACTGGCATGGTGAAAGCGCAGGCTGCTGCGCTCCTTGATACAAATGCACCCCTGGCAGAGATACTGACTCTCCTTTCTTTGGCTACTAAGGAGAGATTACGCGGTATTCTCGAAGACGCGTATGCGCTTTCAAGGTCACGCCAACTTGGTTCTCACGGCGTTGTTCCCCCAGAATTTGCAGACATTGCAACTGGTAATGGAACGCCGAAACCTACCACAGCTGTGCCGACCTCTGTTACCAAGACAGCATGGGATCAGCCGGACAGTGCCATCAGCCCCACAACAGTACCGTCAAAACGTGAGCTTACGCAATGTTTTTCTTTTTCCTTCTATTTCGAGTTCCTATTCTGACGACGTTTAGGCCCTCTCGATTCCGATTCGTCCAAGAACGACCCCTCGCGTCTCCCTACCCCACCTACTGACACTCCTCCGACCCCGCAACCGACCGTATCATTCTCATCCGATCTGTCCTCCACACTGCGGAAACTCCAATCAGAAGAGCGCAAATACGAGCAGGAGCGCGTCAAAAAGCGGCAAAAGCGCGCGGCAGCAAAGGGCTCAGACAATGGCAGCGCACCCGGCACCCCGGGCGACAAGACGTCTCCAGCAGACCTAGTACCCTTGAAGATGACAAAGAAAGAGCGGGAACGCCTCGCCAAGGCCGGCCAGACGGACGAGGTGCTGCACAAGGCGGCCAACACGACGGCGAACATGGCCATCGGCGGCTTCGGCAAGAAGTACAGCTGGCTCAGCGGCGGCTCCGGCTCGGGTGCCAGCACGCCGAGCAGACTGAACACGAACGTGGGAGGCGTCTCGAGCGGCGGCGGTCTCAGCGGCGGAGGAGGAGCAAGCGGTGGCGGCAGCGGCGGAGGAGGGGGTGGAAGCACGCAGGACCGCAGCTTGGCCGCGAGAGACCGCAAGTGGGGCGATTGGCGCGAGGATGGACCTAAGGGCAAGGGGATTCAAATGCGGGATCTCATCGCGGCGCTGGAGCAGGATGGCAACGAGAAGAAGACGCTGGCGCGGGCGCTGGTGCGGTTGAAGTCGGACAACTGAGAGAGGTGATATGAAGGACGCATCAGCACTCAGTTATTAGTGGGCATCCCCCCTGGGCTTGAAGAGTAATTGCTTTTGGTTTTTTTTCCATGCCGGCGGGGCGGAAAGGGGGAGAAGAACAAGAAGAAGAATATCAACTATCAATTGCAGCCTGCTGGAATTCATACATTCCTGACAAGGCGATGGGGCAGCATCATCATCTGGCAAAGCTTTTTCTTTTTACGGCCGGTCAAACAAAGAACAGACCTAGCACAATGCATCATGGGGGAAGTGGAAGGGAAGGGGACAGAGCGAAGTTTTCCAAATGCAGCAGCAGCAGCGGGAAAGGGGAAGTGAAGCAACCCTTCTCCCCGTCGCGCCAGCCAGTCAGTAAACTCTTCGAAATTTAATGAGCCGCGGACAGGGGGGAAGAAAACGAAAAAGAAAAGAAAAGAATTCAAAATTTTGTGATACTTGTTTCATTCCTCTATTCCTTCCTCGTCTCCTTTTTAGCGTCTGCCGTACGTCTTCTGTTTCTTTTTTCTTCTTCTTTTCCTCACTGTAAACGGCGCGAATGGTGGTGGTTAAGGTGGGGGTCGGGTCGGCGCGGGTGGTTGGTCTATGTGTATATTTTCTTTTTCTCTTACTGGCAAAAAAGAAAAAAGAAGTAGGAAGGAGGGTCGATTACCGCGGGGAGAGGGGGCGGGAGGGCGGCAATTGTGGCAGACATGCCTTGGAAGTGGGTGGGGTTTGAGGGAAGCACTGGGGAGAAAGTCAGAGGCCAAGTGAGAGGGCAAGCAAACAGGAAGTCCGTCAGGCAATGTGGACAAGGACACAACCGGGTGGGGCTTAGAGTATATATTTATTATTACTGACACACTCGAGCACGGGGAAGGAAGGAGAGAAGGTTGGTACTCGGGCAGAACAGACACCAACAACAACAACCAAAAAAAAAAAAAAACGGCACACGCCGAGCCGAGCCGCAGGCGAAGCTGCTGCTGCAGCACTCCAGTACTCAACTTGACACGAATTCCCGAAGGAGAGATACTTCAGTACACTGGTGATCACTAATATCAGCTGGCAGGGGTTCGAAGAGGCCGAGTGGGATGCGTTTGTGTGTGTGCAGGCGGTGTTGGGGTACCGGTTGACGGCGTGGGGGAGGCGGGAACGGGAGCGAGCATTAGATGTATTATTTCTGGAACATTTTACTTTTTCTTTTTGTCTTTCCTCGTCGTATATATGACTTTTGGTTTTTGCTAAGATTCACATCCTGTTAAGCCGTTACGAAGGTCGTCGGTGAGCATGGTAAGCTGAGATTGATCGAGCGAGGGGTAAGGCTTTCCGTAGGGTTCCCCTATTCTCTTTATTCTCTCTTTGCCATGATGACGGAAAAGAAGAAGAGCAAAAAATTTGTCACAGCAAGATTCGGATAGGTGAACTACCTAATAGATGTTGAAAGTGACAATGTTATAGCCGAATCATCGATAGTTATTGGCATGTAACTCGCGAATTGACCAGCTGACAGTCCTCAGAAAACTACTTATAATATCCTGCCATAAGTCAGATTAATAATGAAACACTGGCAGACTCTTGCACTCCATATATCCATAACTGTATTGTAACTAGTAACGATCGTGCTGGATGATCCAACGTCGTATATGTCGTAGACCAATCCTAGGAACGCCTTTTCCTCATGTTTGAAGTGCGCCGCCAACCATCACCGCCATCCTCATTGTCTTCACCGTAGTTTCCACCAATCCTATCAGTCCCTTACAACCCATCAATCTACGTACTCACTCCCACTCACTCAGCATAACTCATTAGCCCTTAAACTCGAAACGAAAGCGGGCAAAGGAGAGAACAGCTTCAGCCAGCCCTGAAAGAAAGAAAACAGCAGCATTTCACTCAGTGTGTTATTTCTTTTCAATACTTCATATCAAACCCTGCCGTGTAGTACGAACTCGGCGAAGGCGATGATGACGTCGGCTGGGCTGGCCTCTCTTCAGGGTTAGAGGCTCCGTTTTCCCGAGCCAGCTCCTCCCTATGCTCTTGCCTAGCCATGTCCAAGCGCTTCTTGTTTTGCTGCTCGAGTAGTTTGAGCTGCGTCTGCATGTCCAAGGCTCCATTTTCCCGGTCCAGCTGCTCTTGCCTGGCCATCTCCAAGCGCTTCTTGTTTTGCTGCTCGAGCAGTTCGAGCTGCATCTGGTAGTCCTGCCTTTCCAAGGCTCCGTTTTCCCGAGCCAGCTGCTCTTGCCTGGCCATCTCTAAGCGCTTCCTGTTTTGCTGCTCGAGTAGTTCGAGTGGCATCTGTATGTCCTGCATGGCAGCGATGCGCTCCGTATTTTCCTGGTTAAGTCGCATAAGCTCCGTCCAGTACTCCTGCCAACCAGGTAGCTCCGAAAACCAAAAATTGTCGTCATTTGAACCCCGCCTCGGCCTACCCAGAGCGATGCGGCTGTTGTTTTGCATCTCTGTTAGCTTGAACTGGTAGCAGAGATCCGAGAGGTCTAAAGGGCGTTTCAGCAGGTCTGGTGGTAAGACACCCGACCGTGGAATGCGTGAGGGGTCCGCTTCATTTTGCTTCAGCAGTCGCCTGATCTCCGTCTGGTATTCCTGCCAACCTGGCTGGTCCGAAAACCACCAACGCAGGTCGTCGTTCGAAGCCCGCGTTGGCCCGCCCAGAGCGATGCGCTTTTTGTTTTGCACCTCCATTAGCATAAGCTGGTACGAGACATCTGAGAGGTCTACAGGGCGTTTCAGCAGGTCCGGCTGTGGGAGGCTGGGTGGTGGGATGTTCCAGGGGTCCAAAGGCCGATTCAGCGGGGCCGGCGGTGAGAAGGTCGCCTCCAGCGTTTGCTGGAGAGCGAGGCGCTCCTGCTGTTGCCGGGCAACGAGGCGCTCCTGATGTTGCTCCCGATGTTTCTGCTCGACTTTCTTGAGCTCCGTCCAATAGTCCTGCCAACCTGGTCGGTCTGAAAACCAACGCTCGTTGTCCGAAGCCGGCCTCCTCATCCCACTCTTTTGACGCATCTTGTCTTGCATCTCAGTTAGCAGGAGCTGGTACGAGAGGTCTGAGAGGTCCAAAGGGCGTTTCCGAACGATCGGCGGTACGACGTGCGGCGGTGGGACGTTCGGGTCTGAAAGGCAATTCAGCGGGGCCAGTGGTGGGAAGACTGCCTCCGGCATCCCACTCTCTTTACGCATCCGGCTTGGTATCTCACATAGGGAGAGGTGGTACGGGAGGTCTGAGAGGTCCAAAGGGCGTTCCAGCAGCCTCGGCGATACGACATCCGGCGGTGGGACGTTCGCGGGGTCCAAAGGGCGATTTAGCGAAGCTGGCGGCGGGGAGTCCTTGTCAATGTTGTTATTGCTGGCGTTTTTCATTTGCTGTAGCCTCTGGTTCTGCGCCATCTGCCGCTGTTGCGCGAGGTGGTGCATGCGCTCTTGGTGGGACGCGGAAAATTGGGGCGGCTGTGGTTGAAAGTCCTGTGGGCCCATGCCATGGAATTGATTTTCTTGCTGGTATGCTTGCTGCGGATACTTCTCTCCAATAGCAATCGATGCACGGTGCGTCAGATGCCGATCTTGCTCGTTCCGCGAGCCGTCATGACCGACCTCAGCGACTGTTGCCGGGAGATTGCTCTCGGACAATCTGAATCGCATCTTATCCGGAAGTCGCTCAGATGCCGAACGTGATGGTCCAGGTCTAGGTCGGGCACTTGGTTGAGCACACAATGGCCTGTATGGCAAAGGCTTGACCGCTTGAGACCCCGAAATGATGATGGGCATGCTCTGGCGGTAGGCTAGTGGCTTCGCAGGCAGTTCAGGAAGCTTTTGAGGAGGCATAGGTGCTTGTCGTGGGCGCTGGAACATTTGCGAAGGGGAATATTCAGGCAGCGAGTGACTGGATAAGGATCGAGTCGAGGCCATGCGGGCAAGAGCTGAAGGAACCTTCCGCCAGTGGCTGGCTTGGCTTTCTCCTGGCACTTGTATCTCGGAGTTTCTCTCGGGCTCGCTAGGTAGTTCAGCTGCAATGGCACCTTCATGGATTGGCCAGTCATAAGCCTCGAAGGAAGCAGGGGCAGCAGCAAGGCTCGCTGGCACGCTTCGCTTGGGAGTCTGCGGGCTTGCTTGACTCCCTTCAAGCTCGACTACATTGCTTGCTGTCGTAGATTCTGGAGATTTCCGAAAGGGTTCAGGAGGCCCGGCAGTTACGTCTTGGGACCATGCCTCGATACCCTTGCTCTTTGTGACTGAATCTTGGTGAATTTCCTTTCTAACCTTTGTGGCTGAAGCACGCCGTTGCCGTTTCCGTGGGGTTTCACCGTCGAGGGTTTCGACGCAGCCATCTTGCATGATGCGCAACATCTCCTCTCCCTTCGGGGCGGTGGTAAGGTTTTCATATCCATCATGCGTGACGAGAATGTCATCCTCAATGCGCACGCCACCAACAGGAAGATAACGCTGGAGAACTCGTCTGTTGATGTATCTGGAGTGGATTGGGCTGGAAAGATAAACGGCATTCAAAGCGTAACGATTGAAGTAGCTGCATGAATCATCAGCCATAAAACTGCATGGGACATCAAAGGGGTACTTACATCCCCGGTTCCACCGTGATAACCATGCCTTCCTCAAGCGCTGGATGATTCGGGTGGACAAGAGCTTTGCACATTTCAGGATCGACAACAGAGCTCATGTGTTCAGCGGTGCCTGCCATCAATGGCACGTCCGACACGTCGTGAACTTCAAGCCCTAGATGATGGCCGAGACCATGAGGGAGAAAGGCCAGTGAGGTTCCAGCATCAAAAATGTCTTCCGGAGTGCCGTTGTGGAGAATGCCGAGTTCCAGAAGGCCATCAATAAGGATACGATGGGCCAAATAGTGGATATCCAAATATCTTGCCCCCGGTCGAATAGCATCGATGCACTCAGTTTGCATCTTCAAAACGAGGTCGTAGATTGCCTTGGATTCCTTGGAGGGCCATTGGCCGGTAAGGGGAAAGGTCCTGGTCACGTCACTTGCATAACACTGCCATTCACAACCGGCATCGAGACACATGAGCGGGCGATCATGGAAGGGCTCATCGTTTTTGATGTAGTGGAGCGTGGCAGCGTTTTCTCCCGAGGCAGCAATGATTTCGTAGGCTTGATGCTTAGCATCAGCAGCCACACACGTGTCGAGGAAGGTGGCTTCGACTTGAGCCTCGTTCTTAAAGGCTCTGATATTTCTGAGAACCTTTTCATGGGCCTTGGCACTTACTTGGTTGGCTTTGCGGATGAGCTTGATCTCGTGCTGGTCTTTGCGGACACGGGCGGCGTCGATGGCGACTTGCAGCTTGGTGTAGTTGACACGAGGCGACTTGTCGTGGCCAGGCACCACTGCTTGGTCGGGATGCAGGATGTAGACGTCGCCTTCATGCTGCGTCATCCAGAACTCTACATAGCCGGGTACGGCGTATGAGAAGTCGACAGCATCAACATCGTATTTGTCCAGAGCTTCCTCGGGAGTGGAGCCACGGCCGTTGTAATAGACCTTTCGCGGGCTCCCGGGCGATGGAACGTAGAGCGTCAAGAAGTCCAGACGGATATCATATGTCAAGTGACAATCAGCCTCGTCAACGCTGTACTCGGTGTCAGATGGCGAAGACGGCAAACGGCACGGAACGAAAATAGATTGAGTGGCGGCTCACCCGGTTAGATAGTAAAAATAGCGCCGCTGGCGGAAGGGGACAAACTGATCGCTGTCCTCCAGGTAGGCCGTCGGGGCGCCGGGAAGGTAGATCAACCCCTTCGCGACGCCGAGGAAGTCAGCGACTCGACGGGCGTGCTGTTTGGCTAGGCGAAAGTCAGAAGCGCCGGGCACGTGGGGACGAACGTGGGGCGGGACGGACCTGGGTATTTCTCCAGTGGCGAACCAGCGCCGAGGTGGAGACGAAAGTCCGGATGCTCCATGGCCGGCGTCTTCGAAGCGCTCGCTCTGCTGGAATGGTGGTGCGAGTTGAAGCGGCAGCAGAGGGAGGGGACAGAGAGCTCCAGGCAGCTCAGTGCACGGACCGCAGCCTCGCTGACCGGCCTGCCGGCGCCGCCTCACCTCTCAGCCTTTCGTTTGCTGCTGGCAGCGGGGCTCTTCCGCACTGCGCCGCACGGTGGGGTGCCAACGCCAGCACACGTTTACGATGCAACTAGCCAGCGCAGCACGGTGTTCTCGAAGGCAGCAAGGGCGAGGTTGGCACTCTGGCTCTAGGCGGGCTCGATGCGTGCTTCCCCGGCGTTACGCGTGCGACGCTGGATAGCCAATCGACTAGCGCTAGACCCTGGCCGTTTCATCTGGCGCTACGTCACCACCCGGCGCCCCGTGCTGCCCAAGAATGTTCCTCCCACACTGCCGCCCACTCTGACTTTCTTGCTTTACCGCTGGTATCGTGCCTTTTCGGGCTACGATGTGCTGCGCTATGCCCTTTGGCGCGGATGGCGAGCCGATTGATTGGTGTAACGGTGCAGAATCGCCATCCTCACGCTCGTGCCAAGTTGGCTAAAGTTGGTGTTTCCTGCTTTGAGCCCAGCAGCTTGTTCTTGCCTCCGCGAGCTTGCTGCAGCCAGCCTTTATATCTTACAGTCTTGCCCTCTAGTCCAACCACAATTCCTTGAGAAACCACCCTGTCGCCCTAATCCCCTGCTTGCATTCCTCCGCTACCATGAGACACTCGACCTCGCACCGCGCCACCTGTGCGCTCTATCTGTCGCTGCTGGCATATCTGCCTTCTTCTGCCGCCCTACATCACATGAAGCGCGAGCTGCCCGACCATGTTCGACGAGCCACCGCTGGGACCAAACCCCTCGTTGTTACGAACAAGTGCCCGGAAACCATATACCCGGCCTTTATCACCCAAGAAGGCACTGGTCCAGCAAAGACGGGCTTTGAGCTGAAGACGGGTGCTCAAGTGAACCAGACCGTTTCGGCGAATTGGCAAGGTCGAGTTTGGGGACGCACCAATTGTACCTTTCCTGCCAATGGACCCACTGCCTGCAGTACCGGCGATTGCAATGGACAGGTGGAATGCACAGTCTCTGTACAACCTCGCAAATGCTGGCCCCCGCCTGTACCACGCTAATGCACACGAATAGGGCCTAAATCCTGTGACTCTGGCAGAATTCACTTACGATGGCGGCGACGGCCAGACCTACTACGACATCTCGCTCGTCGATGGCTACAATCTTCCCATGGGTATTATTATGAACCCTGCTGGAACCGCCGATCTCGAGAGCGTTTCGCAGAACTTGACCAATCCTTCTTGCGAAGGCACGGCCAGCCAGCTGGCAGACTCAAGTTTCAATCCCTACACCGGCTCATCTCAAACCTTCCTCGGCACCAACAGCTCCACCCCACTGCCTTTCGACACCCAGGTCACCGAGAGCCAGGCTTCAAGGTGGTGTCCATGGGTTTTGCAGGTGGACCCGCCGAGTAAGCCCGGAGACGGCGTTTACCCCTACCCGGACGACAACATTCAGCGTCCTGCATTCAACCCCTGCTATTCGGCCTGCGCAAAGTGGAACAAGCCGTCGGATTGCTGCGTCGGCAAGTACGACTCTCCGAGCACTTGCTCGGCGGGCGAGTACTCGCACGCTGCCAAGAAGGTTTGCCCGGATGCGTACAGCTACGGTAAGTCACGGCCGGTCCCGGGCGGGCTTTAAGGAACCAACACTAACCCAACCTTGCAGCGTTTGATGATCAAACTTCCACTTTCATCATTCCAGTTGGCGCCGGGTTTGAGGTCGTCTTTTGCCCCGGTGGTCGCTCCACCAACATCTTGGCCAGCGATCCCAAGTACTCCAACGCGCAGCAGTCGTCTGGACACGTTCCGCACAACAGACACAGAGTCGTGGGTTTGTTGCTCGCGATGACCATGAGCACTACTTTCTTCACATGCTTCTTCTAACGGATGATATGAGCGCAGGTGCGCGTTAGAATCGCCACGGGCCAGAGATTTAGACGTTGCGCGTTCGATCATTTTTTTCGTAGGCCCGGTGCCTTTGTATAAACAGTTGTTGGTGGATTGGATCATTGAAGAGTCTAGATACCCTGTATTTCCCCGTTAGAACAGTTTTTCAGCGAATCCAGGCTGCCTCCCCGGCCTGTCTCACTTCATCCCAACATCGCAACTCTGCATGTCTCGCTGTCGTCCGAACCTAGCGTTTCAGCGGGACCGGCCGGCCTGATCCGCGTGGCGTCTCCGGTACCTGCTTACCGCGCATGTTCGTTAATGCCGCTATAAGGCGGGGTCTTTGTAGGGCGGTCTTGTGGACGGTCAGCCCAGCGACCCCACAACAGCTCGCGAGACTCATCTGCCGATCAAAAGCTTGTGCTTGGTGGCTTCGTCCAGGTGCGTTCCGCATGACCGTTTCCAGGCACGGAGCAGGCCTGCCGCGCGGTATGTTGGTACAAATGACGGCTCCGCGCTGAGAATTACCCAGCGAAACGCGCGAAGGTCCACTTCGGAGCCGGGCGGTGCTTCTAAATCCCCGCGCCTCCCGCGGTCGCCATACCGCTTTCGACACGGACGCAACACGGCCAGGAGCTTCGACGCGCCTCCTCAGTGGATAATCCACGGGCGCACCGCCGCCTGGCGCTCGAATGCGGCAACCCGCCCTCCGGCGCTCCCTCGTGCCGTGTCCAAATCGACTAGAATGCGACTCAGACGTCTCAGCGCGGCCGTCATAAGAGAGCTGGAGCTGCCTGCTTGCTGGGAGCGTCCTGCCTTGCACTTCCCAAGGGACGAGCAGCCTGGGTGCAAGCCGACGAAAAGCAAGCAGAAAACCTACCATACAATTCTCTCGTTAACCGCTTGAGCTTCTCTACCGCAAATGGCGCCACAGCCTCTTACCGTGCATCAATTGACCGCTGGCTGGTCCTTTAAGCAGACAGATGCGTCAGATGACGCATGGCTGCCAGTCGCTTCTGTGCCGACGAATGTGCACCTGGATCTGATCGCCAACAACAAGTACGCCTATTTGCCCGCAGATCGGCTGCGAAGCTGCCGCCCCTCATCATCACTGTGTATACCCGGCTTACCATCCGTCCAACCAGAATCCCGGACCCCTTCCTGGGCTTCAACGAGATCGATGTCGAATGGGTGGGCGAGAAGCCGTGGTCCTACCAGACGATCCTCCCCGATGTCGCCTCGACGCTGAACGGTGGCGCGGCGGCGGTCCTGGCCTTTGACGGGCTGGACACGTACGCGACGGTCAAGCTCAACGGCGAGACGATCCTCGAGAGCGACAACATGTTCGTGCCGCACCGGGTCGACGTGACGCGGCGCCTGAAGGCGGGCGTGGACAACACGCTCTCGATCGACTTCAAGCCGGCTCTGGCGGAGGCCAAGAAGGTCAAGGATGCGCACCCGGAGCACAAGTGGGTGGGGTTCAATGCCGACATGGCGAGGTTGGCAGTGAGGAAGGCGCAGTACCACTTGTAAGCGAGGCCCGAGCCCTTCATTCGTCAACGATTGGACCGACGACTTGCCAAAGGATCTCTCTTTGCTGACCTAGGAGCCAGTGGCTGGGACTGGGGCCCGGTGCTCATCACCTGTGGGCCGTGGAAAGCCGTTCGACTCGAGACGTACGAGGCCAAAATCGCGGACCTGCGCGTCGACTACACCGTCGAGGCCGGGCTGAAGGCTGTAACTGGCACCATCACCGCTAGCGTCGACGGCCGCGCCGGCAAGTCTGTGGCCTTCGCAGGACAGCTGGCGGGTAAGGTCGCGTTCAAAGCATCAGCTGAGGTGGACGGCGACGGGCAGGCAAAGGCGGAATTTCGAATCGACGCAGCCGAGCTTTGGTACCCGCATGGCTACGGCGCTCAGCCTTTATACGACATCTCCGCAACCCTCTCAGCTGACGATGTCCCACTGCACTCGCTCCAGCATCGGGTCGGTTTCCGCAAAGCCGAACTTATCCAGCAGCCTGATGAAATCGGCAAGACCTTCTTCTTCCGCATTAACGATGTCGACGTGTTCTGCGGCGGCTCCGACTGGATCCCGGCCGATAGCTTCACGCCGCGCATCAGCGAAGAAAAATACCGCAGGTGGCTGAACACAATGGTCGACGGGTATCAGGTAATGATTCGCGTATGGGGCGGCGGCATCTGGGAGGTGGACGAGTTCTACGACATCTGCGACGAAATAGGCGTCTTGGTGTGGCAGGACTTCATGTTTGGCTGCGGAAATTACCCTGCCTTCCCGGAGATGCGGGAGTCGATCCGGCAGGAGGCTGTTGCCAACCTGCGCCGAATCCGACACCACGCATCCATCGTGATATATGCGGGCAATAATGAGGACTATCAGGTCCAGGAACAGTTCGGTCTGACGTACGATTACAGCGACAAGGACCCGGAGAGCTGGCTCAAGACGGATTTCCCCGCGAGATACATCTACGAGAAGGTGCGCATTGTGAAGCCGTCGTCGATCTTAAGTGACCCTTCTAATGCCGTCAAATTTCACAATAGATCCTGCCTGAGGCTGTGGCTGCGGAGAGCCCGCACGTCCCCTACCACCCCGGATCGCCGTGGGGCGATGGGCTGATCAGCTCCAACACGACAGTCGGCGACATGCATCAGTGGAATGGTATGGCGGCTGAACTTGGCTAAAAACGGAGTGCTTGCTGACACGCGGTTCCCAGTCTGGCACGGCACGCAGGAAAAATACCAGATCTTTGACACGCTGGGAGGCCGCTTCAACAGCGAGTTCGGCATGGAGGCGTTCCCGCACATCGACACGATCAAGTACTACGTCACCGACAAGACGCAGCTCTACCCGCAGTCGCACATGATTGACTTCCACAACAAGGCCGACGGGCACGAGCGCAGGATAGCGACGTACCTGGTCGAGAACTTCCGCACCGTGACGGACCTCGAGGTGAGTTTAATTAGCGAACGCGAGCGGGGCCTTGCATTTTAACGGTGCCGCATAGGGCTTCATTCACCTGACGCAGCTGTCGCAAGCCGAAGCGCTGATGTTCGGGTACCGGGGGTGGCGGCGGCAATGGGGCCAGAAGCGGTTCTGCGGCGGCGCGCTCGTGTGGCAGCTCAACGACTGCTGGCCGGTGACGTCGTGGTCGATAATCGACTACTTCCAGCGCAAGAAGCCGGCGTACTATGCGATGCGCAGGGTTCTCGCGCCGATTGCCGTGGCGGTCAAGCGGGCGCACCACGACTGGAGCGTGGTGCACGCGCGGCCGGCGAAGACGAGCGAGTGGGAGCTCTGGGTGTCGAGCAGCCGCACGTCAGCCGTGCAAGCAACGGTTGAATTGCGCTTCATCTCAATCGCGACAGGGTCGGAGATCAGGGAGGCGGTGGTGAAGAAGGACGTCACAATCGTCGCTAACGGCACCACGGACCTGCTTTCCGGCACCATCGATAACGTGCGCGAGGAGCCGCACGTTTTGGCGGCCCGCATCTGGGTCGATGGCCAGGTCGTGTCCCGGGATGTTGACTGGCCGCAGCCGCTCAAGTACCTGGATTTCGACGATCGTGGCGTCTCGGTCGTGCAGGAGCACGGCGGCAGCAGCATCCGCGTCACGGCCGCGCGCCCGACCAAGGGCCTGGTGTTCGAGGAGCGCGAGGGCGTGCTCGTCGACGACAGCGCCATCGACATTGTGCCGGGCGACGAGCAGGTGCTGACGGTGCGCGGGCTGGGCGCGCAGGCGGCGCCGCTGCGATGGAGGTATCTCGGGCAGCCGTAGGCAATAGACTCCAACACGGGTCGTGGCGTGCTCATGACCTGACGGCGCTGCAGAATAGCATGCAGGGAGCGGTCACGATAGGATGTGGGCTGGTGTGGGCCTGTGCCGGGCGGGAGCGCTGAAGGTGCCAGCAGTTGCGCGATGGGCCGGCTTGGCGGCGGGCGGGTGTTCTTGGATGGGCGGAGACGCCGCAGCAGCTCGCAGGCATGGAAGTTTCCAAATTAATTTGCGTCCTACAATTTTTCACGAAACGTCCTCATTTCCCTCTCGTCGGTGACGGCCATGCGACCGCGCGCGTGCTGCTGCGGCGGGCGCGTGGCAGCGCGCGCTGGTGTGTTTGGGGGCCAGCGCCGTCCCCGCTGGTGGTGTGCGTCGACTGCGAGCAGACCCTCGCTTTGACGTCCGTCCGCCAATCAGCCAGTCGCTGCGCGCGGAGGCCCGGCGCGGCGCGCCAGTTACAGAGCCTCGGGTCGCGCGCATGCAGCGTCCTGCGACCATGCTGCCAGAGCGCTGCGGGGGACTCCCCTGCCGCCTCTAGAAATCTGGGGTCTTCCCGTCGAGGCTTTCTTTCGACATTACGCCAGGCGGGAGCGCAGATCGCCTCAACCACCCACTGCCCTTCTCAGAAAGCTTTATTTGCTCGCACCCCGCCCTCTCACAGCCCCCGGTCCCGCTCCGACGCCTCTCTTTATCCGATCCTCGCCGCTCCTTTTCTCAGAAAGAGAAGCAAGTTATCCGGCCCGGTCCCCGACTGTGACCTCACTGCCTGCTGCATCATTCCTCTTCAGGCCTCCCCACCATTCCCTTTAACATCCAGTGATGCCGACGCTCTCTCCAAGCTAGCTGCAACCCTCTACTCTCTCCATTCGCCGTTTCGTCCAGGAGTACGGGTGCCGAGGCACTTGTGCTCTGTTGCTCTGCAATGTTCCACACCTTCCAGAGTGCTGCCGCCATGCCGGGCTCGGCAGACGGCGGAGACGGCGTGAAACCCTCCCGCCAGAACTCGCGCCGCATCTCCACCACCAACGCCTGCGTCGAGTGCCGCCGCCGCAAGATCCGCTGCGATGGCACCCAGCCATGCGGCCAGTGTATGTGGTACCAGCACCCCGAGCTTTGTAGCTACTCGAAGCCCGCCCAGCGCGTTGTACCCTCACGCAAGTAAGTCCACAGAAGTCCGGTCCCACTGTGGTCGCTATCGAGTCGGGTAGCCTGACTCACAGGCAATTAGGCTCGTCGAAAAGCTCCAGGGCCAAATCGACCAGCAGAGACTGGTCCTGGAACGATTGTTTCCCGGAAAGGACCTCGAGGCCCTCAGTTCAACGCCACGAGAGGAGCTCCTCAATTTGGCCCTCACGCTTCCGGCCCCTTCCGCAACTTCCCCTGCTGCATCCATTCCTCAGACCGCCTCGGAACCCACACCTGACTCAGACGGACCGGAGAGTCTGGAAGCGGCGCTGGAGGCTGCTCCCGACGAGAATCCGGAGTGGGATGAGGCCAGGAAGCATCAGATGAAGATCCAGGGCATCTCCGACGATGTCAACGGCCTGTCGCTGTCAGTGGACCGCCCGTCCTCCTACGTCGGCGTCTCGTCCATGACGGCCGCCCTCAAGGTCATAGTGCGGACTGCTCCCATCGCCAAGTCCTACATCAACTACAAGCAGACCGAGACCGCTCTCCCCAGCCGCAGCGGCACGCCCCCGCCCGAACTTCGAGATGCCAACCCCAACGCCCTCCCCAACGTGGAGACCGGCCTGGATCTCATTGACAACTACTTCGAACGAGTCCACCCGTTCTTCCCCATGGTCGAGGAGTCCAAGTTCCGCGCAGCCTACATTCGACAGCAGCGGTGGGACTCGGCCTGGCTCGCTCTGCTCAACATGGTGTTCGCGCTGGGCTCGCTGGCATCTTCCACGGCGGACAACGAAGCTCATTACATTTTCTTCACGAGAGCGCGCAAGCACCTGAGCCTGGAGACATTTGGAAGCGGGAATCTCGAGGTCCTTCAGGCACTCGGCATGATGACGGGGTACTACATGCATTACCTAAACCGCCCCAACGAAGCGAGCTGCCTAATGGGAGCCACGCTGCGAATGGCCACCGGCTTGGGTTTGCATCGAGAATACTCCAGCCCTGCTTCGCCCAACCCGAAGGTCAACGGCTTGTCCAAGTTAAAGACGGATATTCAGATTGCGGAGACCCGCAGACGCACCTGGTGGAGTCTCTTCTGTCTGGATGTTTGGGCATCTACGACAACGAGCAGACCTTCGCTAGGCCGCATCAGCTCTGCAGTCACAGTGCTGCCGCCTGGAAAGGTCTTGGAGGATGTAAGTTCACCCTGAGCACTGATGAGTCAGCCACACTAACAAATAACGCCGCAGCCATCATCAAGTCCCGAGAACTTGCAGGACTTGAGAGTACTGCCGTTGATCTACAACATTGAGTTCTGCAAGATTGCTTCGAGGATCCAAGACACACTTGCCACCTCGCCGCTTCTCAAATACGAAGATCTAGTTCAAATTGACACCGACCTCGTCAACTGGCAGAGCAATCTACCCTCTATCTTGGCAACCAATGAACCATGCCCGGAGTCTCTTCGTGTGCCCCGGTCGGTCATGAAGTGGCGGTACGAGAACCTTCGTGTTGTGCTGCACAGGCCATTCCTGCTGAGCACTGCTCTCAAACGCACCCCTTTCGCCAACCTTAGCGCCGAGGAGAAAGTGGCTGTCGGGAAGTGCCGCGTCATTGCGGCCCAGAATATCGAAGACATCAGCAAAGAATGCACGCCTGATCTGATTTCGGGCTGGAACGCGGTTTGGTTCTGTTTCCAGGCCTGCATGATCCCGCTGATAAGTTTGTTCGCTGATATCAGCAACCCTGACGAGGTCGCCAAGTGGCGCAGTCAAATCGAGATGGCGCTGGCCTTTTTTGACCGGATGGAAAGGTACAGTGTGGCCGCAAAGAAGAGTAGAGAGGCCATTGCACGGCTGGCTGAAGCCAGCAAGGTCAATCAAGAACACCTGGAGGAGCAGATGAGACAGCGGCAGCAGTTGTGGGAACAACAACGTGCCGCGAGCGCGCAGGCAGCTGTCAGTAATGAGGGGCAGAACTTCCATCAGTTTGGTGACAATGCTCATTCACCGTCGCAGCAACAACAGCAGCAGCAACAGCAAATTCAGGAGCAGCAACAGCAACAGCAACAGCGCAGCCCGAGCAACCCAGGGATGGGCATCAACCCGAATCAGCCGTTCCCGCCGGGGCTGCTCGGCGGGCAGCAGCCGTTCCCGAACATGAGCGGCATGTCGGGCATCGGCATGGGGGTGTGGCCGCCTGCTGAGATGGGGGGCCAGGGCGGGCCGTCCAGCCTCGGATCTCTGTCGGGTTTCTGGGACGAGATGATGTGGGACACGTTCCCCGAGATCTCGGAAGATCCGTTCGGCAGCTTCAACGGCGAGTTCGACTTCCCGCCGGCGAGCCAGGATACAGGTGGGGCACCTTGCTGGCAACTGGGCAACTGAAAATTTTCACACACAGAGAACGCTGACGGAAAAGATTAAAGGGGGACCGCTGCTCGACCAAGGAGCACGACGGGATTACGGCTTCGCGACGATGTCTATATAATGCTGGGATTTTACTGGCGCTTCCACTTGCCAGCGGGATATTACAAAAATGGGTGGGAGGACTGGGTTGGTTGAGGGATGGAGTCTTCTTTTCTCCTGGGTCGTGATGCATGTACGAATCACGGTCGTTGTCGTTTGTGTTTCCGTTTGTTGGCTCGGGCGAGGGGTTGTCGCGCGCGGGTGATCGTCACCAGTTCCCTTCCTGTACCATACATACCCAATTTCGCAATGATAGTCGAGTGCAAAAGAACAGCTTACCAACTCGGCCGACGCGGCGGAGGCGGGCGGCAACGAGATCACGATCTCCGAGCTAGGGCTGCATTCATGCTCGGCGGCTCGGGAGTTAGGAAGGAGAGATGCAGCGGGTGCTTAGGCGAGCGCAGCCGGAACGTGGTTACTTACGGCTTGCGTCACGGAAGTCGGATGCTACGGGGACCGTCAGGCTGGGCAATTTCAATCATTGGCCTCCCTTTCCACCTGCTCACCATCGCCTCCCAGGTCTCGCGACGTTGCTGCCTCCTCGCATCCGCTCCTTGTCGCTTTCCAGGCATCCTTGCCCTCCAATTCCGCGTGCTCCGCGCTCGCCACCTGTCAGCCCTGCGAGCTAAGGCCCAAGGGGGACGTTATCGGCCTTATCGAAGCACCATTTTCCACACCAACGCCGAGAGATAGAGAACGCGCCGACCCAGCAGCATCCTTCGCCCGCGCGACGAACTTCGCTCGCACCCGCCCTGATCCGCCTCCGGTCCGATCCACCATCTTCGCGAGACAGAGCCCCTCGCTCCCATCGTCCATCGTACCCACGCTTTTTCACCAGGCTGCGAGCTGAAAGCTGTCATCCGACAAAAAATAACACGCTTGCACAACGCGCGCCGTCCGACCACGAACCCGCACACGACTCAGACACCCGCATCCCCGATTGACGCCAGCCAAAAAGCTCGAGCTCCCGTCCCGTCGTCGTTCGCCTCTCGCCGACGCAACCTCGCTGCTGCCCCGCGCTCGCGCGACACATAACAACTTTTATACACAATGTCGTCGACGGAGAAGCCGCTTGCCAACGGCAACGGCAGCCTGAAGGCCGCCAGCCAGCCGGAAGAAGTGGAAAACATCTTCATGTTCATTCCGAACCAAATTGGTGAGCTCTTTCCCATTCCTCCTCCGACTCCGGCCCCTCCCACGAGGAGACTTGAGGGATGGATAAGGATTCGTTTGCGCTGACGCGAATGAACAAACAGGCTACTCGCGCATCGTGCTCGCCGTCGCGTCGCTCTACTACATGCCGCTGCACCCGCGGACGTGCTCGCTGCTGTACAGCGTGTCGTGCCTGCTGGACGCGCTGGACGGGCTGGCGGCGCGGCGCTTCAACCAGAGCACCAAGTTCGGCGCGGTGCTGGACATGGTGACGGACCGGTGCACGACGGCCTGCCTGCTGGTCTTCCTGGCGTCGGCGTTCCCGCGCTGGGCCATCGTCTTCCAGGGCCTGATCAGCCTCGACCTAGCCAGCCACTACATGCACATGTACGCGACGCTGAGCATGGGCGGCGCCGGCCAGAGCCACAAGAAGGTCGACGAGAGCAGGAGCTGGATCCTCAAGATGTACTACTCGAACAATGTGAGTTGTGGGAATTGATCCTCCCTTTCTCCCCCTCCTTTTGTTGACCGGTGTGGGGAAATTGAGAGTTGGAAGGGAAAAAAATGGCGCAAGGCTTTTGCTAACGAGGGATTGCCAATTCACAGAAAGTCCTCTTCACCTTCTGCGCGCTGAACGAGCTCTTCTTCATCGCGCTGTACCTGCTGTCGTTCTCGTCGCCGCTTCTCACGCCGTCGCTGCTGCAGAATCCGGAGACGCCGGCCAGCCTGACGCCCGGGTCGCCCGCCGCGCCCAAGCCGTCGCTCCTCTTCACCAGCCCGTGGTCCGCCGGTGCCATGGAGATGGCCCGCGCCAACAAGATGGACAGCACCGTCCCGTGGATCCTCGCCGCCGTGTCCTTCCCCGTCATGGCCGGCAAGCAGATCATCAACGTCGTCCAGCTGGTCAAGGCGAGCAAGTGGCTCGCTGAGGGCGACGTTGCGGAGAGGAGGAGGCAAGGCCTGCCGAAGAAGACGAATTAGAGGGATGGCTGAAGGAAAAGCTGCATTGGTGATGTAACGTCTTTCTTGTGGAGATGTTGCCAATCGCCTTTGCCCTCTCGGATACTGGATCCATACTCGGACCTTGGAGGCGCAACATCCGTCGTGATGTGCAAGACGGAAGAAGTTTCACTTGGGAGTGAAAGCCAGAATCCTCTACCGAACCTCCTTGGCCGAAATACAATGGATGCCCGTTCTCGGCTGGATGCGCTGTGCTTTCTTGAGAGAAAGCATTTGGTCAGACTCTCATCCAGGATACGGGTATTTCTCTCTACCGCGACCCCGAAAGCCACGCGTTTGGAGTTTTACTGGAATTCCCATCCCTTCGCTTTGACGGGAAATTCCTTTCTATGTCCCATGTTTTATTGCGCTGGCCTTTTACCATTTTTTTTTCTTCGGCCGCCCCCACCGGGTTTTCTTGAACCTTCGACAACGTCAAAATTCATCTCAAGCTACACATAAGGGCACTCGATATATTATTGGGTTTGGGGGGTATTTGCATGGCGGTGCGATACGGCGGCTGGCTGGCTGACTGACTGGACTGACTGGTTCAAACATCATCAAATTTACATCGGGCGTACAACGGTTCACAACAACTTCTTTCCCGTTTCTTCTTCCATTTTTTGGTCTGTGACTGTCACGAAGGCGATTGGGAACCGTCTTGTGCCTTCCCTCTTCGGCATCCTCGTCCCGGTTGTTTTATTCTAACTTTTTTGTATGAGGCACGCCGACCGACAGGGGATCGCAAATAGACAATAATAATATTCCTGTTAAAAGGCAAATGTATCCATAGAGAGGAATGATGCTTCCGCGCGCGGCGCTTGCAGAGATTTGAGCCTCTGCTCTCGGGCTGCTAGTGGGGCTGTAGCAGGGTGCCAGAGGTCCGTCTTCTCCGTCTTCGGTATCGTGTGACTACATACTAGAGGGGTATGACAGACGCTAAATTAATACTTGTAATAGTCAATCTACTTTTTGTTAATGTATCCAAGGCTTAATTGTAGCAGTATCTAAAACTTTAATTGGTTTAGATATGGTCGGTAGGCAATTTATCCCCGCATCACCACGTTACTAGCAAGAGGAGCAGAAATAAGCCAGTATGCGGCGGTTTACGCCAATGAAGTAGCGAAACCCTTATGGTTTCTTCGCCAGAAGGAAGGCGAGGTGGAGATGCGGGAAAACCAAGAGACCTGACGTGGCAGCATTGCACTGTTGCCTGTTTTACGGGGTACTTGTAGTGGTGAAAGGCAACTCAAGGCTCCGGATTCCGGACCCCACTTATTAACAACTCATTGCTCTTCGTACTTTGAATCTCAGCCCCCGCACACGCAACATCTCTTTACGGATCGACATGGAACCCATCGCAACCGACACGGATCCTCCTAAAACGCCGTCAAAGGAACAGACATGCCCTCAGGCACCTTGCAACGTCTGTCTCAATCTTCGTCCGGACATCATCAACGTTAAAAATTGGTTCACATACCACGGATCTCACAGGGGCAAATTTCAGTCATGGTTGGAATATCAACGTCTTATATCTTCGAAGGAGCGTGGTTGCAACCTATGCAGCCTCATTCTGTACGCAAGCGAAGTGCATAGCCCCCGCAAGACTCCTACTTTCATTGAAGTAATAGTGCGCGCAAAAGACGAGAGTCTGCAAGAATTCTACCCTCTGGAGATATCGCTTGATTTTGTTCCGACGGGAAAAGAGTGGGGGAGAAAGGAGGGAGAAATGGGCTTCGATGGAAATAATAACGAAGGACAAGAGTCAGAAAACAAGGATAAAGAGCTGGAATTATTTAAATCCATTCGTTTGCAACTTTATGAAGAGCAAGGTTAGCCCTTTTAACTTATTCATAATCATAAAATCGACTACTTACGTTCCTTGAGGCTTCCCTGTCGATCTACCTATAGGCCAGGGTCGTTCCGTGTCTAGGCACTCGAGAACAACCTCATGCATGGATCTCTTGTCTTCGTGGCTTTCGCAATGTCGCAACAACCATAAGGCCTGCTCTGATTCGTCCGAAGTTACATTGCCAACAAGGGTCATCTCAGTTGGTTCAGAAACAACTTTGCCACGACTGTACGTGCCTGAAGAGGGAATACGGGGGCAATATGCTGCGCTGAGCCACTGCTGGGGAGGTGGTGTTCTTCTGAAAACCACGACCACTAATATAGAAGAACACCAACACGGAATACCGGAAGACAGGCTCCCCAAGACCTTTCTTGACGCAATATACATCGCCAGAAAACTGCGAATACCTTTCTTATGGATCGACAGCCTGTGCATTATGCAAGACGCGCACGAAGACTGGGCTCGAGAATCTGGGCGCATGGGATCCTACTATTCAGGCGCTATCCTTACAATTGCAGCGGATTGTGCAGCGGACAGCTCCAAGGGCTGCTTGAAAGGACGTCCAGGAGAGGCCTGGAACTCGGTCCGCATTGAAAAACATCAATCTGGATTGAGAAATGACGTCCACGTCCGTATTGCGCCAAGAGAATCCCGTGAGGGACTAGGGCATACGTTTAAGCCCCGTGCGAAACCAAATGACTTGCTGCCCGAGAGTCATTTGAAAAAGCGGGCATGGGCTCTGCAAGAATGGTTTCTGTCAAGACGAATTGTCCACTTCACCGACGAGGAAATGGTCTGGGAATGTCAGCAAGAATCACTTTGTGAATGCTCCACCGAGGACGAGACACATAGATTTCGAGAGGTTCGCAAGACACCCTTCAAAAGCCTCGTCGAGGACTTTCCGGCTCTGTACGAGCAATGGATGGGCATCGTCCGTGAGTTTTCTAAGCGGTCAATCACCCACGAAACAGACCGGCTGCCCGCCATTTCTGGAGTAGCGGAGGTTTTCAGCAAAGAGACTAAGGATGAATACGTTTGTGGAGTGTGGAAGAACTGCCCAGCAACCCTTATCTGGTCGCCTGATCTCACAGCTGGTCTTACCCTGCGCCAAGATAAATTCTACGCACCGTCATGGTCATGGGCCTCCATCGCGACACCAATCCGGAAGACCTATTTGCGCGAAAAGGAAAACGGGGATTACTGTACCCTAGCCGAAGTCCTGGACATTGATTCGGCACCTGAGACTACGAATCGGTTTGGTCCCGTCAAAAAATATGCCAAATTGACGATTCGAGGACACGTGTTCCCCGGACGATGCCGCGAACTTGCACCTGGTGGAGGGTACTATTACAACCACCATTTCTTCATTGGAAAACGGCGCTCAGGGGGTTATATCAGGTTGGATTTTCCACAGATGCCGTCAAACACACCTTTGCCTGGAGATATCACACTGGTGGATATATCTAGACTTGAACCAGATCTTCATCCTGGAGATAAGTTCATTGTGTTGATCATTTATAGAAAAGGTCGGTACATTGATGGATTGGTTCTCAAAGCTGTGGATGAGTCAGCGTCCATGTATCAACGGGTTGGCACGTATTCCGGGGAATATTTGGGGCCTGGAGTTCCTGAGTGGGATCATTCGGAGGAAAGAACCATTACTCTCGTGTAAACATAATCCAACGATTGCTGCTTTGTTGTTTGTGGTGTAGCAAATTTGAGATTGTCTTTTGTTTTTGGGAGGGGGTGGCTTATCTATTCTTCAATAGGTAAAGCGGCGGTTGTGGCTGGCGGCGTAGCCGGTAGGTCACGGGGTTTGGGTGTGAGGGGTTAGTTGTGTTGGCGGTCGCTAGGAACCCCCGAGCGGCGGTCTGCATCGTCTGCTTTGTTGTTCACTGTTCTATCATCCACCTACGTTTTTCCAATTCTCCACCATTGGATTCGAATCACTCTCATCATTCTTTCCGCGCTTATCCGTCCTCCGCTCTCGCATCAGGCAGCAGCTTAAGGACGCGAGGCGATTGGTTCCTGCGAATCCTGCATGCGAGCGAGTGATAAGCGAGGGCGTAGGATGAGGTCGTAACGACAACGCGGCTTACTCTACTCTTTTGTGTGTACATTGATTGATTCCGATCTCGCTGGCCCTGCTCATCGGTCGAGTACATACAGAAGCGGGGTCGACTTTTCGTCCGTATCTTGTTGCTGCTGGACGCAACGACGAATCGCAGGGTAAACTGATCTATATTAGCTTCACATATACTTCCTTGGGTCAAACATACGTTGGAAGCCACACAGTCAGTTCGTTCATCAACAACATCGTTTCTGAGCGTCTTATGCCGAATATTTTGAGTTTTCGATCGAAAGATATATACATTTTCTCCCGGGAGCTTCTTTTCCCGTTTTATTCCTAATCTCTCTGTCCAAATATCACATCAAGATGCGCTTGTTCAGCACAGCAACAGCGCAACCGCGCCCCGAACTCCTGCTTCTCATCTCGCTCGCCATCTCTCCCTTGCCACTCCTGGGCCGCTGTCTTGCACCGCCGTCTTTTGATGGGCACACATCAGCGGCACGACGATTCGGGCAGCAACAGCAACAACAATTCCAACAGCAGGAACCAGTTTTCGAGACCGACGGTCAGCGGGCTGGTGATTATGAGCAAGGGAGTGAAGGGGTCGATGATGATGATGACGACGACGGTTGGGGCGATTGGCTGAAGGAAAAGTACGTCGTCAGAGACCCGTTTGATGACGAGTTCGACCAGATGGTGGAGGAGACGCTGGAGCACTGGCACGTGCCGGGATTGTCAGTGGCAGTGGTACATGGAGACTATACGTTTGCGAAGGTCAGTGATCAACTTCCTCTGCTTCCATGCACCCCCTGATCCCTGGTGTCCTCGATGGAATCTGCTTGCATCTTGACGACTGACGATGAGCAACGCAGGGCTACGGCAAAGCCATCCTCCCGGACGTCCCCGCCACGCCCGAGACGCTCTACTACGTCGGGTCGACGACCAAATCCTTCACAGCCGCCGCTATCCTCCTCCTCATCGAAGACGCGCAACTCCAAGCCAACAACAGCGCCAGCCCGCACACGCTCCCGCCCGACCTCTCTCTCACGACCCCCGTCTCTTCCCTCATCCGCGACGACTTCGTCCTCCCCGACACCTACGCCACCTCAAAGGCCACGCTCGAAGACCTCCTCACCCACCGCACGGGCATGCCACGCCACGACCTCTCCCTCCCCGGCGCCACCGGCCCCCGCACCATCACCCTCCGCGACCACGTCGCCAACCTGCGTCACCTGCCCCTCACCGCCGACCTGCGGTCCGCGTGGCAGTACTGCAACATGATGTACCTCGCCCTCGCGCACGTGCTCGAGCAGCTCACGTCCACCACCTGGTCCGAATTCGTCCGCGCGCGCCTGTGGGCGCCCTTGTCCATGCCACACACCTACGCCTCGCTCACCGAGGCCCGCGCGCAGGCTCCGCACCTCCTCTCCGCCCCCTACTACTGGCACAACGCGACCGCCTCCTTCGTCCGCGAACCCTACCTCCCCGACGCCGCCGCCCTGACCGGCGCGGGCAACGTCCTCTCCTGCGTCGCCGACTACGCGTCCTACCTCCGCGCGCTGCTCAAGCGCCGGCCGAACCCGTTCGCCAGCCAGGACCCCTTTCGGCAGCTGCGTCGGGCCGCGCGGGCCGTGGTGGCGGATCCGGCGGACAGCGACGACGAGGAGGAGCGCGGCGGCGGGGCGCATCCGCCGTGGACGGGGCCGACGCTGTACGGGCTGGGCTGGATGGCGCAGACGTATCGGGTTGGGGGGTTGAGGGTGTATACGCACGACGGCGCGGTGACGGGGTATGCGGCGAGTATGGCGTACGCGCCGGAGGCCGGGTGGGGCGTTGCGGTTATGGCGAATACGGAGGTTAGGGGGAATTGGGCGGCGGAGAGGGTGGTGGTGAGGCTGGTCGAGGGGTTGGTCGGGACGCCGGTGGGGGAGCGGTGGGATGCGCTGGCTGCTTTTGACGGGCAGTGGGAGAAGGGGAGGAAGAAGAGGGCGCGGGCGAGGGAGGAGCTGTATCCGGGGGCGCCGGGGGGCAGGGGGGAGGAGGGGTGGATGCCGTTGGGGTTGCCGTTGGAGAGGTATGCGGGAGTGTATGTGAATTGGGGGTATGGGAATTTTACGTTTGTGGTCGAGGAGGGGCATGGGGCGAGTCCGTTTGAAGTTGATGGTGTGGCAGATGACGCCACGGCGCACCGGCGGAGGCACCTCCATGCTTCTGTCAAGGACAAGCTTTGGGCCTTCAAGTTGTGCTTGGAACACGTTTCGGGCGAGTACTTCATGGCTTGGCAGGGCGCTGTCGAGGAGATGCCTAACGGGCTGTTTGACGACGAGATGCCGTTCAAGGCTCGCTTTGAGGTGGGCGTCAGCGGAAAGGTCGAGCGGCTGCATTTGGCCATGGAGCCGAAGATGGGGGAAGACATGATTGTTTTCACGAGGGTCGACGAGTGAGTGGGAAGGGTGAAGAATATGGCAGTTTGGACTGCGGTCGGTGAAAGATTGGCACGACATCTACCTCTTTGGATTTTCACCTCGGGTTTCACATGGCTTGGTTTCCCTCTATACGTATTTATTTATGAACTTTGCGGCAGAAGATCAAAAGACTGACAAGACTCCAAAGACGTCTCTCGTTCAACGAATCTCAGCCTCCGCACTTCTGAGTCTCGCCTCTTCTCGGTAATGAGCTTCAATGCTCTCCAGCATCAAGCGCGGAAGGTACCTCGGAAGAGCGGTCCCAGACAGAATGCGGTCCGATATCTCCAGATACCTGGCACGGAACCCTTTCCACAGCCGCGCATCCTTACCGTCTCCTCCGTCTTCACCATCCACCACCACCACCACAGGACGCGGATAGTACGGCTCATTGCCACAGAACGCCTCAACCGCCCGCTCGACGCCCTTATCATCCATGCTCATATTGCCGCACTGATCGAAATCAAGCAGCCACAAACAGACCGCCGCCCGCTTCTGCACCAAACGCTCGGTATCGCTCCCGGGCTCCAACCCCTCCAGCTCAGCAGCAGTAAGCGGTTTCAACCGTGCCATACCCGGCGGGACGCTGCCGAGCACGAACTCGACCCCCCGCCCATCGACGCGCGCCTTCCAATGCATCGTCGCCAGCGCGCCCGCCACCTGCGCCGCCAGAACCTCCGCGTCCATCCCGAGCTCTTCCATCTGGTTCAGGTGCAGCTTCAGGTTCCGCAGCGAGAAGAACCGCTCAGAGCGTTTCGCGCTCTGCCGGCGGCTACCCAGGTACACGCGCACGAGGCAATCCCTGTTCCCCGGCCGCTTCATGGTCTGTTTCCGGTAGGGGTCGTACCAGTCGTCGACGGCAGCCTGCCCGAACGTCCTGATCAGCTCGAGCCGCAGCTCTCGTCGGACAGCGGAAATATCCTTTCCATGGCGAGAACCGGTCTGGCCTCGGCGAAGTGCTCGCTCGGGTCGTTGTGCACGGCGAACGTGTGCGCGTGTCGCTGCCACCAGGCCGCGTTTTCGTCGCCGGGGACGTAGAACCGTGGTTGCGGGACGCGCACTTCGTCGAGCTGGAGCTTTTGGGCTGCTTCCCAGATGTGCGTGTGCATGACGTAGTCGTTCCAGAGCTGCCCCGGCGTCGAGGGAGAGTGCGCGACCTTCAGTGCGACGCAGGAGTCGTCGGCGGCGTAGATGCGGCCGCAGGAGCCGCTGCCGATGCTGCGCGGGGAGTCGGATGCGGTGTAGCGGGGGTTGGCGTTTGGGGGGTTCGGTTTTGTGGGTTGGATGGAGAGGAGGCGGCCAAGGGCGGAGGCGGAGGAGGAGGGCATGGTGTTGGATGGGACTTTTTTCCCCTTGGGGTTTTGCGGAGGGTCTGATTGGAGTTGTGTGTGCTGGTAGGCTGGGATTGGAGTTCGTGGTTTTGATGGCGCCGTAGAGTTGCGTGAGCTGCGGTTTAAGTATGGTTTTCCTGATTCACTTTTACCCAAGCCTTTACCACTGTACCAAATGTTCGTATGTGCGTCACTCACCCAGATATGCTATTTGGAACGGGGGGTTCATCCGATATATATGCATGTTGTAGCAGACGTGCAGACAAGTGGAGGAGTAGGAGGGATCACTTGAAATTTTTCATTCTTCAAAACCGTATTAAGATAACCGCTCCTGCTTCGGATAAAATACGGCGAGACTGAACTGTAAATTGTAAGGACATTTTAATTTTTTGTTTCGAGACGTGAAAAGGGACTAATTTCAGCGTGGAAAGGTTCAAAAATACCTGTATAGGCACACGCCGTGAGAGATATCAAAAAACGTCCTTGGTCTAGGCCCCGGCACTATGTATCATGCTACATTTGACGGAGCCCCTTCGTGCACTGACAATTGGAGTGAATGTATAAGAAATTGACGGAGTGCCTAATGGTGGATTCCATGCTATTCGCCTCTCTTGTTTGCTACCTCGTTTGCTGTTGATTAGTTATCCGGCGCTTATATATTCTACGCTGCCCACAGATAGCTTATGGATCATTCTGCGCATTCATCAAAAGCTAATCTCGATCGAGGTTTCTAAGACGCAGCATTTTTCGATGGTGCTCTCGCCTATCGGATTTTGATGTCATTGGCCGCATGATCCACCGCAGGATCCACCTCTGCAAGCGGGGTACTCAGACATCAACACTATCTGTACATCGCTGAACCATCGAGCATCATCCCCACAACCCCAACAAGGCCGATGGGGGAATCTGGCACAAGAAGTAGTAAGTTTCCCCGTATTGCCAGGCGTTACTCCTTCTCACAAGCAGATGGGTCCACCCTTGCCTTCTGGACCACGCCGCCGCACGGCCCTCTTAAGCGCAAGAGAGGGCTGGCATAAACTTCGAACGAAAGTTCATCAGCGTGTACAGGATATACTTCCTATCTCCGTGCGATCCATAACCATGGCCACGAAGGAGCTCCACAACGACTCCTTTGGGAATCCTGACGGAGCAACGCAAGCGACCATAAACGATGAGGCCTGCTCGTTCTGTGATGAAATTTACATCGGCGGGCCCTCCGAGGAGATCCAAGGGGGCATTGGGAGTCTTTTTCACCAGCCTTGCTCTGGATGCTCCGCCCAGGACCCATCGTTGTGTGCGCGATGCCAACATTCAAGATTGAGACATCACCTAATCTGCGATGAGGACAGGGATTACGAGATCTGGATCCCACTGGACCATCTACTTGAAAACTTGCGCCATGGGTCGAGTCCAAGCTGCGCCATGTGTTCCTTCTTTGTTGAGGCCGCACGGCAAGAAGCCGAATCTCAGATTCCAGACTGGGACATGGAGAAGTGCTGTTCTTTCAACCTCGAATGCCGGGAGCCACTATACCTCGATCCTGAATTAATCCAAGCAGAAATCTGCCCTAGTCCATGGGCGTTGGCATTGGTGGTCCGTTTCGATGCCAATATCGCGTCCTTGGTCGTCACTTTGGCCGGTTTCGACCTCCAGTCTCAAAGGCTAGCTCCCCCCAGTGCTGGCACTGCCCAACTTCAACATGAAAGTTTGCAAAAGAGGGCGATCCCCCAAGTCGGACAGACCGTCAACTGGGAAGTCATGAAGAATCTGCTCGAGACCTGTTGCGCAAGTCATCAGAATTGTCATTCGACAGAAGTGGAGCTCCCGATGGGCTTTCGGCTCATCGACGTGGAGAACAGATGCCTAGTACAAGCTTACAACTCAAATGTCGGCTATTTCGCTTTGAGTTATGTTTGGGGTAAAGCATGCGACGTTTCAGGCCCGAAACAGACGGTAGCAACCCTCACGAAAAGTAGTTTGAACCATCTTCAGCAGGAAAAGAGCCTTTTGCCATCCGTCCTACCGAAGACGATCGAAGACGCTCTCCAAGCATGTGTGGCATTGGGATCCAAATACCTATGGGTCGACCGCCTATGCATCGTTCAGGACGATAATGAAGACAAGAATGTCCAGATCGAGGCCATGGGAACCATCTTCGCCTCGGCAAAACTGGTCCTCATAGCTGCCGATGCAGAGAATATGCATTCTGGAATCTCTGGGATCAGTAAACTTCGTCGATATGCCTCACAGGCCGTGGTGAACAGCTCCGGAACAAGCCTGCAGCGCGTCTTGACCAGTATGGAACTATCAGCCAAAGCGACGCCGTGGTGGTTTTCAAGAGCTTGGACGTATCAAGAGGCAATTCTGGCGAAACGAAAGGTCTGGTTCACTCCGGTTCAGGCGTATCTTGAGTGCCAAACAGGCATCTTTACAGAGGATCTTTGGAGAAGCTACGCAGCAAGCGCAAAAACAATCGTCAGACAAGTCCATCCACCCGGGCTTGCCACCAGCGAAGCCTTCAAAGCGCATCTAATAGAATACACTGAGCTCTCTCTTACGTATCAGTCCGACATCTACAATGCGCTCACTGGGATCGCCAACTCTCTTTACGGAGCGGAGAGCTTGATCTATGGCTTGCCCCAGAAGGATTTTGACGAGCTTCTTCTTTGGGAAAGCAAAGGTTCAGAGCCCCGTAGCGCAAATGGAGTGATGCTGCCATCCTGGTCTTGGGCTTCCATCAATGCCCCTGTGTCCCTGGACTCACAGCTCTTCTGCGGTTCGTTGGTCAAGTGGTTTACTTGCGTTAGACAAGGGAGAAAGACGTCAACTGTACCGATCCGGGCAGACAGTGAACCATGGACGTGGACCGAGCGAGATAGCTATGAAGACTTTGTAGAAGGAGCCCACGGAGGTTGTTCACCTCATCTATACATGGGAATCGCCTGTATACAAGGCTGCATTCAAACTCCTCTACCCAAGGGCTTGCTAGGTTCCAGCAGTCAAACTATTAGGGAACTGGACATATCAGCACATACTTTGTGGCCTACGTATGAGGCGTATTGTCACCACCTGTATGCTCAGAGTAAAGAGCTTACGCAGGCAAAGATGCAAATGCTGGAGCCCGGAACTCTCCTTGGTCACGCACAGATGGCAACGCTCAGATATACCAAACACATTGAACACGAACACTGTCGCGGTTTTGAGCCAGGATTCGACTTTGAGATGTACGGTGACGGTGATAGACCAATAGGTGCGTGGACAGGAGTTGAGCCCCAGTCTGCCTTGCAGGAGGGAAGGGTCAAGGCAATCGCTCTGTCGGTTCTGAATTACGGATCGTTCTACTTGTACTCTTCCATTATGTGGTGTCTATCCTCCTCCTTTCCCAAGCTTTGCGCTTTTGAGAGCAAATTTGATGAGACCTTTATGGAGGCTGGAGCAGAAGTATTGCGGGACCCCAGCGAAAACCTGACATTCTTCGACTGTGAAGGAAAGGCGCTGTTTCCTCCTCCAATGCTCTATGTTATGCTGGTTCAGGAAGATGGGTCGTTTTATCGACGCATAGGTCTGGGTCAGGTGTTCTTGTCGCGTTGGCTGCAAGCGGGCCCTCGTTTCGAAACAGTTCTCCTAAGATAGACACAGGCGATAGTCTGGTACATGCATCAAGCCTACTGAGACAAATTTTCAAGTGCTTTTTTTTTTTCCCTGGCGCTATCTCGGTCTTTCAACCCTGACTACATCTCATGTGGCCTAATAGCATATTGAGACTCACGCATTAACGCCTATCGAACTCATAGAACCCAGCTACTTGCTCCTGATAGACTCTTCCCCATCACGTTGTGTAGATGAAGTGCGGACTCCGATCTCCCAACTCCTCAATCTGGTCCGGCGTCAAGCTCGCCGCCTTCCAGTCCTCCTTCCCCGCCGCCCTCCGCCTATTGACGTGCGAAAAATACCACGACAGGAAAGCCATTATGGTGACGGCGACAAGGCCAAGGCTAAGCGTCACCGAGTGCCCGCGATGGTACTGGGGGCCTTCGGACTTGGGATATATCTGCGAAGGACATTAGTCGATGATGTCCCCTTTCCACTCCGGGAGGGAAAAAGAACAACAAACTTACATAACTCATCATGATCCCCCCCGTATTAACCCCCATAACATTCATCGCCAGCGCCACCGCCCTCTGCCCATACCTCGGCATATTCACCGCCACCCACGCAATGCACACGCCCGACGCCGCATACATCCCCAGCGGAATCACCATGCACCCCGCATACCCCGCCGCGCCTCCATGCGTCGTCAGCAACACCACGTACCCCGAGCACGCCACCAGCGTCGCCGCCGCCGCGACAGCCCCGCGCCGCTGCAGCCGGTCCGACACCCAGGCCACCAGCAGGCACGAGATGATGCCGCCGGTGTAGCACGGGATCGTCATGGCCTGCACCTTGAGCGTCGACCACGACGGGTTCAGCCCGCGGATGATGGTCGGCAGGAACGTGCTGTAGCCGTAGATCATCGTCGCGGTGCAGAAGCCCGCCGATGAGAAGAGGTAGAGCTTCCAGTCGCGCAGGGCGAGGAGGATGTCGGAGCGCTGGAGGTGCTCGGCGGCGGCGGTGCGGGAGGTGGCGTAGCGGGCCTGCCGGGCGCGGAGGAGGGCCTTTTCGGTGGGCGTGAGGTACTTTGCGGATTCGGGGGAGTCGGCGAGCGTGAAGAAGGCGATGGTGGCGAAGAGGCAGGTTGGGATCCCCTCGAGGATCATGATCCAGCGCCAGCCGCGGTAGCCGAGTGTGCCGTCCATGTAACTGGCCAAAGTTATTAATCAGTGTTGCTGTATGGGGTTGAGGGCTGATGGGCTGCGGTTGATGCTTACCCGATGGCGTAGGCGAGGAGCCCGCCGAATGCCCCGGCGATGCTGCTGTTCATCATGAACAGCGCCAGTCGCATCGCCAGCTCTTTCTTCGTGTAGAAGCACGTCAGGTACAGCGCGACGCCCGGGAAGAAGCCGCCTTCGAAGATGCCTAGTAGTAGGCGGAGCGACACCAGGTCGGCGAAGTTCTGGGCGAGGCCGGTGCACGTGGCGACGATGCCCCACGTGAAGGTGATGAACTGGGGCAGACGTTAGTCTGGGTAGAGATGGGGGAAGGGGCTTGGTCATGGTCTTGCTTACAGGGATCCAGCGAGAAGGGCCGACGCGCTTGATGATCAGGTTGGACGGGATCTCGACGAGGACGTAGGTGACGAAGAAGAGGGACAGCGCGATGGGGAATTGTTGGCCGGTGAGGTTCAGGTCCTCCTCCAGCCCGTATAGCCGCGCATTTCCTTACATCGCCCAGATATTAGAAGATGCGGAAAGCTGCAAGGGACGCGGTCACGTCTTTGCTGCTTACCGATGTTGATGCGATCGAGGAAACTGCAGACGTAGAGGGGTGCTACCACTGGCAGGATGTGCCAGTCCAGCTTCCGGAGCAGCCGTTTCTCCGCCTCGTAGTCGATGTCGAGCGATTCGGACTGGGTATCCGATGCCTCGGGGGATTCGATCTTCGTATCCGCTGTGATCACGCTTGGTGCCGTCATGATCGTGAATTGACTCAGTATCTTGTTTCGTTCAGAAGGCAGAGATATGGTGGACATATTGGACGTGCGCACACTCCACGCGCCCCAAGAGTCGCTTCTTATGTTATCCTCATATCCGGATTCAAAACCGAGCTGTTGCACTTCCGTCTATTTTTGATTTTTGCCTTCTTTCGGCCGTGTACTGCGGAGGCGGACACAAGCTCTCTCCAAGAGTTTATGATCATCCCAAGGCCAATGGGTGTGGCTGAATCTTGTCACACGTGGCTCTCGGATGTCTGATCCAGGGAACACTCTGTTATCTCTTGCTGCCTCATCGCTGATGGAGCCAAATGCGGACAGCGATGATCAATGTGGTTGAGTTGAAAATTAGGATGAGTCGGAAAGTTAAAGTGCAATTGTCCGAATGGACCTTTGGGCCGAACCGAGGCACCGAAGCCTGTGCTGGAGCAACTGCCATATCGGGTCTTATAGCTTGCATATTAAGGAATCATGTGAATTCCGCCTCCTTGCACCTGTATCAGACAGATCAGTGACGCGATTGGACTCAACTCACGAGAGTTCACGGAAAAAGACGCAGATAGCTGATATGACTCGGTGGCTGAGATTGTGGGGCTTCATGGAAGATGTAGTACATGGTAAAATCCCGCGGGCCTCCGCAGAGATCGACACGATCCAGATCAGCCTGCCCAATCGGGCAAATAGGATCAGCATCGGTCTCTTTTTGGGCAGATCGACATGGTAAGGCTGCAATGCCCTTCTTTCGTCCGATCATGTCTCACGGTTGTGCGACCGAAGTGCGAGAAAGGAGAAAGAAAACAGAGTAGAGCACCGCGAACCACCGCGGCTGATTTGTAATACCTCTCCACATTCCGAGGTCCTCGAAACTCAACAAGAAAACATTTAGGCGCTCTGGGACGCCGTTGAGAATTCAATTTGCGTCTGAGATGCCTGACCCCACAGTCGGACTCTCTTTCTCGGTTGTGAGCGGTTGAAGACTCCGATGAGACAGTCATCTCTCGACCCTGGTGGAAATCGAAATGGTACACGGAAAATGGTGTTGAATACACAGAGTGAGATCAGGACGGCGTCATTTGAAGGCTGTTGAACGCGTATTCCTGTGGTTCTGTGCAGTAAAGGCGTCCATCCGATTGGACAGTCTAAATAAACTTAGCATTTATTCGGAGGGAAGTCTAAACTGACTTCCACCGCATGTCATCGCGTACTCTCTTTCGGTTAATTAAGGCCAAACCCCGGACGGCTCAACCTTGCTGTAAATTATCCAACCATACCGTTTCAATCTCTTTCACTAGCTTCTGTAGTAATTTCGTTGAAGTTTGCGTAATGTTGAGATGCACGGCATTGATATAAATCAGTCTTGCGTCCCAGATCGAATTATTCGTTGGTCTCAAACACTTATCATCAACAGGCATCATATCAAGCATATTGTAGCAAACACTGGAACTGTCAATTGATCAGACGACGAGTATTTGATGCAATGCGGGGTGGAAAATCGAGCTGGAATGGGTAGCAAAAAGAAGGGCGATATGAGTGTAGTATCACGGGTGACAGTCCATAAAATCACATACGTGCAAGCAACTTACATAATTATCATAGATGATGCAAACACATACTGGTAGTGTTCTGCACAACATTTGCCGATGCGAACACCGGAGTTGGGCGGAACAAACCTCTCGCTTATTTAGTGTTTCTTATGTAGCTAGCCCTGGTTGAAATAGCACACAACCACGGATCTTGCCCGATCCGGTAAGTGGGGCAAATATTGTTTTTCCTTTGGATTATCGACGGAATACACTCCTTTTGTCTATTCATGTCTCGTGGTTGTACAGTAAAGACGCGATCAAAGTAAATGAGAAAGCTCGAGAAAACTCGAGGAAGGTTCCCCGGATTTGCAGTACTATTTCGAATCCAATTTTGCACTAAGGTACGCGGTGCCGCAATATATTTCTTATGCCAGACTTAAGCGCTCCGATAAAACTACCGGCTTCTAATGCCGGAGGACATGGGTATGATATACAAGGGTACACAGGGTAGCGGAGTCGGACACACAACGAGAGCTGTGTCGTGAGATACCAAAGCTACTGAGCAACATTTGAGAATCTTCATATAGTGAACAATTTCCTCTGGCTGGGCAGGAAATCTGAATCAAATTGTGTCTAAAATTCTGAAGGATTCTGCAAATTGATAGAACCGCATATCGTCGCCCATTGCCGGCCTCTTTCACTCTACGCATTGTCCGGCGTCGTCTCTATCAACAAACTCAACAGCTCTAGAGTCACTTCAAAAATGTGATCGAAGCAGGATGATCTCTGTGCTTAATACAACTATTAGTGGAAGGAATTATGATTATAGTTATCTGAATCGATCCAGTATCCCGGGAGGTTTCGACGAGTATGATTGTGTATGAACTTTCTCTTTTATTTAGCTTCACTCTTCCCTTTTTCTTTCCAAAAATAGAAATGCTGAACGTGATACCAGTTAGTCCTACATCAGCACTTACAACAACAGGCGTTCTTGCGCTGGTCAAGCCCGTTAAAATGACATCAAGTTTCAATTGTCCCAGGCCGAAAGGCATCACCGATTCCCTCGAAGATGAAGGCAACTGTGAACGAGTCGTAGCATCCTTCGAACTTTTGTTCCTTGACTGCCTCCACCCTTCGGAGCATTGAAAGTCCTGGTGCTAATAGAGAGGATACGAGTGCATCGGTATGCTGTCCACTGTCTTCTACGGAGTGACAATCAGAATGAAGTCTGCTTACCAAGAGGTTGGATAAAACATGAGCCAGCAGTGCCTTTGGTGCCAATATCAAAAAGCGATGGCCTTTGCTATGTCAGTTGCCGAAACAAGGCTCATGCTTCCCAAAATACCAGGCAAGAGTCGAATCCAGAAGATCATTCGTTGGATTGACGCCAGAACCATTAGCAAAACGGTGGAACTATTTTGATCTTGAAAATGAGATATTGGGCTGAGGTCTTCGACGTGCTCAGCAACGTCCGGCGCTTGCAGATTGTCCGGTTTTCCGCCTTGGTGTCCGGAAGTTGGCGTCACGTGAACAGATGATATTCCTATCCAGTTTAAATATTAAGCATTCCTCATCCGGATTTTGGTTATAACATTCTTGGGGGGGGGGGCTTTTAATCAACGATGTTGTCACTGCTCAACGTGTAGCAAGCTTGGTGTTGCACAAGCGTGAGATGATCTCCAATCCGGCCAATGAAAACTGCCGGGAGAGGAGACCGAGAGCGGGGCAGGAAATATAACCTCAGCCTGTGATGAATCTCACTCCACAACTCCTCTTCTCCGCATTCAATAACCATGGAAGCATCACCGTCAAAGTCTCGCAGTGGCAGCAGCATCTGCACCCCAATCCGGTTGGCATCCAAAGTCAGGAAATGGTGTGCTGAACGAAAGCGCGAGCACTCAGGAAGTCTTGGAAGAGTTTTTCGTACAGCCTTTCGTCACCGCTTCTCTGTCAGCCCACGAAAGAATCACGCAGAAGATTCTGAACAAGCCCTTGTGTCATCAAAGCCATCCACAGCGACAAACTCACACTCATCGAGCAAACCGTCTGAGTCCACTGATGGTGATCTGTGTCGAGGCTGCCAAGCCGTTATGCCGAACGATAGCACGCTTTCGAACTCCGTAGCGGATAGAGGCATCTCGCAGCATGCTTTTCTCATGCCAACACCACATTTCGAAGAACGCACCATCTCCTCAATCAAAGGTACGGCATCAAATGGTTGCCAACTCTGCAAACATATGGAAGCTGCACTTCAAAAATACTCAAGGAACAACCTTTCCTGCAAAGATGTAGCAGAGAGCACAGCGGTAGAATCGTTCAACTATCTCGTGGCTGGCGGCCTACAGGGTCTCGTCATCGGTTTCCATTACATTCAAGAGGGCGATATCTCGGAATACATCGAACTAACATTTCCAATCTCGGCGAATGCCGGTAAGTGAAAAGCAGCTGTGATATATTTCCTAAAACTTACTCGAGGATCAGGACCGTGTCGCGACCGCCTTGGGATCGACAGGAGACCACCCTTTAAACATCTTCTTTCACAAGATCGAATGGGACTTGCACCAGAACCCCAAAAAATCCTGAGAAAGTGGATCGAGACTTGTTTAGGGCACTGTGACAAAATAAAACCACCGACGACACGACCGAAAAGGATCCTTGACGTCAGCAGCTTCCGGGAACAAAGGCGAATCACTCTAAGGGAAACCGCATCTTGGCAACAGCAAACGGGGAAGACAGTGACTTATGCAGCTTTGAGCCACTGTTGGGGAACTTCAGGGAAACCGCCGATGAAAACAACTCATAACAGTCTTGCAGGCATGAATGAAGGGATAATTTTCGATGAGCTTCCCCCATGCTATCAAGATGCTGTAATCGTCTGTTGTAGCCTTGACATACAGTATCTGTGGATAGATTCTTTATGTATCATTCAAGATGATATAAGCGAATGGGAAGAGGAGTCTCAGATAGTTGCTCGGATATATCAGGAGGCCTTAATCACCATCATCCCATCGGCTTCGGAATCATGCAACGATAGTTTTCTACGGCGTTCCCTTCCAAAAGTGGAGACCGTAGAAATAAGTTTCGAATCCTCGATCACCAAGCCTCCCGTTACGGGATCGTTTTTTATCGACGAACCGAACTCCACCAATTATTCTGGCTTGTCTCTTTTCTATCAGGACACTGCAGAAAGCAAGTGGGGAAACCGTGGCTGGACCTTCAGTGAACGACTATTCTCAACGCGGAGAATCTACTTTGGCAAAAACGCGATTCACTGGAGCTGCGGGGGTTTTTACTCCTCTGAGATACAACACGGCAATGAGGAAGCCACAGAATACAACTTAGGGACATTGATTGAGGAAAGAAGCTTGGAATCTAGGAAAAATATGTTTTCCATATGGTACGAGCACATCTTGGATTACTCCACCCGAGACCTCACGTTTGAGGCGGATAGACTTCCTG